TGTTAATGTATATGAATATAATAATAACTATAACTATTTTTAAAACTATTTTAAAAAAATATAATATATAACTATTAAAATCTTCAGACAAGCTAATGTAGCTAAAAAACAAAATTTATACAATAAAAACGCCTTCACACACACACACACACACACACACACACACAAAAAAAAAAAAAAAAAAAAAAAAAAAAAAAAAAAAAAAACGCGAAAACAATAAAGGATTTTACATCTCCCGGACACATCTTTATCAGGGATTGGTTTATGTGATTACGGCAAAGCCTCGAGGGCTTTCTGTCTAAAGGAAGGAATGCCTTCGAGGAGGACTTCCTAAGGGACACTGGCTCGTAAAAATGTTGCACATGGGGAGAACCACGAAAACGGCCGTGCCAGCCAGACCGTTCGAACCTCGGACCGAACTATCAGTGTTCAGCGCTCTTTATCAGGAAATAGACGTAAAGAAGAATGTAAAAGAAAAAGTATGTTTCTGAATTAACAAATGCCCAAATATATAAAATTAATCCTAAATCTAATTAAATCAAAATCTGCATCCTTCAGTCCAATACTTGACGACTGGAATCTAAAAGGCATCGAGCTCATATTTAAATAAATTGAAACAATTAAACAGCAAATCCCAAACGAAAATGAGTCCAGAAATAGGAAATACAATACAAAAGATAATTTTAAATTTATATATTTTTTTAAATATGGGTGTAAACAAATATTGTAATCTTGAACAATGCAAGTAATGTTATCTATATTTGTTTTCTTGATATACATGCAGAATTTATAACTCGTAAATTAGAAAATCTTAGTATTATAAAGACTTCAGAATTCAGTTAATAATTTTTTATATATAAATTATCATGTTTATGGGTTATTCTAAATACTAGGCTTAAGTTTCTAGTCAACATGGAATCATTAATCACTAAAGTGGGCACATTTTAATTTGTCATTGTACCCTAATTTTGCTAGAAATCTTGAATTTGAGGTCTTAGCAGACATTGAAAAGTAATTTCGTTTTACTCTCAACCTAAGCAGTGAAGTTTGTTGACAAATATTAAAGACAATATGGAAAATAAATTTTAAAAAAATCAGTTGATTAAACAAGAAAATCTTAGCTCATTTATCTAGTCGTTTTTAAATCAGAGTGATTGTAAATAAATTTCTAATGCAAGCTGAAATTTGACAATAGTGTAAAATTTTTGTTTGTTTTGTCTTTTAACTATACTATTAAAATAATAGATTTACTTGTTTTTGTCTTTTAAACTATGCAATGAGCATAATAGATATTTTAAAACCTTTAATAGTCGTCCTTGAAATTTTATTTTTCTCCTTAACTTAATACATACCATACTGCAGCAGAACTTCAATAATTGAAAATAAATGTAAGATTCGGAATTAATGTTTGTTGCTGTTGTTTATTGTTTTGTCCATGAATTTCATGGATAAATGGTTGCCAAAGCCTCAAAGAGTTTGAATTTTTATTTCCCCCCAATTTTGAGGAAGAGCACCCCGGTGAGTGGCCCCGAGGGTCTCTCCTAACAACCCTCTTCCCTACCATCAAACCACACGACAAGACTTTCGGCTCGCCACACATTTAGAGTGCCCCCATGCCGCAAGGACAATAAACAGTTACAAACATCGATGCCTTCTCCGGGATTCGAACCCGGGCACCGTATCGCAGTAGGTTTCCCTTAATCACTGTACCGTTTGGGCGGCGAAAGTTTTTCTCTTTCTCGGCGAAAAAGTTTGCTCTTTCTCAATGAGTCGAATTTTCCATTAAGTTATATCTTCTCATTCCATACCCGGTTTTCAATTTCGGCAATTCGACTGCATATTTCAGCTATTTAAAACTGACAGGTTTGTCAACATGTTGTTCACATTAAAACTCTTTTTCATGTGGGTAGCATTTTGAACATGTCAAAGCTCGCTTTAAAAGCTAAATCGATAATATTTCAGCGACGAAACAAATTACTACCTGAGCTTCATCAAAATTCATTCCATTACCTCCTAGATAGCATCAAATGGAAACATTCATTACGATAAAATCACCTAAGAAGTCATAAGCTGACCTCAAAAGACTTTAGATCAACCGTAAGTAATGCTGCAGAATCCAGCAGGTGATGTCATAACCCTTAGGGTTTGCACATATTTCACTTTCCTCAATCGAGAGTTGCTGTTGTTTTATCCCAAGTTCAAGGCACGAAGGTTTTTTTTTTTTTTTCATTAATTTCAAGTCACGTCTTCGACTTTCATTCGCTGCTCTGCTCTGAAACCGGAAGTGAGAGTTGTCCTCCCTTAATCGAGGTCCATCGGTCCCTGGGGCCTTTCAACTTAATCATTCCGAAGACCCGTTCCGGATATTCATCTAGGAAATATTCCCACTTTGATGGCGAGGAATGTTCAAACTTAATGGCCGTTCTAGTTTAATCACTTCCTCGTAGCCACCAGAAAAGCGAGCCCAGCCTAAGTAACTCACATGGATTTAGACCCAGATAGAATACTATTCGAGTAAGACAGGAGTTGGATTAATTAAGGTTAATATTATTTTTCCATTATTAATGTTGAAAGAATTCTGCCCTTTTTGCGCAATGAGCAGAACATATCACATAACAATGTATAATTTACATTTTATACAACTTGTTGTTTTTTGTAACGCCGACTGGTGCAGTGTCTCTACCTGTCTACTATCCGTCTTAGGGCGAATAATTGTCAGTACAGATTTTGATTACCAGTACGATATGAAATGGCATCATCTTACCAAAATATTAGATGCTAAAATGCATTTTGTTTGAATTTTTGACGCTTGGGAAGTATTGAATTCGTGCCAATGAGAAAAATGTGTCAAATATACGTAGAGTCAATTAGTTTTTAGTCCAAAGGGGATTTGTCCCTGAGGAACTACAGTTTTCGTTTTGCGATTTTGCATGGAATCACTCTGAATGTCCGTTTCACTTTTCAAACTGTTGCTACCCAATATTATCACCCTGTATTATATTTGGAGAAATTAAATAATGAAGAATCTGTATCTATGTTTCTCGCATTGTGATAAAATAACAGTACCTAGAGCCATCCAATTTTGAATGACGTAATCCTACTACGAATATGGGCATCTAGAAGGCCAAATTTGGAATTTGTTTTATTATAAATTTCATATTTTGTAAAATTTTAACGAATTTTTGATTAACAGACTCAAGGATTTCAAAGTGAGCAATGCCTACCTTCTACAGGAAAAAAAAAAAATATCTCCAGGGCGTGAGACTGTGTATCGGAAATTCTAAAGATATGCTCAACTTAAAATAATTTTGCATTATTGCTCTTGAACTGAATTTTATGGTTAAAGTCCGAAGAACATGATATTTAATAAATAAAAGTAACACACAAATCGTTATAAAAGTCCCTTTGGACGTAATTTAAAATCTGAAACCTTTCATATTTTATTTATTTATTTATTTATTTTTATTCCAAAGCGGGAATTTGCCCTGAAGGACTATTAATTTCGTTTTGGCATTTTCCATTGAAAACTATAAACGGCGAAACACTTTTCAAATTGTTGCCATCAAATATTATCGCCATGTATTATATTTTAAGAAATTTAATATTGAAGAATCTGCATAAATGCATGTATGTTTCTCGCATAGTGATAAAACAACGGTACCTAGAGCCGTCAAAATTTGAATAACGTAATCTTCCATAGAATATGGGCAGTGGAAACCCTAATTTAAATTTGAAATTTGTTTTATTATCGATTAAATATTTTGTAACGAATTTTTGGTAACAAACTAAACGATTTCAAAGAGAGCAATGGCAACACTGTACGGGAGGGGGGAATTATCTCCAGCGTGCGAGACTGTGTATTGGAAATTTTAAAGATATGCTCATTTTAAAACTATTTTGCGATATTGCTGTTGAACTGAATTTTATGGTTTGAGTACGTAGAACATGATATTTAATAAATAAAGGTAACACACAAAATGTTAGAAAAACGCCCCCTTTGGACGTAATTTAAAATCTCAAATCTTTCAGATTTACCTATCTGCAAGTAATATCTCGTTATCTTTAGTATAAAAAAGAATAATTTAAAACTGCTTTTCCGGTTAACTACATAAAATTTGCCTTTTCTTTATCGTCACAAAAATAAAATATGAAACGCTATTTCGAAAAGCTTTGAAAGAGTAATCCTTACGCTCAGAATAAAGCTTAGTTCTCTTTAAAATACCACATGATGTTCAAATTATAAAAATCTGACGTAGATAACACATAACTTTCTTGTATGGCCTATTAAATTATGCAAATTTCTTGCTGCATTTCATTTAAATTTATTTCCTCGAATTTCATCAGAGATATATTTCTCATTCAATCAATTCAGGTCTCACTTCGCAGCAAGGCAAAAATACACAAAAACTGAAAATATCTTTATTAAAAATTGTAAAATACTGTAAAGCTTAAAACACCAAATATAGTTAAAAACCGTTAGACTGATGTTAGTTTATAGTTGTATGACTTTCGAACGAATATGACACAAATATAATTCTCAAATATAAAAAAATATCCTGCTCATAGAAGAATGAGGCAAAATACTTTTAACCTTGAAAAAAGAGCATTTTTGTTGTTAATAAAAAGGAAAAAGAAACATGAGCACTTGTCAGGTTTCCATCGAAATAACGTACAACTTTCGATTGAAAATACATGAAATCCAAACCTTTTGCTTAACTTCGAAGAAAGAATTGCGTTTTATTAAAAATAATATTTTATCTAGCTTAAAACTCTTTTCAATAGAAACAACAAACATCTTGTATATATTTCTTTTAAAAACTCGTTCTAAATCTGCGCCGTATCTGGACTTTATGACACTGAACTGCATTGAAAATCTTACGGATAAACTTTTCTCTGAATTGTCATACTTAGCCTTTTTTGTATGCCTTTCTTAGTGACAAATATGTAACACATAGTATAAGTTGTTTTTGATTCATTCCTTTCCTTATTTTCCATTTCAGAAATCCTCCATGGTGGAATCGTCGAACAAAGTTAGAGAGGACATTATGTTTTGTTACAGTAACATCCCTATTGATGCTTTCAGTAATGGCCGCTGCGCTGGCCGTCTTCGGGTACCTTTACCAAAGAAATTTAGGTTAGTACCGCATAGTTCTGTTCAGTTAATTTTGTATTGTAAATGTCTCCTTTAAAAAAATTTATTTTAAAGTATTTTGTTTTCAGTTATGGCATAGGATATATATATAATTTTTTTTTTAATATTTGATAACAAACTGCTAATTTTTCTACTCTACTCACATGGGTTTGGGAAGACACTTTAAAGAAGACACCGGTTTAACACCGGTTTGGGAAGACACTTTTTCACTTGTCTTTCCATATTTAAATTAAAGTGAAGTTAAGTGGACTCTAGTCGGATTACCACCTTTATCCAAATAAATAATATTCGAAGGGTTTCAAATTTAAATGGTCTCCCAAAAGGGTTTTTAAAGCTCTTTCTAAGCTCTCCTGCTACCCCTTTCCCCTCTCATTTTCTTTTAGCCCAAACTGCCGGTAGCCCAGAAGAGCTATTAGTCTCAAAATGGCATTTTGTGGCGTTTTACTATAAACGACAAATCATTTTCTAAACTGTTGCCACCAAATATTATCGTCCTGCATTGCATTCCCCGACATTGAAAATGCAGCATCAAGAAGGTGTGGTCTGGAAATCATGTAAATTTCAAGGTAGACGCAGGTAACCGAGTTATGCGAATGATGTGAAATGCGCAGCTCTCCAGCGCACGTTGAAGAAGACAAGGGAAGGAACCTCTAGAATGTTCAGTTTTCATGCCTTTATTTCTGCTGGGGAAGTCATCGTAGAAAATTTGTTCTTGTCTTAGAGGACGCGTTGTAATAGCAGAGAATGCCCGGCAATCGTCAGTGGAGGCAATTCCAGTAGACAAGGGGCATGGTGATCAGACTGAGAAGGTCAGGTTGGTCCATACGGCACTTTTCAGCTGACACGTACCTGGACTCATTCACAGTGCACCGGCTGTGGCGACGATGATTCGAACAAGGAAATGTGGCAAGTTCAAGGTATGCCGGTACAGCTAGAGTGACGTCAGCACGTGTGGATCAAAGCATCCAACGACAAGCGGTGACGCACCAACAAGCCACTTCTGCTTGCATTCTGAAGCATGTTCAAGACAACCTGGTTGTTCCCTTATCGACCAAAACCATTTACCGTCGATTGGTGGCTAGTGGCCTGCACGCGTGGCGTCCGTTAAGAAGACCGCCATTGACCTCATATTATGACGCCAACGTCTGCAGTGGTGCCGGGCTCGAGCGATGTGGACGACGGAATGGCATAGGGTCATGTTCTCAGATGAGCCTCGCTTCTGTTTCTTCAATGATAATCGCCGCATGCGAGTGTGGCATCCATGTGAAGACGGGTCCAATCTAGCAGCAACTGTGGAACTCCTCACTGCACGACAACGCGGAAACATGGTTTGGAGTGCAATTGCGTACGATTCCAGGTCACCCCTAGTTCGTATTCAGGGCACTATGACGGTGTCCAATGCACTTTATCAGCAAAATAACGCCCGACCACACACTGCTCGCATCAGCCAACGTGCCAAGCTGTACACATGCTGCCCTGACCACCGTTAACTCCTGTTCCCACACCAATCGAACATATTTGGGATGTGATTGGAAACCATTTGCAGACGCTGCCATTGCCGCGTTCATAAGACGAACTGTGGCAAATGGTTGACAGGGAATGGAGAGCCATTTCTTGAGACACCATCCGTAGTCTCATTGACTCTGTACCTAGACGTGTTGCTTCGTGTATCGCCGTCGAAGGTAGCCCTACAAGAAACGATGCTGTTTTCGCTCTGCATTATGCATATCATTTCGAAACAAAGATCACTTGTTGTTCGTTGCTGTCTCCCAATGTCTACCAACTTTCATCCCTTTTTGGCCACTCCTTCTTGGTGTTGTTGCATTTTCAATATCCGGTAGTGCATATTTAAAGAAATTAATTAATGAAGAATCTGCATGAATGTATGTCCACCAGAACATGGGCATCTGGAAGTCCGAATTTTGAATTTCAAATTTGTTTTATTATCTATTTAATATTGTGAAAACCTTTAATGAACTTTTGATTAACAACTCAACGATTTCAAAGCGAGCAATGGCAACACTGTAAGAGAAAAAAACATTTTTAACTTCAGCGCGCGAGACTGCGTATCAAAAATTTTAAAGATGAGCTCTTGTTTAAATATTTTGGGATTTTGCTGTTGAATTGACTGTTATGGTTTAAGTGCGAATAACGTGATATTTAATAAATAAAGGTAACACACAAAACGTTTAAAAAATGCCCCTTTTGGCGTAATATAAAATCTGAAAGCTTTCGGATTCTTTTTTATTATAAGTTAGACTGATGTTAGTTTACGCTTGTATGACTTTCGAAGAAATATGATATGAATCTCTAATTGGCGTTAACTCTATTTATTAAGTAACACCACATAAAATTCAATTCAACAGCAAACTCACAAAATATTTCAAAACATCATATCTTTAGAATTTCCGGCAGTCAGGCTCGCCCGCTGGAGATAAAAATGTTTACTTCGGACAGTGTTGCCACCGTTCGCTTTCAAATCATCGAGTTTATTAGCCAAAAATTCATTAATGTTTAACAAAATATGAAAAAAATAATAAGACAAATTCAAAATTTCAGGCTTTCAAGTGTACATGTTCGGGTGGTGGACTACGTTATTCAAATTTTGATGGCTCTAATTACCGTCAGTTCAAGGAATATACACAAATACATGCAGATTTTTCATTATTTCATTAAAAATAATACAGGAAGATAATGTTTTATGGCAACAATCTGAAAAGTGATTCGCCGAGTAAACCGACGCAGAATTCCATTTCAAGATTAATAGCTCCTTTTGAGCTAAACGTTTTTATATAGCAGCTAATTTTTGATATAGCAGCTCGTTGGAAATCTTTCTTCACCTCACATAACTTTTGCTTATTTATATATTTATTTTTATTTCCTTGTTAAAATGTATGCCACTCTTAGCCGCCAGAAATGGCAAACAAAACCTCTCACCCTGCAACGTGCAAATTTCAGATGTTGCCAAAAATGTGCAATATAGCCGCTTTACCAAAGAACCCAACCCCCCACCACCGATTTTTTTTCTTTTATCAATTTTGTAAAATAAAGAACATAAATTAAAGAATAAGAATTAAATGATATACTTTTAATCTTTCAGAGGTTAAGTGTTATTATGGATCGGTTGTTCATACATCAAACAATACATTACTGTGAGTGGGGCTATCTCTCCAGAATGTATTGAATGCTTAGTTCTTAATATTATTATGGGAAGTGGTATTTTAATTATTGCTGTCAACTACTTACTTTGGGCCCGTTAATAATACCTTTCCGTGGATATTTAATGATATGGTTTATGTAATGTTTGGACTATCATCACACTGATTCTATAGATATATTTATTCGAAAATGATGACATAACGAATTATTTTATATGACGAAATTGTGAATTATTAAATTATACAAAAGAACTCAGTTTAGTATAATAATTGATTCAATTGCTTCTTATTTTCGAAAAAATAATTCTGACACGTCACGCAGTTTTTATAAAATAGCGGTTCGAATTTTCCAAGAAACAAGTGTTCTACTAAAAGCAAATTTCCGTCAAAAACCGGAGTGGAATAATATTTCTAATGTAAAATTTGATAATTATTGGAAATAGTTTTTCTGCGTTTCTAATTCCACATGTTTTGAATCCTTTTTTTAGCCCAAAGGGGCGTTAGATCAGAAGGGCTATTAGTCTCGAAACGACATTTTGCGTAGAATCACTGCGTTGTATCGTTTTCCAAAATATTACCACCAAATATTACCGTCCTTTATTATATTTAAAGAAATTAAATAATGAGGAATCTACATGAATGTATGTATATTTCTCACATTATGAAAAAATGACGGTACCTAGAACTATCAAATTTTGAATAACGTAATCGTCCACCCTAACAGGGACACTTGGACGCTCGAATTTCGAAGTTCGAATTTTTTTATTACCTATTTCATATTTTGAAACATTAACGAATTTTAATGAAACACATTTTATTTCCAGCGCGCGAGACTGTGTGTCGCAATTTCTAAAGATATACATTTTTTTTAAATATTTTGCGATATTGCTTTTATGGGGTTTAAGTGAGAAGAACATAATATTTAATAAACAAAGGTAATAGACAAAACGTTAAAAAAAGTCTCTTTGGACGTAATATAAAATCTGAAAGCTTCCAAATTCATATTTTTAGTCCAAAAGGACTTAGTCCCTGATGGACTATTGTTTTCATTTTGCGTTGGTTCACTATAAATATCCGTTTCACTTTTCAAACTGTGCCACCAAATGTTAGAGTCCTGCATTATATTTGAAGAAATTAAATAATGAAACATCTGCATAAATGTAAGTATATTTCTCGCATTGTGATAAAACAACGGTGCATAGAGCCATCGAATTTTGAATGATGTAATCCTCCTACGAATATGGGCATGTGGAAGCCCAAATCTGAAATTTGGAATTTGTTTTATTATCGATGTCATATTTTGTAAACCTTTAACGAATTTTCGATTAATAAACTCGAGGATTTCAAAGCGAGCAATGGCAGCGTTGTAGAGAAAAAACATTTTAATCTCCAGCGCGTGAGAGTGTATATCGGAAATTCTAAAGATAGGCTCAAAATAATTTTGCGATATTGCTCTTGAACTGTATTTTATGGTTAAAATGCGAAGAACAAGATATTTAATGAAAAAAGGTAACACACAAAATGCTAAAAAAAGACGCCCCTTTGAACGTAATTTAAAATCTGAAACCTTTCAGATTTTTTATATAGTATATATTTTATTATTATTGTTATTTTGTATTTAAAATATTTTAGGTCGTTACATTGAGCTTTCTGCACATGTTTTCCGTCTTGATCACACATTTAAACGGATAAAAAATCATTTAAATGGCTTCAGTAATTACATAAAACCGTACGTTACATTATTGTACATACTGCAATAGTTGGAAAAAGATTATTTCTTAAACAATGCATGGCTGTTGATTTTATCCCCTACTATTTCTCGAGGTATTGTTGACGAAGCAAGAATCAATTTTACTCTCACTTTGTTAAAATACATTCTAACAGACTGATGTTGTTGAAGAAGTTACTACAAATTTTGGAACTTTCAGAACTTTTAAGTGATCAACAAGAAGGAGTACAGGTTTTTAGATATAAAATGGATCTTCTTCGGCAGCTGTTACTCTTTTTCTGTGAGTGAAATTTAAAAAAAAAGTTTGTCTTTATTTACGCTTATTAAGTGATAACTTTATGAAATTTTTTTTAATTTTTTACTTGTTGTAATCTGTGGAAATCAAACTTCAGAAAATTTTATTTATATATTTTGTTACCATTCATCACGGAAAATGTTTTCTTAGTCTGTTTAATGATACTGTATTAGTACATTGCAACATAGCATAGAAACGGAAATATTTTTACGGATTTTGTGTTTATTTAACTATTTTTAGTAGTTTTTTCCAAAAACTGTAGGCCTGTCTACATTTCGTACACATTCATATTACTTAATTAAAAACCCTTTTTAAAACCCTTTTAATTTATTCTTTTAATTTAGTTAAGTCAATGAAAAAATAAATTTAATTAAGATGAGGCAAAATTAAGATAATTAAACTTCTTAATATGTGAGGCCTGGAAAACTGAAGTTCCACCTAATGTACTAAATAGGAAACGAATCCTGAATTTCCTAGAGTCCGAATTCTAAAATATTCTCTCGAATACTTCATGTAAGATTAAGAAACAGAAAGGAAAAAAATAATAATTAAAAAGAATTTTTAATTAAATCCAAATTGGAAAGCAGCATTTAATTAAAATAAAATTTAAAAATATACAGATAAAGTTTAATAAATGAAATGCATAATGAAAGCTCTTGAATCTTGAGGTTCATTTTCTCAGCATGAGGTTCATTTCTCGAGGTATTGTAACGTACGATGGAAGTTTAATAAATGAAATGCATATCATTTTAATAAATGAAATGCATAATAAAAGCTCTTGAATCTTGAGGTTCATTTTCTCAGCATAATTTGGGGGGGGGGAGGATGAGTAACAGCTAATTTACTTTTTTTTATTTTTTTCCATAATCTTTTTAAACAAAAGCGAGGATAGATGACACATGGTTATTTCAAGAGTTTACACGGATAAACATCAAACATGTAACGCTAAATTCGTAACGCTAATGGCATGGTAAGTAAGAGTATGCGATTTAGACCTGCTCCAAAATTATATCGGTGGGTCAGATTCACTAAAATTGCAAAATCAAGTTTACTTTTTAATCAGCCCTTCCATCGGATATCAATAAAATTAAATTTTTCAAAGATTTAAGTTAAAACGTTTAATCGAATTTTGGGTTAGAATTCGGAAAATTCGAATGACGAAAAAAGTTCCATCTGAATTTTTTTATCTGGAATCTTTTTCAAGATTCGTGCGATTCGAAGCCGCAGCCATGCTATTTATAATAAATATGTTTTATTGCTAAAACATGTACATCCTTTATATTTCTAAAACAGATGAAATGTTCTCTTTTAGATTCCAGACAAGCTATATACGTGCCATCCAACACAGATCGCCTTGTGTCGTCGCTCAACGTCTCCTTTGCCTCCGATCTCTGCTTGACACCCGGATGCGTCAAAGCAGGTAATATTCAGATTTTCTTATCGGTCATTTCCTTAGAAAGCGTAAATAAGGGTTTCTTAGAAAAAACTTGCTGTAATAAAACATGTCGCATTTATGACAAGATTTGTAGACTGGAGCTCTGGTTTGACGACATCTGCATAAGCGTTGTGATTTGCCCGTAGAAACGTGCGTCACTGGGAACATACATTTTGCATTCAACTGCTGCAATATAAAAGTGCGTCATGGATTCTTGAATCCTAAATGAAGAGCTTTTTATCAACTTGATTTCAGGATTCTGTAACATAAAGCTAAATTTATATTTCAGTTCTTAAATTAAATTTTGCTCACACTTTCAGGGAAATCAGAAAGGAAAGAAATTTTTTCTTTTAAAACGTTTAAGTTTCATTCAAATTAAAGATTAGCATATACATTTAAAACAGTTCTGATTACAGTGGAACCTCGATTTATCTTTTTTACTAGATACTGGAGGAAAGATAAATGCGGGAAAAAGATTAAACCTAGGAACTATTATATTCTTACTTTTCAAATATGTTATAAGGTATTTCTCCCGCCTTCTTAGCATGCCTTCGTAGTGTAGTGGTCAGCACGCTCGACGCGTATTCGAGAGGCCCGTTGTTCGAGTCCCGGCGAAGGCGTTGCTCATTTTTCATCTTTCTTACTTCGAAACAACCTAATAGATCTACAGTGGCGCCCATAACTAAAAGGTGGTGAATGATGATTCTTCACCATCAGAATTTGGCGACTGGGTTCCCTAAACCCCAGTCGCCCTTTAAAAAGGAGTATTTCTCCCACCTTCTTAGCATGCCTTCTTAGTGTACTGGTCAGCACGCTCGGCGCGTATCCGAGAGCCACGTGGTTCAAGTCCCGGCGAAGGCATTGCTCATTTTTTACGATTCCTGCTTCAAAATAAATCTAAGAGCTCTACAACGTAACATATTATAAATAAATAGCATTTATTACTTTCAACCTAATATATTACATTAAAAATCTACTTTAGAAAAGAATTGTGGTAATGCATGCATAACATGAATATGCTCCATGCATAACATGAATATGCTCCATGCATAACTGAATATGCTCCATGCATAACATAATTGTTCCATTCATAACATGAATATGCTCCATATTTTCTTAAAATAACACTCCAGTATGGCATTCTTACCGTCAGGAAGATAGTTATGTACTTTGCTTTTAACCATATAATCCTAATAAAGAAAATGTCATACCTTGTCCTATGCAGATTGGCTGAATTTTGCCTCATTTTAAATTAAGACTTCAAAATTTTAAATGATTTTATGATCCGCATCGCTTCTACTTTCCGTATAGAGAAACATTTTAACGCTGTGTGTGTGTGTATTTAAGTTTCCTAACACTCGATAAAGCTAAAAATGACAAAGTCTTGTTCATTTTTAGCCCTAACCCAGAACGTCTGTTAGTACCAAAACGGCATTTTGCGTCAAATCACTGTAAACGGCTGTATTACTTTTTAAATTGCTTCCCCAAATACTATCGTCCTGTACATATTTAAAGAAATTAAATTATGAAGAATCTGCGTGAACGTATGTATGTTTCTCACATTGAAAAAAAAAAAAAAAAACACACACACACACACAATATATATCTAGATACAAACTCTGAATAACGTAGTCCTCCAACTGAATTTGCGCAATTGGAAGCCCTAATCTTTAATTTCGAATTTACTTTATTATCGATTTCATATTTTTTAAACTTAAAAAAAAAAAAAAAAAAAAAAAAAAATACACTGCACGAAATTAAATATTTTTGTACGCTGTATTTAATATTTTTAGCCCAACGGCTGTACGCTCTCGAAACGCGTATGTATATGTAAAAGGACAAAACTCGCTTTTGGGGGTAATATAAAAATGTGAAAGCTGAAAATTAACAGGGATAACTAATAAAGGCTAACAGAAATAGACTTGATTTAGAAATCAAACAACAAAAATCAGCGTTATATTTTCAAATTTTCACAGTACTAGTTTCGATGGTTTTACCGAACTACCTCCTCAGCTGCAAAAGCGCAAATGAACGAGGTAAGCTATAATGCTTGGATAAGATAAGAAAGCCTGGACAGGATATAAGCTACTGGCGCCATCTGTTGATAAAACCAGAACTAAAACATAATTTCTTTAAAAGCTGAAGGCAAATATAGATTGGAATTAGGGTCGTTAACTAGAACAGAAAGATTTTTTTGAATGTGTAGAGACATTGGGTGGCAGGAGGGATGAAAAAGGAGCCTTCGACGGGACTCGAATCACGGACCTCTCAAATACGCGTCGAGCGTGCTGGCCACTACACCACGAAGGCTTGCTAAGAAAGCGGGAGAAATGCCTTATATACTTCCTCTTTTAAAGGTCGACTAGGGTTTAGGGGACCAGGTGGTGACGAATCATCATTCACAACCTGGGCGCCACTGTAGAGATGTTAGATATTTTTTGAAAGCACGAAAGATGGAAAAGGAGCAATGCCCTCGCCGGGACTCGAACCAAGGACCTCTCGAATACGCGTCGAGCGTGCTCACTACTACACCACGAAGGCATGCTAAGAAGGCGGGAGAAATACCTTATAAGTTTAAAAAGAGAATTTGGTTTAAATTTGTTTTAAAGTTTGAAAGTAAAAGAACTAAAACTTTTTTTTTTCACATTTTTTCACACTGTTAATATCATATTTTATTCTTGTTCTGTTATGACTTTTGTCTTTTTCCCAACGAATTTGCGTAATAAGTTATTAACAATGCACTATCTATAAAACTGCGTTAAAGGAAATATTCAGCCCTATAAAAACGGTATCGTGATAACTCATATGTAAATTATATGTGCACGCAAGGTAAAAAATTAAAATCTTAGAATATATTTAGCTTACATCTTCTTATCATAGTTTTTAAAACAAACTCTATTTCAATAAAAAAAAGGACAAACTTAACTCGAAAATTGCCGGCAATTAACATGTACCTTAGAGATATTAAGGTTTTATTGAAGCAGGAGATGTGGAAAATGTGCAATATCCTCGCCAGGACTCGAACGGTGGCCCTCTCATATACTCCTCGAGTGTGATTCCAATTATACCACGATGGCATACGGAAAGGGGGGAAAAATGCCTTATATACTTCCCGTTTTAAAGGGCGACTAAGGATTAGGGGACCCAATTGCCCAAATCCTGTTGGTGACGAATTATCGTCCATCAATTTTCAGTTCGGGCGCCACTTGTAGAGTCAATAGAGATTTCTGAAGCAGGAGACGTAAAAAATGTTCAGTGCCCTCGCCGGGATTCGAAGCATGGATCTCTCGAATATGTGTCCGTATGCTTCCAATTACACCGCGAAGACATGCGGAAAGGAGCGAGAAAATACCTTTATAACCTAAGGAGGAAAAACGTAATCATTTTGATTGTTGAGTATTTCCAGTATTATTAAAGGCATAAATAAAGTTAACAAGTTCCAAATAATATGCTGCGAAGTGATGAGAGTCATTAGGAAATTCACACAGTTAAGATAGTCGCACGGCTACCGAGCGGTAACGTCTCTGAACAGTGGTAATTCGGTCTGATGTTCGAATCCTGCAAACGGGCTGGCTGCATGGGCGTCTTCGTGGTTTTTCCCAATGTTTTACGTGTATACGAGCCAGTTTCCCTTAGAAAGTCCTCCACGAAGGCATTCCTCCGATTAGGCAGATAGCCTTAATGTACTTTGCCGTAATCTCAATAAACCAAACCACAGATGAGCTAAAGATTGAAGAGACTTCATTAGCAGTTTCAAGACTAACAGTTAAAACATAAATTCTCGATTGTCACTTATCTACGGTTTGGGGGAGAATAAATCCTTGATGCCGATAATAAAGTTCCTTTAACCTCAAATGAACTGAACAGCTGTTCGATTTGCGTATTTACTGTTGTTTCATTTTATAATATTTTATCTGCGCAAGATTTCATTTCACACTATATTATAGCCTATACATTTTAGAAGACTGTTGTCAAATTTGAAACTGATTTTTAATCAGTAATATTTTTTAAATTTTCGTATAACAATATGTAATTAATTTCACTGTATAAATAGCTACTAGCAGCATGCATTTATCTGTTTAGAATCAATAATTCATCATAATCTATAAACTGTTCTCGGACATCTTTGAATTGTACGTTATCACGAAGGTGTGAAGTTTTGGAATTATAATTAAACAATGAATGAATAATTTGACTTTATTATTTTACCCTAATGTCTTAAAACTTGTTTAAGAGTTTCTTGATAAAATAAACATTTAAATATATCTTTCCTTGAAAATAAATTAATTTTTGTATAAAGCAAAACCTTTTGTTTAAAAAAAAAAAAAGATAAATACTTGTTTCAAAAGCAAATTCTAACTGGCTATTCTCGATATACAGTCAAACACTACGAAGCCGCCTCCTGCGATTTTTAATACCTATTTCACAGATCATGTAGCCTTACAAAATATATTCTTACAAAGTAATATTCCCTCTGCTTGATGACTCCGTTCTCCTAAACTGCATTTAAAAGAACAAATTATTTTGAAACATTAAACCCATGTAGATGTAACTTATGATAGTTCGAAGGAAAATAATTGGGCATATAATAATTTAAAATCAAATTTAAGGAACACAAGCTGTATTTTGAATTCTATCGTGATGTGTAACTGCTTAGCTTATGCATAATGCATTATGGCAGTCAAAGAATCATAGAACATGGTTTCGTTTCCAAATAATTCACAAGAAAGATGGAGTATACACAGTTCATAGTTGGCCAAATTATGCATATCTGAAAGCGTAAAAAGTAATACAAATAACGCAGAGTAACATAAGTTAAATTAAGATCCGCTTAATCGATTAACTGTCTTTCCAAATTTAAATTTGTTTAAATATATATATATATATATGAAATGTAATTTCTCATACATTATTTGTTTTGTGCAGCCGGGGCAACAGGAATGAGACAAATTTTGGAATATAAAGTGGTAGGTTTATTTTAGCATCCATCTCGTAAGCGTTCTCCTCGTACCTTGAGCAGAAGCCCTACTTATACATATGTGTACGTCACGAAGCTCCTCCAATCAGCGATATTAATTGAAATCACGAGGTGACGCTATCTTCTCATCAGGAGTGTTCTTAAGTACTTTATGTAATATGACAGATTTATGAGTTTGGCGATTTGGCGGGCGCCAACAGGTTAATATTTTTATGCTAAAGAAGGATTTCGCCAAAATTTAGGAACAGGGATGCCAATTTAGGTAGAGAATCGCCCATCACATTATTAAGCAATATTATTAGAATTTAATTTAATCAATTAATTTAAAAATATCATTACATATTATATATTTAAACAAATTTAAATTCTTACAAAACATATAAAAGTAAAAAAAGCAAATTGAGCCCACCAGCGGCCGAGCGGTAAAGTCGCTGAACACTGGTAGTTCGGTCTGAGATCGATCGAATCCCGCGAACGGGCTGGCTGCATGGTGTTTTCCGTGGTTTTCCCCATGTGTAACGTGTATACGAGCCAGTTTCCCTTAGAAAGTCCTCCACGAAAGGCATCCCTCCCCTTAGGCAGATAGCCCTAGTGTGCTTTGCCATAATTAAATACACCACACCACACCACATAAAAAAGCAAATTTAAATTCTAAAAAAAGCCAAAAATAATTTTAAATAATTTAAAAATATGCAAACATGTAAAAGATTTAATTCTCGAACTAATCTACAATATCATTTAAATTCAGAAGCATAAGCAAATCAAGTGCAAAATCTATCCATGAAAAAGCAAATTGAGCCCACCAGCGGCCGAGCGGTAAAGTCGCTGAACACTGGTAGTTCGGTCCGAGGATCGAATCCCGCGAACGGGCTGGCTGCATGGGTGTTTTCGTGGTTTTCCCCATGTGTAACGTGTATACGTTACACATGGGGAATAAATTGATCATGAAAATAAATCTACTAATTTAATAAATTAAATTAAATTAAACAATTAAACATTTTTAAAAAAATGCATATGTGAATGGTCGTAGAGTATATATATATATATATACACACTCGCACATATGTGTTAAGTCTCAAATGATTCAGAGGAACGAAGCATGTATTCGGAATTCATTAATCGACTGCGGTTAATGCTTCAAACACTTTTCCCTTGACAAGTTCTCTTTGAAGCGTTAAACAAAGGAGGTTAATTTCCTTTTTTCATGCATTTTGCTATTTGGAAAATACTTTAGGATATGATTATACTGTAGTTTTAATAGTTTTGATTTGGATACTTTTCCTTTAATTTTAAACATTTTTACCGTTCAGTGAAACTAATTGGATGATTTCACCAACTTCACGTAGCTTGGATAATCAGGATAACTTTTGTTTTTTTGACACTAAATTTCATTTTGTTTCCACTTTTTCTTTCACTTTGAAATTGATTATATGTACAGTATATTCTAGAGGAGTAAAAATAGCAAATGGGGAAAAGGTTCGAGAAATTGAACAGCGGGATTAAATAAATCCCTCATATATAATAGACAACAAGAGCTCCACTTATTTAGTTGTATTTTAAGGTATTTTCTCCCTCTCTTCCATGTGCCTTCGGGGTGTATTTGGAAGCACACTCGGCGAGTATTCGAGAGATCCAGTTTCGAGTTTCGGAGAGGGTATTGCAAATTTTTCATGGCTCCTGCTTTCAAAAATTTCTAATGACTCTACAGTGCTGCCCGATCTAAAAAATAGATGGTGGACGATAATTCGTCACCACCAGGATTTGGCCATTAGGTTACCCAATCTCACGTCATCCTTTAATAATAATAATAATAATAAAGAGGAGTATATAAGATATTTTCTCCCTCCTTTCAACATGCCTTCGTGGCGTAACTGGAAACACACTCGGTGTGTATTCGAGAGGTCCTAATTCGGGGGTATTGCATATTTTTCACATCTCCTGCTTTAAAATAATGTAATAACTCTACAATATGAGATCTGATTTTGTGGTAATTTTTAACAAAATTATTCCTTCCCTGATTTTGTTGCTGTGATTTTCCTCAATTTTAGTAATAAGGTTTGGCTCTCACGTCAAGGATTTTTTTTATCAGTCTTCCAAAAGAGCTTCAGTCTATACCTTCGGAACTTCCGTCCCAGTGTTTCATATGATAATTTACACTGATAATCTAAATTATTCTCATCTAACTGATAATTTTCTATTTCCTTTTCAGCTGCCGACATCTTGTCCAATCTAGATGACAAGGCGGATCCTTGCGATGATTTCTACCAGTTCGCTTGCGGTGGCTGGCTAGATAGGCACGCCATTTCGGAGGATAGATCATCCGTTTCTGTTTTTTCTGAAGTTCAAGACGATCTCAATCTTAAACTTAGAGGTTAGTACACGTTTCAGCTTAGAGGAAACCATGTTTAAATATTCGAAAAAAACCATCTGTTTGCCAAAGAAAACGCATTACCTTGAGGAGATGAGACTGGTTAGGAAATAAAACATTAAACTGTCTCCGAATATTATGTCAGTTCCCATTTCTTTCGTTAATGGGTTGGCGTTTTCAGAGGGAAAACCTATGACAAAGAAATGGGTACTATATTCTAGTTTGTATCAAATGGATGCAGTGTATATGCATATATGATATTCCCTAACAAGCAAAACATATTTGAAACTTTTTTTTTATCTCCTAATTGTACTTAGAGCTTCATAATAAGGCGCGTAACAATGAGCAAAGAACTTAAATCTTAATAACACTAAGTATTCCATTCTTCGTTACTGGGGAAAAAAGTATTCATTGGATCAAAAAAAGTTTAAAAACAATAAGCTCTGAGTATTTTGACGCTAGTTACGATTATTTTTAGGAAAGCCGTAGAAACAGAACTATTCTGGACATTTTACAGATATACATTAAGCCTCAGACTCGAGACGGAATAATATGGGGCTTTTCCTATCTTTTGCAATGGTCTCATCATGTTCTCGTATGATTATTTTTTCTGCGTTTTTGTGTTTTATCTTAGGAGAGAATCAGAATTTATTAAGTGCTCTCGCAGATTATCAGACCTAATTCTATCTATAGTTCCATATATAAATAGCAGATTTAAATTTGAAAAAATTATGCGTCAGAATCTATAAAATACAAACGCTTCTAAACACAGTTAAGATAGGGAAATGGGTTTAGGTGTAGGTAAAAGTATGGGGACACCAGCGATGTATTAGGAGTCAACTGGTAATGTCACCCCATACTAACTAACCCTAAAAAAATTGAAAGTTTTATAACAGTTTACAAAGAATGGTTGACAAGATGAGCAACTGAAGTTTTCCAAAAGATCTAGAGTTATCTATTATGGTGCAACGTGCAATCCCACCGTACACCCCGCATCCAGTATTTATTGAAAATAATGATTTAAAATAGAGTAAGGGTAAAATATTTGTGGCACCACTGGTGATTTTAAATGCGAGTAAAAGACTTCTAAAATAACCGAATTTCCATATCTGCACGAATTGGTAGTAATTTATGGTAAGAACAGAATGCACAATAATTTCTTTTTATTAAACACCTAAATAGAAGATTAATACATCAACTCCGCTGTCATTTTTTTCGAGTTTCATTCACCTAACCACAATAATGTTATCAAGATATGTAGCGTTAAAAATTGCCTGAAGATTGAATTTAAGCACCTCTACATACCTTCAAACAGAATCAAATTCAAGTAATTTTAGATATCGCTACACAGAATCTGAGACATCCTTATTTGTTGAGAAACTTCAATTCTCGCTTTGCCTAAACCTTTAAGTTCTGAGCTTCCAAATGATAAGCAATTAAGAAATTTTTTTAAATAAATATATGGGCGTATGCACCCATAAATAACGGCATAAACGTCGAGTTTATGCTGCTGTTATTTATGGAATGAAAGCGGGTTATTTATGGCATAAACGCGTTAATATAATTTAAAAGGGTAAGATTTAAGCAAAATATTAAAGTGAGGCCCATCTTAAGTAAAACCTTAGTAACATAAGTCGATATAGCTGGCATAAGACCATAAAAACTCAAGACAGGTAATATATTAGGTTGTTCGGAAAATAATGCAGTTTTTTAACCTACATCTTTAAAGTATCATAACTCAACTCAAAAACAATTTTATTGATCGAAGTAAGCACCAGCCGAATCAATGCAATTTTGCCAACGAGATAAGTTTATTTATGCCGGTAGAATAAAAGTATAGAGTTCTATACTCGATAAAGTTGTCAAAGGCGTTTTCGACCTCGTCTTGGTTTCTGAAGTATTTCTTCTGCAGAATGTTATCCAGATGTTTGAAAAAGCGGTAATCGGTCGGCGAGAGGTCAGGCGAACATGGGGGAAGAGGGAGAATCTCGTATCCTAATTCATCCAATTTCTGTAGGCGTGCGGCCGAGCATCGTCATGGAGAAAAACTCGCCGCTTTCTGTTGACCAATGCCGAACAAATGCGTTGCAATTTTTGGTGCATTTCGTTGATTTGCTGACAGTTCTTATCTTCTGTAATAGTTTCGCCCAGATTTAGGAAGCTGTGGTGGACGAGACAAACCGCAAGCCACCAAACAGTCACCATAATTTTCTTTTGGTGCAAATTTGGCTTTGGAAAGTGTTGTGGTGTCTGACCGCGGTCCAGCCACTGAGCCGAATGTCGAATGTCGCCAGTTGTTGGTGAGAATCCACTTCTCATCGCACGTAACAATTCGATCAAGAAAAGGGCCGTTTTTGTTGCGGAGAAAAAGAGCAGACGACACTTCAAAACGGCGATTTTTTTTATTTTCGCTCAAATTGTGAGGCACCCATTTATCGAGCTTCTTTGACTTTCCTATATGATTCAAGTGATCAGAAATTGTTTTGCTTATGCCAATCTCTCGAACAATTGTGCACGGGTTTTGTTTCAACTTAAGTCTTCAAATTAGCGTCATCAACAGCTGAAGAGCGTCCACGATGCTCCAGGTCAAATTTTCCCCGACGAAACTTTTGGTATCTCCGTGAACTGTAAATTCATTAACACTTTTCTCACCCCCTTCTTAGTTGACATTTCGAGCCGTTTGTACTGCGCTGTGACCTAGCTTGTACTCATAAAAGTAAATTTGCCGAAAATCCCGTTTTGACGTCTAAAAAACACCTAGTAAGTATTTTTGAAAATAGTTTTGGAACAGAATGTTTATTATAGAAATATAGAGCGCAAATAGAGCTTCAAAATGATATATAAACTAATTCAATTCAAAATATTTTTGGTGTTAAAAATGTACAGGAAAGATAAACAATTGCAAAAACCTGCATTATTTTCCGGGCAACCTACCGTTATCTTCCGCAGTATGCATCTTTATCAATGCCTTCAACTACTCATGAAGGAAATCCACACCAGATTTAACTTGTCTTGTAGATACGGAAAGAAAAACACAGATACCTGTAGCTTTTCGGCTAATATTATAGCAGTTTGATTGTCAGCTGAATCGCTCTTCTCGGCTGCATTTCGAAGCTGGGGAAAACTGGGCTGTCTGCTCGTGGATAGCAGAATCCTTATACGCTAATGAACATCAAAAATGATTACGTCATTTGTAAAAATGGTTGATTGTTCCGCCAAAAACCTCCAGTCAAGTATATCCTCAGTAGTTCCAAAATATATTGTTAATAACTGGCAATAATTAACTCTGAGCTCACCGAGGATTTTCAGTATATCTTCCTCAATTCTCTTATGCAGGCCATATAAAAACAGGTGAAGATGATTTTCTACGCATAATGTGAAGTACTTTTCGCTATTAAAACATACAGAATGGAAGCCATGCAGATGGTTGATCTCCAGCTTGACTCTTAAGTGGGTAGTTTTCCAGGGACGTGCCTTTTACCCATTGGGTAAATTTCTCGAGCATTGGCAACCGCATGCTCAGATTGTACGGCGATAACAGGCGGAAATAGGTTTTTATATAGTTAGCTAATGACTGAAATAAAAAAATGGGCTATAAATGAATAACATATTTTAGATGTAAAGAATATTTTAATATAACTAACTACTACTTTTAGGATAGAATATTTTAATACATGGTACTGCAAGCAAAGAATTTTTTATTCCATGTACCCGGTAACATGTACCTTCACGATGTCCTTTCCTGGTGGATCTTCTTGTCTATCATGTTTTCGTTTTGCTCGGCAGAAATTTTGGAACATACCTGATTGCAGGACATTTCTATTTTCAATTGACGGCCTGCTTCAATATTGTATCATTATCAGAAACTTTCGAATTCTGATCACTTTCCTCAATGTCAGTGTCAGGCCAAGTATCACTGTTGTCATTAAAGAACGCACCCCATTTTAACAGCGTTTTTTTCTATATCTGAAAAACGCTTCTTGTGCTATCTTGAGACCTATATCTGAAATATCTTCTACATCTTTGATCTTCTATATCTGAAAAAGCTCCTTTAGTTATCTTGAGCAACTGCAGGCAGTTCGCAATGCATAAAGATAACCGACATCGATGTACTGAAGCATTATGGCTGCCTCACTGAAATCAGTAGACTTTATGAAAATGGGCCTACGTGAAAAACACTAAAATAAGCTCTGACGTAGTGACTGAGATAATTCCAGCTAATTGTGTAAACTCCGATTAAAAAGAGAGCAAAAGAAGCTTGCTTTTCTATGGGATACAATGTAGAGAATATTGCAGACAAATGTATCCATCAAATCCACTGCGAATAAACAGGACGAAGAAAGGATATATCTCATATAAGAGAGTTAACCCTTTGCGGCACAGTGTGTCCGGTCTGGACACAAATAAAACTTTCTTTCTGTACGCACAGAAAAATTGAATCAAAAAGGATTTATAGGTTACTATAGGTTACTCTGAACCTTATTCATTTCTAGTAGATGGCAGCTCAACACAAACCAGTCCATATATTTTAGCCATGTTTAGTTTTTTAAGACCCTCATTTTTCAAAGAAATCTTTTGGATTTTTTTAGGGTATAAAAGGAATTGTTTGAAAAGAAATTTCTATGTTATTTTTTGGCTATATGCTAAATCTCTTTATTCTATATAAGTTAAAATTTTACCTTGAAATCTTGCCTAAAATCAAACGGCGAACAACTGAGAGTCTGTATTCATTGTTTCTCCGCATCTCATCGATCATTTCATTGACAACAATGCTCGTTTCAGCACTCTTTTCGAAGCTCTAGTGAACCACCCACAGAATTAACTTGTGTACTTCACAAAATTTGACTTGTGTACTCCTCCAGGCCTAATTAGACTGCGTACTTTTTTTTTTTTTTAATCAAAACTCCGACTTTAAAAGGTAGCGTGCGGAAAGGGTTAATTGTGTGAGCTTATGTTTTTCGTTGCAAAATACGTAATTTATATTTAATTATATAAATGTCTACCAACTTATAGAGGTAAGTATCAGTATAGAGAATTTATGTGGATCATTTAGGAAAAGAATCAAATGTAAATATGTAGTTAAAAATCATCTAAATAATGTCATTTTACTTCTAGTTCTGCTCGAGAAGAAAGTGACAGGAACAGAACCAGATTTCATTCACATGATAAAAGGAATGTACGACTCTTGCCTGGATCTCAGTAAGTCTTAATTTTGAATTAAATAAAAATGGACTCGTTAATATTTATGTATTATATATGACTCAAATAATCAAGATGTTTTGATCTCTAAATGGCTAACCAGCTATTTTATTTTTCATTTTTTTTTCGTTCGATATAATATATTAAGCATCTCTAACATTAAAAAAATCATCATATCTCGAGCAATATAGTTCTGCACTGTATAATTTCGAAATCTAAATTATTAAGCAAAAGCTCTGTGCATATGCAAACGAAATATCAATAACATAATACACATTTCGTTTGATTTTACCATATTAAAAAGCTTGTAAGTAATACTCTTGAAAAATTACTGGAAATCATAGTCGCTTTCGATTTCACAATCATCTTATAAATAAATGTAAATAACTTAAAATATATTATGAATATGATTCTGAGGCATTTTTAAAATTTATTATTATAACATGTATACATGCTAATTATCTTAAACTCCCCAGATTTACATAGCTTAAATCAACCACCTTAAAAATTAAGGCACACTATTTCCAAGAAAGTTGGTGTTGAAATAGAAAGAAAGCTGGTGTTGTTGAATACGTGTAAATATACATTTTGTTTAGCCAACACGAAAAGAAAGCTTTTAAAAATTGCTTCTAAAGTAATCATTTTCTCTATTTTTATGAAAGAATTTGTCTTCGTTTCTTTCTCTAGCAATTGGTCTTCACATTTTTCTTACTAAAATATACTCAAGGATTATATTGAATTTCATGCCATGTGTATGAGTGAGTGCATCACTGATCAGGCTGCTGCAGCACTTAAAGGGCACATTAGCGAGTTGTCTGATCAATGGGAAAATATTTATCATAGAGGAAATATCGATAGAAATATGCACTTATTGGTAAATGAACGAAAATGTGAAGCAATGAGTAAGATAACTGCATATATCAACGCAACGTATTTATCATGCATTTAACGTATAATAGAGTGAAATATGCAGGCATTATACATTGCACTGCAGTGTAAACTGTAAAGGCAGATAAACTGTTACATTTATTGCATTTTTGCTATTAATTCAGCTGGCGACGTATCTTCTGGTATATACTGTTACGAAATGTACAGACGCGATGAGATAGCTTCCCCGCAAAGCAGGTTTATGGTTGCCATAAAATGGCAACAGAAGACGAGGTTGCCACATTTGGCGAGAAATCGCCCATTTGGCGACAAAACTGGCGATATGCCGTGCACGGATGGAGAACCTTCTGGAAGGAATTCTTATCGATTTAGCCCAGAATGTTCTCGAACACAAATCAAAAACTATATAAACCCTGCTGGTACGCGGAGAGTTAGTGCGAGTTGGTTAGTCTGCTTTGTCTAGCGAGCTGATAATCAGCCATTGAGTGAGTGTCTCGAAGTCTAGCGCCGAGTTGGTCGTCGAGTGCATCGAAGAGTTCTTAGTGTATCGCGGTTAGTGCATCGTCGAAAGAGTGTGTTAAGCTCCCGGAACGACTGAACCGAAGAGTCGGGGGCTGTGCTCTGTGTGTCGTCGAGTGCATCGCGAGTTGTAGCGCGGAGAGTCTTGAGAGTACGTGGAGCTCCAAGAACAACCGAGCAGAGTAGAGAGCTGTACTCTGGTGCTTTGCAGTGAAGCTGTCTCCACCGTTATTACCTGACAGTGTGAAGGCTGTGTCGCTGATTGTTTCAGCGTGTTTATAGTAGATCTTCGACGACTGTAAAAGTGTTTTGGAGCTGTCCTGATTAATATTGGTAAATAAAGTGTGTTCCTATACTTCATCAAGTGTCGTCGTTATTCACTCCAAATCTACGAACCCCGTACGAATGTGAAGGAAGAAAATAACGCAACAATATTTAAAAAGACAGAAATTAGACAACATTTTACGATTAAAATTAATTCAAATTAAATTTGTAATATTAGCTAAAAAAGAGCTTTTCCTAAACCCTTTTTAAATGTATAGACTTTAAAATAGTTCAGCAGAAAAATAAAGCTTTAAGAAAATGTTTTTATTCAAAATTAAAATGGAACTTTTTTATGAATTTGTAGAATTCGTTTTGCAAATATTAAAAAGTCATTTCAGAAAAAAATACTTTAGTATGACTTACTAAACTACTAGACTTACTACGGTTTACTTATATTACTTATATATACGGTTATTTACTAGACTTACTATGGTTTATTTACATTACTTATATATACAGTTACTTACTAGATTTACTACGGTTTACTTATATTACTCATATATACGGTTACTTACTAGACTTACTACGGTTTATTTATATTTAGTAAAGACCTCTGCGTCCACATAGAAACGCTCTAAGAGAACATAGATAGATAATGACAATATAACTTTCTAAAGTATTGATAGTAACAATAGCGAATCGTACTTCTAGAAGCAAAAGAATTTAGAAAAGATTTAAGTACAAAAATACAACTATCGATTATCGGAAAAAAGTTTGCATTCGACGATCTATTTTAAGTAAATTAACCAATCGAAAAGAAGGAAGATCAAAAGAACCTAGCAATTTACCGAACTAAATAAAATTCGTTGAAACAAAGTTTTGCTTGTTTCATTCTGCAGGAGTATAATGCAATCTATTCAATTTGTATTTAAAACTAAGACTTGCGTTGACATCATTTTATACAGTTTCACACTTTTGTCTCATTTAATGTTTTTTATTTTTGCTTGTATGGTAAGAAATAATTAAATGTTAAACAATAAACGAACATTATATCACTTGTGAGTGCAAAGCACTGCTTTTGTGAATATGTCCTACCAGAAAGGAAATTAAATTGCATAACAGTAGTAAATGTGCATGAACAATAAAACATTTTTGTCCTGTCTGTGCCTCACTAAACATTTCTTGCGAACAGAAAGCATCGAGAAATCGGGCAGCGAACCTCTGAAGAAAGCTTTGAAAGATCTCGGGGGCTGGCCTGTTGTAGAAGGAGAAAAATGGGATGAAGCCTCTTTCGACTGGATTGATACCCTTATTCGTTTCCGTCAGCTTGGCTACAGTCACGATATCCTGATAGACTTGTCTGTAACAGCGGACTACAGGAACAACACGGCTCACATCATAGAAGTGAGTACCTGGTGTACCATTCCGTAAATATGCCTCTAAATGCTCAAATTAAATCAGTATTATGAAAAGAAGAGTATGACGAAGAGGAATAAAGATTAGTATTAAACTCTTCTTGATCCTCAAGAATTCATGTCATTATAGCTAAGTAGGTCTAAATTCCTTAATATGATTGTAAATTCTATAGAAGGGAGTTTAAACGTGCTTCAATGCAGTACAGTAAAAGCATGCTGCACGTGACGAAATATCTACTAATTTACTAAGCCCAACCTACAGGCATAGCTCAGAATTCTTAATATTCGTGCTTAACCTGTTTGAGCACATGAACTACTATGAAACGCTAATCATATGAATATTTTTATCATAAATCAATGGTACAGAAGCATGTCAACTTAAATTTAAACTCATCTAAATTTATGGGTTGAATTTGGTAGAATAAACCTGAAAGTGAGTTCTGCCTAATTTCAAGTAAAAGAGTTAAAGAATAATACTTCGAGAAAAAGCGACTGTAAGAAAACCAACTATAAATCTTCTGAAATAAAATCTACTTTAACTATTACTGGTTTCTTAGCTAATACATTCTGCTTGTTAATATTTGGCGGAGTTTACTGAATGTTGTAAGACAATCGATGATACAGATAATAAAAAAACAGTTATATGTATACGTCTGTGGGGCGTTAAGTCTTAAAATCATAGAGTAGATCAATATACGGTTAAAAATTACCTTACAGGATCACTGGAAATAGAGACCAGCTTCCATAACTGAACTTCTTATTTGCTCCCTCCTTTTTCTTCCTTATCCGATCTTTCTTTTCTCTCAAATTTGTACTCCCTGCATTGTCTAGTGATAAAACATTTCATGTGAGGAACTCTCTTGGAATGTTGCGAATTATCATCTATATATATACACGATAAAAATATGTGCATCAGTTTTATAATTTAATTTAATAATAGCCTCATAATTCCTTATTTTTAATTTGTGTATTTCCTCTCTGTATTAAAAAAATAACAACTTTTCTGGACTGCGCCATTTCCAGATTAATCTATGTTCCATGCCTTCCGTAACGTCGATGACGTAGCTAGTTCTGAACCTAAGCTCTAAATTTTGACAGCTGAAACCTTTCTAACCTAAACCAAAACCTTCCTCTTGGTGAGCTTCCATATTGGATAACAGCGCACTTTAGTCTGCCTCTCTTCCTATCTCAGGAGTATTCAAAAATATAAATATTCTTGTATAGGCAGATTAGACTGCCAAGTAAATTGTGGCCACGAATGTCAATTGAAATAAAAAAATGACTATTTAATCTTACTCGGCTGCCAAGTTTCCTAGGCATTAGGGATTGAACATTTTAGCTTTCTACGCAATCAGAATTCTTGATCTTCACTGGATCTACATTCTAAGCTATCAAGTATCTATGTCAATAGTATTTTTGCGTTTCTACGTCACATCAGTACTTCTAAATTTGTTTATCATACTTCATTTTAATCATACTTCAGACTTTCATTAAAAAATGGCTTACCTCTTGGTTAAAAAGAAAAAAGATTGCATGAAATATTGTTTCCAAAAAAGTCAATCACATAGCACTTTCCATTAAAAAAAAGTAATGCTGAATTTTGTTTTCATAGCCAACCCACATAAAACTATTTTTGATTTCTTTTTCAAGCTGGACCAGACATCATTAGGAATGCCAGATCGTACCTATTTAATGCGGGGATTAAATGATTCTTCTACAGCTGCTTACTTCAAATTGATGGTGAAAGCAGCCAATCAGCTGGGTGCAGATGAAAGTACATCAGAGGAAGAACTTCGAAAAGCCCTTGATTTCGAAATCATGCTCGCCAATGTAAGTAGTAAAGACTCTTCCTTTCATTTCATTAATCTGCTTACTTTTCTTAGACATACTCACCTGTCTCATTTTCCTATTCATTATATGTATTATGATTATTTCATAAGGATCTACAGTTCGTTCTTTGTATTACTTAATATCCAGTGAGTAGGAATTTCAAAGCTATCCAACTGAAATTTCTGCCCATAATTATAAAAATTCAGGGAATTAGTTATAAGGCTCCGTTCAGCCGGAGTATAAATGCTATAACTGGTTTAAGCCGAGGTTCCTTGCTAGGCAACCAAATCGTGCTACGTCACAAAAACTGGTTTAGGGCTTTGGCATAAAATACGAAGTTTCCAACTTTATGCCGACTTGGTATAAAAGTCGACCAATCACAGCGAACGCGAGAAATCTGAAAGAGAAAACAGAGCGGAAAAGCTGTAAACACAAATCCAAGCATACACGAATTTAGCTTCTCTAATTCGCTACGGCTTATACCCTGTCTCGCGGGTGTGAACGAAACTCCCGCATTTTATGCCTCATGACTAAGTCTCTGTGACACTTATACCACCATCTGGACGGAGCTCAAGGGACAACGTGTGTGTTCAATAATTTTTCATATAATTTGGCATAAAACTACCTGTGATGCATTAGAATAGTTACTGATAGAATGAAACATTTTTTTAAAGTTACGTTACGGAATATTCCAGAAACGCTTAGTGAATCTTTGATAGTTCTTTTAAGAAACTTTCCTTCACAGTTTCATTTCTCAGAGATTCAAGAAAAGTATATACGGGCTTCCGAAATGTGCTTCAACTTCCTTTGTAGAAGAAAAATGGGGAACTATTAGGGACGTTGCTATTATGTTAACATTAGCATTGATTAACTGTGGGTTTTACCCACTTAAATGTTTTGCCCGAACACCGTTCGGGTGTTGCGAAAAGGGACATTTTTGATTTGTCCGTACACCGCTCGAGCAGTGTATTTTCCCACACCAATCCACCGAATTCCCCGGCTTTTTTTACATTTTTTACTTTGCAGTGTTTCTAATAGATGTCTCTAGTGGTCCAGGAGAGAGAATGGATTGTAAAATAAATTCAAGGATAGGTTTTACCGCTTTTCATTAGGTGGAGAAATTCAATAAGTTTGTTTGCACGTGTTCAGTGTATTAGGCTTTGCGGATAGTATTTCTTCCCTTCAACTTCGACTTTTCCTGTTACTCAGTCCAAACATACTACTATCATGCGCCCTTGCGGCACATTTATTACTGAGCCGGACACGTCGCGTTTTAGCGGCGACATCCGGGCAATAGATATATTGATTCATTGATTGATTGATATTTCTTCCCAGTTTTGTCATGAAAATAAAAGAACGATGGGTAACACTAAATGGCTTGTAACTGTTCAATAGCAATTCTGATACTGGATCAGATAGGGAATCTGAATTTTCTATAAACGATTATGGTAGTCCTGAAAGTTCTTTTTCGGAATTCCCTAGTGATGATGACGAAACGGAAAGCTCATATGATCTAATTCAGGTTCGGGACTTTTGTAAAATGGATGCGAGTAATCCTTTTCCACCACCGCCCCGCGATTTCCTTTCACAGCGAATTTACTTCTTTCACATTTACCTCCTGTAAAATGTTCTTTCTAGATCTGCAGTTTCGTCATAAAAAAGCCAACTTTAAGTAAAAATGCCTTAATTTCGCCGTAACTAAAAATTACCTTAATAAATGCAATACTTGTAAAACTTTTGACTACTGATTTGAATTTATGTAATCGGCTAAATTACAAAATTGGTCATAAAAAATATGCTTATTTTTGGCCACAAAATGGCAGGAAAATGAAGCAGTTAATTTGTTATTGAACATCATTCAGCAAAATAAGATTATGACAATATCAATCTCTTTATGTTCTTACCCATCAAATGATTTATTAATTCATTTACAAAAGGATCGATTAATGCAACACATGAAAATTATGTTTCATTTATAAAATGCCTGTATATATGAACTTAGTTTTCGGATAACGAGCGGAATGCAGTGGAAATGAGAATTAATACAGTGATCATTTCAAAATTTCAGCCATTCCCTGATTATTTTTTTAAACCTGCTCTTCTTTAATTAACTAATTTAGGTTCAGTAAAAAAAAATTGCAAGAATCAGCAAGTATTACAAACTTAAGACTGCATTATTGCTTAAAGTATATTATTTAATTAAGCTTCGAAATGAGATACATTCCGCAAGAAAAGAAGAAGAGGAAAGGCCTTATTTGTTTACACTAACTGCACATAAGTCGCGTGATCTCTGAAGTCATGTATCTCGTTCCTTGATTCACATGTTTTGTACTTCGCATGCATTTTCTAAACTAGTTTTACTTTTTCACAGTTTTCTCTGCCACGTGAGGAAAGACGGAATATGAGTAGCATGTACAACAAGTACACCGTTAAGAAGCTTATGGAGGAGGTACCACAGGTAAAGTTATTGCCTCATAAAATATTTCGTTGGCATTCTTAAATAAAATGGCAGCTATTTTCACAATTTTACATGTATCAAGCATAGCAGAATGTATAGCATTCTTGTAAAAAACTATTATTTTATGCTTACAAATAGACATAAAAGCACTTAAATTATCATATTTAAAATTAAATTTAATCAACTATTTAAATTTTGATTATGCGTGTCTATAGCTAATGGGTAAAAGTGGCAAAATACGCTTTGATTGTTACTAGAATATTTCTTGTCGCCCATAGTGGTTAAGGGAGCCTACTGCGGTACCGAAGGGCCCGGGTTCGAATCCCGGAGAAGGCATGGAAAGGCATATCTATAAATGTATAGTGTCTCTGCAGAATGGGGACACTTTAAATATGCCTTGACCATTCTTCCATGCATTTTATCGAGGAATGGACAAGGCAACCATTAATCCATGAAATACATGGATGTCTATAAATGTATAGTGTCTTAATATACAATAATAGTGTCTGTATATGTATATAGTCAGCATGGAGACTTTCTAAATATGTGGTGAACCGAAAGGCCTCTAGTGTGGTTTGTTGATAGAGGAGAGAGGTCGAAAATTTTTGGACCATTCCGCGGGGTACTCTCCCTCAAAGTTGGGGTGGAAATATCCAACCTCCTTGAGACTCTGGCAACCATTCTTCCATGAAATACATGGACAAGACAACAACAGAATATTTCTTTTCCTATAAGGAAAAGAGGTATTAGGCTTTTGTTGCCTAATAGCGATTTATTTCTTTTCTATGTAATACAGCTTAAAGCATCTACCATAGTTAAATATACTCTTTTTGGCGTATTGTGTATTTTTAGCTACTGTATGCTTATGACGTTTTTCTTCCAAATATTCTACGTAGTGTGTATACTACATGTATTCTACATAGTGTGTATAAAATACAGTGTCTGCTTCTGTAAGCTACATTAATCATGAATTCTGTAAGCAATATTTGCTTACTGACTATTTCTGTAAGTAATATTCGCTGAGTAGTCTAATCATTCCTTACTCTGGATCCATCACTGAACGCTGAATGGTTCAGGATCATGTAGCAGGACGTTTTCTGAAGAGTATAAGGTTTTTCTGAGGACATTTTCTGAGGAGTATAAGGTTTTTCTGAGGGGTATAAGGTTATTTTCTCCCTCTTCTCTGCATGCCTTCGTGGTGTAACGGTAGCACACTCGGCACGTATTCGAGAGATCCAAAGTTCGAGTCCCGGTGAGAGCATTGCTCATTCTTCACTTCTCCTGCTTCAGAAACCCTAATGACTCTAATGGCGCCCGAACTAGAACGCCTAATGGCGCCCGAACTAAAACGCTTAATGGCGCCCGAACTAAAACGCCTAATGGCGCCCGAACTAAAACGTGGTGGATGATGATTCTTCACCGCCAGGATTTAGTAATTGGATCCCCTAATCCCCAGTTGCCCTTTAAAAGGAATAATACATAAAGTATTTTCTCCCTCCTTTCTGCGTGCCTTCGTGCTATAAGGGTAGCACACTTGGAGCGTATTCGAGAGGTCGAGTCCCGTCGAAGGCATTGCTCATTTTTCATGTTTCTTACTTCAAAAATCCCAATGACCTCTAAATCCTAATGACCTTCTAAAATCCTCTACAGGAAAATTTATAGTTGTCTCGAGTATCCTTATTAGATCCGATAAGTCTCCGCACATTTACATATTTTAATCTATAGGAAATAATGTATCTATAGTATAATAGTCTAATACATGTTTTTTAACACCTGACCTTCTTAAAGTCACTTTTTGGGTCATCCTTGTAATATAAGTATAAAATTAATCTTGTCTTGACGTTTGAATTATTGCTTTGTTACATAATATTGAATACTCTTTTTGGAAAAAAAATTGGTTTAAAGTTTACGAGTCGTTGCTTTCTCGGCCAAAATAGAAAGATACTTAAATAAACGAAGTAAGAAAGTTCTTAAGTATAGTTGATAGAAACTGTAATCGATTATTTTAATCGTGGAAGAAAAAAGGAAGGAAGGGAAAAAATAAATAAAAAGTCTGAATGAAACATTTATAGGAAATGAAAGTAATATTTTATATTTTTCGTATTTTTAGCAGTACCTACTTTATTATTGAATCTAAGTATTATTTTTTAAAGTTTATTTTTTCCTAGATTTTATTTTCTTATTTGTGCTTCATGATATATGTCGGAAAAGTACCCGTATAAGAATAAATGTATAAAATACTTTTGTTTTATTTTTCGGCAGATTGACTGGCTGAAATATTTCAATGGACTACTGAACAATGAAATCACAGAAAACGAAACCTTGATTATTAATGTGCCAAAATTTGTCATCAAGTTCGCTGAATACATCACAAAAGTCGATAAAAGGTAAGGTAAATTTACTAAAGATTTTGTGTTGTATACCAGGCATGGCCAAACTGAGGCTTTGCAACACCTTAACTGCGGCTCTCGGCCCTTTGGCCTTTAGGCCCAGATAGGCCTCGAGGCTTTTCCATAATCACATAAACCAAACCAAAATCTGTAAACTGTCGTTTTCTAGAGAACTCAAGTAGATCTCTACTTTTGCCTCAGATCCTAAGCTTCAAATAACACAAATCTATGCAACCTCTCTCGCCTTATATAGATTAATACAGAACTTCCTATAAGGAATGCAGAGTACATTTATTAAAATTGAATGGACGATTTGATGGCGCTGTCATTGAATCTGATTCTGCGTTATTAAACCTGGCATTAGATCTCTACATTCTTCAACTATGTAGCATTCGCGAACTGTTAGATACTTACTTGTACTAGATATCCCTCTCCATGTTTACATCTGTATTTATTATTAGGATACAAACAAATTTTAGCATAGATAAACTTTAACATAGTTAAACATTTGAACCTTTAAGATCCCTTTCTCGACAAAATTTGACAAATATAAGATAATTTAAGACAAACAATACAAAAAGAAACCATATTTGGAATCCCTATAATAAGTTTACTTTACATATAAAAGTATGAAACGAAGGGTTAACTCTCTACCTTTTATTTGACAATGCTGGAAAACTCATTAGAGATGACAAAATTCAAAATGGCAGCTTAAACGAAACAAATTCACCGTAGGTTTGAACATGGAAAACCTCTATAAGTAATCGTTGTTTGGAGACATTTCTGAATCAAATTTGCTAAAAATGAATCTCACTGTCACAACGTCGCAAACCAAATATAACGGTTTAAAGGGGGGGGGCTTGTTCGAGAAAAAAGCGCAAACGTTCTGGCATTTGTCCAGCTCAACAACTAAGCAGAAGTTCAATAATGAACTGGCGGAAAATATTTGTATGCATGCTATTTAGCCTTGAAGCCTCACAAAGTCCGTGCATCATACCAACAAAGACAAGTAAGAAAAATTATGGCGTGTTTTGCACAAGCCTTTGCAGTTCAAGTCTTACAAATCTGACAACGGACACTACCGAAAAGTCAACTGGAGGAAATTTAGTTTAGATGATTTCATGGGCAGACTCGCGTTCTATGATTAAGACACGTTTCATTTATGCTGCAAAGGGAACAGGTATAATATGGTATTTGATTCATGGAAAACTTGCTAGTTACATAAGGAATATATATACATGTAATTCTCTGAAGATAAACGTTTCCTGCACCTTACCAAAGCGCGACCTTTTTTCTTCGCACAACCTTGTAATTTAATTCTTGAGGATACTTGAAAAAGAAGATTTCCTTATGCCTACTTCTCAACAAAACTTGCAGAGCAAATGAAGAAACAATCAGGCGAGGCGTTTGGCTCAATTGATCAAGCTAGTATATTATTACCTAGGAAGAGTTTTACATTTATTGCTATCTTATTACACTGTGTGCAAAACTTAAGCAACAGGTGTTCTTTTTGCCATAGCTCCACGAGAAATCTTCTGAGAGACATGAAATTCAGAAATGTGAGACAGCAGTTTGTATTTAAACGATGACGAAACCATGGGTGCACAAAAATGAATACAATGCAAACAGTATGGAATCAAACAAAAAAGGCTTTATTGAACTCATAGTATCGTCACACAAGACTGTCTGTACAAGAGGAAGAACAACAAGCAGATATATTACTTAGCATGGGATATGCCCTCCCATTACTGCAATGGTTGCTTCGCACCGCCTCTCCATACTCAGCACCAGACTGTCCAACAGATCTTGAGATAAGAGTGTCCATTCCTCAATCACCATCTGTTTCAGTTGTTCGATGTTCCCGGAGAATGTAATCTTGCAAGCCATCTCCCCAAAGCATCCCACACATGTTCTATTGGATTTAAATCAGGGGAGTACGCTGGCCAATCCTTTCGAGTGATATCGTCACTTTCGGTAGCTTCTGAACAGCAGGAGTCCGGTGTAGCCGTGCATTGTCATCCATAAAATCGGTCTGCTCCAATGGCAACCACAGAACAGACCCGTATGGGGATGGATCACCTCCTGACAATAGCGATCTCCGGTTACAGAAACTCTGTCGTAAATAGGGAGCTCTGTGCGCCCGTTCAGCATAATGCCTCCCTAGACGAAATCTCCAGTACCACCGTAACGGTCTCTTTACGTGATGTTACTGGAATGAAACTATCCTCGGATCCTGGAATGAAACCATTACTGGGATGAAACCGACCTGTCTCCAAATCAGCTGGCGTTTAGAATCGCTTGTGGCACTCATGCATAAAGAGGACACTGCTCCATTGATGAGAAGCGCAGTTTTCGTGCTACTTGCACCATTGTAAACAGTGTCGTCGATGGCCAACTTTCAAAGGAATGCAGCATAAAGGATGGCGGGCGAATAGGCTACCTCTGTGAAGGCGTCTGGACACAATAAACCGCGACACTTGTCGCCCCGTTGCTGTATACAGTTGTTGAGCTATGGCGCTTGCTGACTGGTTTCCGGCTCTTTTTACCTGCAGGACGATATATCGGTCATCCATTGCAGTTGTTTTCTTGGGACAGCCACCACCAACTTTTCTAACAGCTGTACCTATGGTTTGGAAGGTTTTCCAAGCGCGCGAAACGACACTTTTGTTCATCCCGAACTCTTCAGCCACACTGGTCACACTGCGCCCCTCCTCCAGCTTTTCTATCATTCTTCCAGGTGTGAAGTCATCCAGGTGATTTCTTATAGCCATATTTCAAGAAAGAACTCACTTGCACTTGCAGCGAATGGCTTAATTGCGTCTACGTCCTTCCTTTTATTGTAGACTTGAGTTGAGCCCGCCGACCGCACGTGTTTTGCGTACGCTCACGTCGCCTGTGACGTTTTCTTCCTGACATTTGCATACGTATGAACTTTCTACTGAATTGCGTGTTCATTGTATTCATCGCAAAAACTTCTTTTCTGCAATTTCATGGCTATGGTCAAAATTATACTTTTGCTTAAGTTTTGCACACCAGTGTATTTTCCCTTCATTTTCATTTCTACTTTCGTCGGCTTCCAGCGATATCCACGTTAAGTTCATGTATTAAGCGCAGATGTCTTAAGATAAATCTTTTGGCAGCTATAGCTGACGTCTCGCTATTACTTCTCTTAGTAGCTATTTTACGTATTCCATCTCCAGTTTGCTAGCTGTAACTGTTAGTGAAAGTTTGTGATCCTTAAACACAGTTTGTGGGCACTCTTTGTCGTGTAAAGTAATATTTTCAATTTATTTTATCATTTTTGATGATCCTACATACTGAGTAGAACACAGACCATGTAACCTTTAGTCATACAATTAAAAAAGAAGATTTATTTTAAGATTCTGAGTATTTTATTTAGAACTTTAACGCGAGGCGATAAGTCATCTGACCGTCTTTATAGGTCCAATAGTTTACAGTCAGGGTGGATACGTACATCTGTCTGGCTAGAACTCTGGAACTAAACGAGAATGGAGACGTCTGCCATGTTACAAAGGATTTTCAAATACAAGGTGGTTATAATTAAAGTGACCCTATTCAGACCACTCTAGAACCCGTTCTACTTATTGAATATTGATGCAATTTGCTATATATGTTATATGGACTATAGGGAAATGATTACTGCAATAAAAATAGTTCAAAGTTTGACCACCAGAGAGAATTGTGAGGCCTAAAGAAGGACAAAATATCTGCCAGAATCAATTAATATTCATTCAATTACAGAATGTGCTCAACGTGTGCTCCATCATCAATTACGTGTTGAAAGCGCATTATAGCGTGTGCAGTGGTAGCGCGAAGTAACTTGCGAGGAATTTCAGCAAACACATAGACTCGTCCAGAAGGGGCGGTATTACTTGCTGCAACGTGAAAGCACTTCTCTTTTCCGGAAAGAGCTAAACTGGAGGGAAAGAAAGTCCCCATCCTTCCACCCTATTTTGAGAATAATTCCGTCCGCATGGCGCATGCGTGTTTGCGCTCATGGTCGCGGAGGAGGCAGTCGAACTATACTAATAAATCTAGCAATTCATGTAGTGATACATAAATGTTGCTTCGGTCACATATTCCATCTGTAAACCAGTCGAACTCTTCAGCGATGGCTGTTGAATCTTGAGCTGGTTTTCAAATACAGCCAAAGCAAAATTAATGTCATAGAAAGAAAAGATACTTATAACTACTGTAAAGACGTTATTTCGTAAATACAGTAAAAATGAAAGTTTAGCTCTCCAAATTTCTACTGACATGCATAAATGTTATACAGGGTGGCTATAATTAAAGTGACCCTATTCAGACCCCGTAGAACCCGTTCTGCCTGTCGGATTTTGATTAAACTTGGTATATACGTTATATGGACTACGGGGAAAAGATTTCTGCAATAAAAAATATTGTTCAAACTGTGACCACCAGATGGCAATTTTCAAAAATTCGTTATGCAAATTAGTCAAACCGATAAAGAGACTTGCAGTCAGAGCCAGAAAATCATTCTGCGTGCCTTTGTCATCGTTAATCATGCCCTTGGAGAAGAAAGATCAAACTTTACTGCCAGAATTGTTTTATCAGACCGCACCGCTGTCTTCATGCAAGATGGAGCAACTCGCCACATTGGGCGTCAAGTCAAAGAACTGCTTCGCGCTAACTTTGGCGAGAATCGTCTTTAATATACAGAGTTTTTCCGGATGCCTTGACCTCCTCGTTCACCCGACTTAAATCGATGTGATTTGTGGTTGTGGGAATTCCTAAAAAACCGTGTTTATGGAGGAAGAATTGAGACTTTACCTGAGTTGAAAACCAGCATTACATGCCAACCCGGGTTGCGCTTGAGACGGTCAAACTATAGTAGTTTATCTATGTCCAAAATTATAGAGACAATTCGAGAGACACTTTCGAAAATTTTCAGTGATGGCCGAAGAACTGATGACTTAAAAATTCTGGCAAACTTCGCTAGGAATTATGCTAAAACGATGCAGCGCTCAATGTCGGCATAAATGAAATGAAGATTCCAATACCACTGAAATTGCAATCATCTTTTTTTATTTAGTGAATTCTTATTTACCGTGCATCAGTACAACAAGTCATTCCAAAGTTTTGATTTAAAATGCTTAACAATTTTTTAAATTAGGGTTCAAAAGATTTGAATGATGAAAATAGTTCTAAGATTCGAGATTTAGAATTTAAAGTCTTTATGAAAATTCGAGAGATATGAGGTTTTGAAAGTATCAACCTTAGGAAAAAATGTAGCTTATAATCCAATTCGCATCTAATGAATTAATTCAGTTTTTTAAAGTCAGATTTGATCTCAGTATGCTGGACCTCTTGCTATTTTTAAGGAAAAATAAAATTATCAATTTTAATGCAAAATCCTAAAGAAATTTAAGAAAAAATATTCAGTTTTTTTTTTTTTTTTTTTTTTTTTTTTTTAATGACTGATTTTTTACTCAAATGGAAAATCCTTTATAATACGTATTTTTAAACACCGATAATACAGTTCTTCCGAATTTGCTTCAGTTGTAATAAAAACAGACAACAATTATGAACGAAGAGGAATAAAGGAAACCAAAAGAATGTGCTTGTTTTTTGCTTCAAAGCCTAACTCTCAAATGCATAGTATAATAGTTTCAAATTTATAATTTGCTGCAATATACGTTTCTGATTGCAAAGCAGGATGAATAAAGTTTCACATTTTTATGAAACCATATTAAAATGCTAAAATGCAAAACTCTTATTAATTTACTTGAAATGTTTCTTTATTTCTTAAACAATATAAATATGGATTTGTGACTTTTTTAAAAAATATTTTTAACACCTCAAATTAGTATTATTATTGTCACTGCGTAGATTTACTGCTCTGGCAGAACAGAACTTAAGGGGACTTATTACCACTTAAGGGAAATATTTGCCGCAAACTTCTTTCGCAAGTGACCCAGTGCGAAATATGCACGGCTATGTCTTGAATAGATTGAATTACATGACTATGGGATATATTTTCACGCATATATATGGCATATAAATCCGACAGTTATTATTATTGTGCTGAAATAATATCGCAGTGGCTTCTTTCACAATGTATTCCACATAATAGCATAATGTGTTCAATGTTATCAACTGTTTTCTTTTTTCTACCGTTTGAAATTACTATTTCAACAGCTAGTTTTAAAACATACTTGAATTTCTGGGAATTAATTTATAAACTGGCAGCTTAAAATTGTTCCATATGTCAAAACAGAGTTTGGTTACGGAAAACCAGACAGCAACCCCCCTTTTTAATTGACGCAACACTTTTACGTAGCCTTCGCGGATTATTTGACATTCGAGGCTATGAGTAGTGTACAATAAATTAAATTTTTCCGTTTTTAATTTTATATTTCCAAGTAAAAGGTGTTTGAAATTTATCTCTTTATGCATAATTAAAAAATACATTCTTTTCAGTAAATAGAAAAGGTAAAATCTCACTAAAAAGATGCTGTTGGAACACCTTATGTAATAATTAGGGAAAGAAATGTTAGAGAAAGTATAAATCTATAACATATTACTATCACCTATTCTATCGGTAACTACATTTTTAATAAATGAAAAGAACTTTTAATAAAATCCTTATTTTTTGTTGAAAAATTTAATGACTTACGAAATTAAAAATCCGGTTTGCGGATTATCTGAGATTGACGCTGGCTAGGCACGAGAATGTGTGAAAAACACATGCACAAATTTGAGCTGAAGACGAAAGAGATTCCAATAAAATAATAACATTTCGAAAAACATGCAGGTAAATCTGACAGATAAGACAGATTTCTTTCTGAGAACAGATAAGTTCTCAAAAACAAATTACTGATTTTTTAGAAATAAATGCATGCAATATGTATGAAAATTGATAACTTGTTTTTACCGTGTTTTCAGTTATCCGTAACCTTCTTCCTCGGCATTAGCCCTGATAAGAATACACTGTAGTAATGCTTCCGAATTCTTCACCGTTTTTAAATCTTTGTCTTTTCCTTTAAATAAATGTTATGCTTGCCCTCCAAAGAATCTGTGTTTATTTACCAGGCGATTCATTAAAATTATGAATCTTTAAAAATAAAATTCCTTAGTTGAGTTCCAATATCCTAGCTAAATTTGTGGTTCTTGGACGCTAGAGTACTTAAGAACTGTATGCTGAATAATCGCTTAGTTTTCGTGCCAAAATGGCAAGTCTAAAGAAGGGTTAAATTCACACTCAAAGATATGATTCACAGATGGCCCCTTCTCGAGCTTACAGTAAGCCTCCACTTGGGCTTTAACGTTTGAGAAAGAATATAAGAAACTAATCTAATACTAAAACCAACCGATCTGCGCAACTAAAACCAGCCGAAGCTGCTCAGATATAACTATAGTTTGACCGCCTCATCCGCGACCATGAGCGCAAACACGCATGCGCCATTCAGACCGAATCATTCTCAGAATAGGGTAAAAGTATAGAAATGTTCTTTCCCTCGAGCGTATAAATTCTCTCTTTACGGAGAAGAGAAGATTGACACGTGACCTTTCACGTCGCAGCAAGTAATAGCGCCCCTTTTGGACGAGTCTATGTGTTTTGGCAGAATGCCAGCCAAGGTTGCGTTTTAGACGGTCGAACTATAACAGAGTTGGGCTTTATTAAAGATCACCGGAGAACTAGCAGGCACGTAAAAATATGACCGATGGGTAGTAAGATTAGACTTATAGTAACGTGGCCAGAAGGCAGAACACGCTCTCGTAACGCCCTGCTAGGTACTTCTGAGGCCTTTCAATGAAGTGATCGAGACTTCAACTTAAATACTGGACCTCATTTACATAAAACATGATCATGAAAACTCATACTGGTAGGGAATCGTAGGTGAGCAATAAGGAAGTAAAGGAAAGCTTGCTCAGAAATAAAAATAACTATTAGGAAATTAAAATAAACCTCTCCAGAATGAACAAGCAAAACTAAAACACTGTGCGTTGTTCTTTTTTCCCTAGGGTGGTGGCCAATTACATGATGTGGAGGGTTGCCGGCCAGTCCTTGTCTATATTATCGAAGGACTGGAGGACTCTGGCTCAAGAATATAGCTCAGTAATCACAGGAAAAAGCCAGGAAGAGCCTCGGTGGGAACAATGCCTCTCATCTCTTAGTGGAAGCTTAGGAGTTGCTCTCAGTTCCTATTACGTGAAACATTACTTCAGAGAAGACAGCAAAGATGCGGTAAGTTTCTAAATCTGACCGAGTGCAGATTAATGGATTATGTTGCTGTAGTCTCATGACTTTGCTTAATCGGAAAATCAATTCCTATTGCTTCTTTATAATGAAATCAAAATTCATTTAACACTTTTCCAATAGCGGTTGTTATGTGTAAAGTGTCCACTGTGTATGACTGTGAAAATTACTACTATACCTACTTCAGCCTGTATTCATATATGTAAATAACGTGTGTGTAAATAAAAACAATACTAAATTTATAAATAAGAGTTTGAGCTTGAAAGTCTAGATTTCAAAGTTAGGGTGATGAGGTTAGGTTATAGTTAAAAATTATCTGATGTACACACCACATGGCTTCCTTGTACGGCCTTTTAAATTACACATATTTTTTGCTGAACTTCATTCAAGCTTATTTTCTCAAACTTCATTAGAGATATATTTTTCATTTAATCAATTCAGTTCTCGATTCGCGGTAAGGCAAAAAGTGCATAAAAACTCAAAACAACTTCATTAAAAATTGTAAAATATAGGATAATCTAAAACAACGAATACCGTAAAAAAACGATTTTTACAATTAAAATTTGAGTTTCTAACAAAAATCGGCTTCCTTAGGCCTAGCGCCACTTCAGATAAATTATTAAACTGTTGATAATTTTACAACTATTGCATGCGGATTAGCTAAAGGCATAACAACATAATTCAATCAATTTAAAGCAAAAACTGCACAATTTAACAAAATATAAGAATAAAAAACTTAGATCACCAAGCTGGGTAACAGAGTGGGAATATATATAGTACAGGGTTATCCAAATTAAACTTCCCCAACTCAGAGGCCTGTGCAGAGTGTTGTATGGGTCATAATGTGATGAAATTTTAAAAACAGACACTTCAGATCATGCGCTCGAGATTTATTACACAAAAAAAATTAGTACAAGAAGTTGCCGATAGGTGGCGCTGTAACACTAGTAATGTGCCTATTGCAGCAGCGTGATTTGCAGAAATAAAGCTTCTGCGCAACGTATCCAAAAGACGAGCCCTACAAAAGTGGAAGACAGGCCTTGCACAGGCAGATGAGCTCGCTGATGCACAATGGTGACTTTGAAAGACAAAGCTCTGTTAGTGAAACTTTTCTGCCAGAATGACGAGAACTTCTGTGCTGCGATAACAGCATTCCGTCGGCTGAAGATCATACGCCGAGTACCAATGACACCACGCGCTTACGAGACATGATGAAGAAGTTCGAAAGAACGGGACAGCTGGGAAGTTTACCAGGTAGAGGACGACAGGTTGTGGAATCTGCACGCTAAGAAGACGTTGCTTTGGCGGTCGTGGACCCCACTAGCCAATCGCCACATGGTGTTGTCAGTGTTCCAACTGTTTCTCGTGCTGTTGATATGCCCTATACGACCGTCTGGCGTGTGATGCGTCGAATCCTCGGTTATTTTCCTTACAAAATCCATAGTCGTCATCAGCTGTCCGACGGGGATCCTGTAGTTCGGGAAACATTTGCGTTGCACTTCCTTGCCAGAGTGGAAGTCGATGCTGCTTGGCCGTAGAACATCCTTTGGACGGATGAGGCCCATTTTCACCTGAATGGTCAAGTGAATACGCACAACTGCCGCATTTGGGCAAGTGAAAACCCGCGTGCAATCCATGAAGTGCCCTTGAACCCTCCAAAGGTTACTGTATGGGTGCGGTTTCAACATTCGTCATTGGGCCTTATTTTCTTGAAGAGGTGACTCCAACAGGCTTCAAAACCTGCTTTGTCACAGGAAAACTGTATCAGGACATGTTGATAACGTTTGTGATCCCTGAACTGCAACAAGTGGCCGCCTCCAGGACACGATATTTATGCAGGATGGTACACCTCCCCATATTCTTCGTGGCGTTCAACAGGTGTTACGGGCAACTTTTACCGATGCACGTGTGATCAGCCGCTGTTTCCCTACAGCTTGGCCTCCCCGCTCGCCTGATTTCACGCCATGCGACTTTTGGTTATGGGGATTCTTAAAGGATCGGGTCTACCGAGAACACACAGTGACCTTGGTACATCTGAAAGACGCAATTATTCGACATGTTCGTGGAATTCATGTAGACTTACGCTATGGAACACACTGCTTTGCGAATGGAAAGAGTTGTGGAGAACCATGGCACACATATAGAACATTTGTAGAATGTCTTGTTGATTTGCAGCACCACCTATCGACAAATTCTTGTACTAATTTTTTTTGTTTAATAAATTTCGAGCGCATGATCTGAAGTGTCTGTTTTTAAAATTTCATCACATTATGACCCATACAACACTCTGCACAGGCCTCTGAGTTGGGGAAGTTTAATTTGGATAACCCTGTATATATGGGGTCAATTGCAACGAAAAGGGGAGGTACATAACTAGATGTTATAACAGTCCCGTATACAATTTTCAACGTTCTAAGGCTAATAGTTTTTTAGTTATGCGAGATACGTACGTACGTACAGATGTCACGAAAAATATCTCTTTTTAATACATTTAAATCTATTTTACAATCCGTTTTGGAAAAAAGAGTCCTCTGTTTTGTTTGTACGTACAGATGTCACGCAAAAACATTGTTCAAGTGGGTTCGAGAGCGGCCGAAATAGATATTTTCGTCGAAATTAAACCCGAATTTTTTTGCGATTTCAGTACTTCCTTTACTTTAAAGTAAAAATAATAAAAAGCAAATTTTTTGTTGTTTAATTTGCCTACAAATTAAAAAACAATAAAATTTTCTGTTTATCATTTTTTAATAAACAGCTTTTGTAGTTTGGGAATGTTTCTCATTTGTTTTATTGCTCACATATAAAGCAAGTTAAATTTTTTATTTTATTTTTGGAGCTTATGACGCAGTTCATTTAATAAATGCAATACTTTTTATGATACTTTTAATGAAGTACTTTTAATGCGTTGCTAGTGTGTACCCCTCAACATGTCTTTTTTTTAAAAAAAAAAAATAGTTTAGTACTCTTCTGATTTTAAACCATATTTTTCCGATTACTAGGATCTTCGGTTTGTTATTAATTCATCATTGGAAAAGTAAGATCAGAAAAATTCATCAAAATCATCCTTTCCTCCAATTAATACTTACAAAATCTTCAGCAGTTTTTTTACATATCAATCATTAAAAATAATTTGCTGTAATAAATAAGAATTAAGCAAAAACTTAATTATAGTTTTCGATTTATTAAATTTTCAGAAATACACATTTCTCATTTTACCCTATTTAAGTTCTTTTTCTTGAATGTGATTTATTATCTTTAAGGGAAGTTCATTTCTCTGATAGTTCTTTAATAATTTCTTATAGAGTACAAAATGTCTAAAACTAATCTTCGCATTGAGGAAACTAAATGGCTGATTTTTGGCTCATTGAGACTAATTTTAACGTTTTTTTAAGAAAAAAATCTGTATTCTATGAAGCATTTCTTATGAATTACAGTAATGCTGGAATAATTTATGAAAATTACCAATTTGATGCGTTATAAATGAAATGATTTTAAATACCAGTTAGATATAGCTTTAAAAATAAATGGATGTATAAATCATCGAAAAATGTATGGCAACAGCTGTCAACCTATCAGATGATAAATGCTTTGCAAAAATGTTTAAACATTTCGTTAAAGGTGTTTCTAACATCAAAAGGATTTCATTATTTAAAACTAAAATATAAACTGAAAACACATGTCATGATGTAGCATCAGAGGTAATCCACTCAAAGACTTGAAAAAAATTGAATATCTTTGATGTAATAGATGCTGTACTCTTTCTTGTGAGAAGTTATAATAGTTATTCCGAAGATTTTTCAAAGATTCGAATGCTAATTACTTGCGTATGAAAACTTGTGTATGAACAAATGCACCAGAAAAGAATAAAATTTCATGGAATTTTAAAGCCATGCAAAAAACATGGCTTTAAGTTAAAAAAATAGGTTCTTACGTATTGATGCAACCACCTAGGTGCAGTCTAGTGGTCCTTTACAAATGAAAAGGTAAGCATCACTTATTGGGTGGAAGTTCGCGATTTTCGAGATCGCCCCCCCCCATATAATCCCTATTTACGGTAAATAGATAAGCATTGTCAGCATACATTGTAGAGAGATTAGGTTAATTGGAAAAGCCAGAGAGATGAAAAATGAGCAACGCCTTCGCCGGGAATCGAACCGCGGACCTCTGGAATACCGGCCCAGAGTGCAGAACCACTGCACCACGAAGGCACGCTAGGAAGGTGGGAGAAATACCTTACAACATAAAAGAAAAAAATTTAAAATACAAAATGGTAATTATTAAATAATGATTATATGACACATTAAAATATAAAACACTTACATCTTTAGCGAAGTGCTTCTCTAATTTTTTTAGCGTTTTTTTCCCATACACACTGTGATCTGTTTTCGCTTGAAACAACGTCAGAGAATTGAACGAACTTGGTACTATGCACCTGCTATCTATCAAATTCATGTCATCATCTTTCCTTTTAGCAAAATGTTGCATTTATGTTTTTACCACAGTTTCTCCCATTGCTGGCAAATTCCACAAGCGATATTTTAAAGCAAATGCAAAATCTATCAGGATTTGTCTATAAAATTCGGTGGAACTATGTAATACAACAAAAGGAAAGAATGCGAAAATGGCGAAAGATTGTTATGATCATGGTTGCCTAAAGAATGTGTGTGCGCATGGTGGCCAAAGTTTGGCTCACTCTGGAAATTTGACGTCTTCTACTAAGGTGGTTGCGATAATACCTAAACTTAAAAAATATATAGATATTTTTGTTAATTATATGATGCTTAAATTTAATGTTTTACATTTGTTTGTATATTTTTAATTTCTATCTTTATTAAGTACTTTCACAAGAATTGTTAACTTTTGTATAATGAATGATGTGCTTGAGTGAAACTTTTTCTTTCTTTTTAGGCATTAGAACTAGTTGAATATATTCACAAAGAGTTTTTAAATATCCTAGCCAACATAGATTGGATGGACACAGAAACTAAAAAACAAGCCAAAGAAAAGGTTTTATTATACATATTTTTTTATTTATTATTATTTTTTCATTTTTCACATGTTTACTCAGTTACTTATATTTTTTAAAATCTTAAATTTCATAAAGTTAAATCAACTTTTGTTAAACAAAATCCCGTCGTAATAATTATTATAGATTTCTAAGATGATTTTTCACTTTTCAAAATAATAAAATAGTAGTCATCAGGTTTATTTCAAGCTGAAAACATGAAAATGTGCAATTCACTAGGCAGAAGGCATGCTATACACGTAGAAATATAGAAGGCATGCAATACAGTACATCACGAAGGCATGCAATATGGAGGGGGAAACCTTACATTTTCCCTCACTTAAAGAGCGACTTGAGAGCCCTGGAGCCAGTCTTCAAACCAAGGTGATGACGAATTATCATCTACCACCTTTCTAATTCGCGTGCCACTGTTTAGTTTTTGGGTTTATTTGAAGCGGTAAACGTGAAAAATGTGCAGTGCTCTCGTCGGTACTCGAAATGCAGACCTTCCAATTGCTAGGCGGACGTGCTTTCCAATTACTCCAGGAAATGCAGGTGATAAAGAATGCGAAAAATCTTATTATCTGATAATCGTATTAGTTTCAATGAAGTGCAGTCATCAGTTTAGAATTAGAGAAATCGGTATTGTTCTGTTATCAAGAGCGAAGTCATCGCCAAATGTTTTGCGAAACTTGCCAAGAGATTGATTACTATGAAGTCGCCAATGTATAAAGTCGCTACAAAGTTTACTTTTCTAAAAAAAGTAAAAGAATGTTCTTACAAAATCGCTAACGAGAATACAAATTCTAAAGATGTAACGGTAACTTGTGTTTTTATTATTATTTTCACCATAAATATAAAACTTTGAGACTCATCTAATGATCAAAGAACTTCTAAAAAAATTCTTCAGGAACGAAGAATTTTTCGCTTAGTAAGACAGTGCTCAAAAAAGCATAAAATGAAACTCTACTTCAGTTCGTTCGAAAAAAGCTTCGAGATGGAAATGTGAAGATATGACGTGCCGATTTAAAAAAATAATTACTTTCTCATAATTGGTTTGAAGGATAGATAATCAGTTTCCTAACGGCAATTCGTTTCATTTGTGCACCGTGTTTAGAATTAACTTCCTTGAATTCGATTTTCATCAACTTGATATGAATCATTGCACTGCTGTTGACTGGAATAGATGTATAAGAGAAGTCGGTGGCCATACATTAAAGTTTTGACCTTCAGTTAAAATAGGCGGCTCTAGTAATATTGCCGAAGTTGACGAAAGTCTGTTTGGCCTCAAAATAAACAACGTTGATAGTAATCTTCTTCCCCAGTGGGTGTACGGCGGAATTTAACGAGGAATAAAAAGGTATTTTTCAGTTGCCGTGCCTAACCGCTCTGCTAGTTTCTGGAAAGCAAAAGAGTACAATTACGAGATATCTACGTATTTTATTAAATGTTAAATGAGTGTGCTCCTCTATTTTTACTTTTTCGTCATAGCTTTCTCTTAAAACTCGTCTGGCGCTGCATTGCACAGGGAAATAAACAATTTTAATTACAGTTCTACTAAAAATAGCTAAATAAATACAAAAACCGTATTGATATAATTTTATCGGTCTCGGTAATGGTTGTCATGCGCAAAACTATTGAAAGGGTATGGAGGAGTTCAAAATGACGAAATAATCAATTAGATTCTTTGTTGAGTTTATGTGGCGGAAGAAGAGCCTTAAAACGCAAATGTTTTCAGACATTTTAAATGATAATCCCTAGTTTCAAGACTCCGCGTTAATCTGAATTTATTAATGAATTCTTCCCCCCGGTTCCTTTCGTAAGTTGCTTAATTTACATTAAAAATTTCTAGTTTTACGAATGCCTATTATGTTATCGATATATGAATATGTGTTATGTTGTCGATTTACAAATATCTGTTATGTTGTCGATTTACAAATATATGTTATTATGATGATAATCGTCTTAGTTTTAACGGAGTGCAGTCATCAGTTTAGAATTACAGAAGAATTACGGAATTACGGTTTAGAAATATTTCTGACTACTCAACTCGTTTGAAAGATGTCAAACATGTTCACTTCTCCCACTAATTATCTTTTCCTTCATATAATTATTAACTAAATTAGTTTTACCTTTTAAATAGAATGTATATTTTGAATATGTAACCATTCATGATTACATCTATATCTATTTTCCGAGAAAAAGAATGCTAATTTGTTTATAACTTACAGGCTAATGCCATAACACCATATATTGGATACCCAAAAGAGCTTCTGAATGATACTTACGTTTCCGATCTGTATACAAACGTAAGTACTAAAATTTTATTTGTAAAATAATTTAAAGATTTGTTGCTGATGCTTACTAATATTACTTATTTCATTTACAGTTAACGCTTAGCAACGAAAGCTATTTCGAAAACATAATGAAGGTGCGTAGGTGGTCAACTGATTACTCTTTTTCCCGGCTTCGGAAACCGAACATTAAAGGAGAGTATGTAATATTTTAATTCTTTGCATTTTAATTTTCTTTATTATTATTTTGTTGAAAAAGAGTATTGCAAATAAAAATTTAAGTAAACAATATCCCGAAAGCTTTGTCATTAACAACGAAGGTATTTTTAAGCCTCGGGTTACTGAAACGAAAAACAGCATGGTGTTTTTTTCTAGAAAACGATGTCCACATATCAGAAAATTCCAGTCGCTTCGGTTACAGTTCATTAGTTGTATATATATACCCAGCATTTCACAAAGAAAAATCTAGATTCTGCCGCCCAACCGGGATAGTGCTTAGTGACTCTAACTGCCGCACCGAAGAGCCTGGGTTCGAATTCCCAAGAAGGCCTGGATGTTTCTAAGTGTGTAGTATCTGTGCGGCATGGGAGCACTCTAAATATACGGTGAGCTGAAAGTCCTCTCGACAGGTTGGCGGTAGGGGAAGAGGGGTGCGCGATTCACGGACCCATATCCCCCCTTAGGGGTGTTCTCCATCAAAATTGGTGGCGGAAATAGGCAAAGTCGTACTGTCACCTGTATAGTGCCCAAGGCTCTTGCCAACGACAGGCGCAATCTTGACCCCTTGCCGCGATGAATTTCGTGGGCTTGCTCTGATTTCAGAGACCTGATCTGATGTTGCTGTCGACTGGGTGGGATAAGCCACAACAAAACAAAATCTAGACCCTAGTTTACGTTTCATTTCTATATACTCAATACAAAAATTTAACACGTGCATGACGTAACTGTCTATCTCAAATTAACATTGCACGTACCAAAGAAGTTAGAAAAGATGGAGTAAGCCGCCTTGACGTCACAGAAGTGCAGCCAAGGAAATGTCGACAACGTGACGTCACGACTTATCATGGCCGCCATACAGAGTGCGCGTAAGACTGCGAAAGATATTGTTAAATATAATATACTGACTGAGAGCAAATATCAATGTCCACAAGCTCAGAAAAATTTCTTTAGGTATAATTCACATAAAATACCATTGAAATATCCACCGCTGATCTTCCATGCATACATTTGTTATATCTTATATACATATAACTATATGGTTACCATTCGCACATTTTCACGTAACTAGATTTTATTAAGTTTGAAACAATTACTTGCAATCCTTGTTATTTTTCTATATACTAAGTAAAAAAATACCTTTATGTTACGTACTAAAATTAGAACGGGAGACTTATAAACATTTAATGATGATGTAAGCAGCTCCGATCAGAATATAAACAAAATCAACCAGAAGTCCACTTAGGACAGCTGCCACGATAAGCCGTGACGTCATACAGTGACGTTTTATGGCTTCATTTTTTCACGGCACGTATGGCAAAGGCTTACTCCAGTTGTTCTAGTCTCCTTGGCACAAACTTAAGAATTTGCTCCAAATTAGTAAACTTCAGTTGCATAAATGGTATTATTTACGTAGTTAAAAAATAGCAACATTAGTCCAAAAATTAATTTATGACTAACTCTAATTTATAAATCCATTAAGATACATCAGTAGTTGGGTAACGTTAAACATTAATTTTTCAAAAGATATAAAGTTTTCTATTTTGTGAAACGCATTTATTTGTAAGTATCTTATAGTAACAAATTAAGTTGTACAATTATGTCCACTTATATACACATATATTTAAACCACCACTTATATTCGCTATTACTAACATGTATATATATATATATATATTTTTTTTAAGTAACGTAATTATAAGTAAATTAATAAACCTAAACCTTACGCTAAAGCTGCTAAGTAATAAACCAATAATTTATTATTAGGAAAAAGTTTTTAATATATAAGTATTATCTCCAAGGAACAGAAATTCAATTAAAGAAAACATGTTTAGTCAGTATTCTAACTAGCATTTTAAATCAGTATAATCTAGTCCTTTATTGCAGTAAAAAACATTTAAACACCAAATTTAAAAGTAAAAATTGTTAAGTACTGAAAAAGTAGTTAGTGTCATTGATTGCAGATTAATTGACTTGTCAAGGGGAACAAACCGATCTACCATCAATTAACAATAACACAATAAAGTGAGACTGTTTCATCTTTTTCCAAGTAAGGCTCAAATTATTATTTTGCTAGAGCTACTTCAAAAGGTATGAACAAATAATAGAAAGCAATTAGTCCATTTAAGTCAAATGACCTGCCATAAACTAAATAAAAATGAGTTAGATATTCTTATATATATGTGTGTGTGTATGTGTGTAATAAAAAATTGTGATGAAAACGAATTTCACAGAAGTATTAATGCAGGAACACTGAGACGTAGACGCGTAGAAATGCTGATTGCGAAGATACTTGATACTTAGACCGCAGAATTCATAAAGACTAAGAAACTTCGCAGTCGAAGCGGTTTTAATTCCATTTTTATTTAAACTGACGTTTGTGGCCACAATTCATTTGGCACTTTAATCGTGCCTATTCAAGAACATTTACATTTTTGATAATATTGTGACAGGAAGGAGCACAGCGAAATTACGTCCAAGCAGCGTAGAAAGAGAAGCTAAAGTGCGTAGTTATCCAATATGGAAGCTTACGAAGAGGAAGGTTTTCATTTGATTTAGAAAGGTTTCAGTACTCAGATTTCCCAATTACTACGTCATCAGCGTTACACAAACTTCGCGGCACAGATTAATCTAGAAATGACTCAAAAGTTCTAACTGGAAGAAGAACATGCAAATCTAAAATTTTAAATTTGGTTTAAAAAAATCGATCATAGATTGGTGTAGATTTTCAATGTCTATTTTGTGGGCAATTAGGCAAATGTCTCTTTTCGCTAACAAAAGAATTTGTTATCTTAAAATAATACTTTATAAGACACTCTCGTTCTAGTCAAATAAATCAATCAATTAGTATACTTTTGTGTTTTACCCGCTGTTGTATTTAACCCTCATTTACGCATTTCAAAGTGAGTAGAAAGAAGAGGTACGGAGTTACGGAGAAGGTAGAAAAAATAGAGCTAACTGTTAGTGAAATTAATGAAAGCTTAATACATTCACATAAATACAGAGCTCTCTCGTTACACAGCTAGAGGCTATGTAAGAACTTAAGCCACAATTTTATGAAAGTGAATTATTCTCTAATGAAAAGCTCAATAATTGCATAAAACAAAGAATCTATCCACGCATATGTATATTATAGGACACTAAAGATCATTTTCATGCATTTCAGTCAAACTATTACATACGTAAAAGGAAGTGAACAAAACAAAAGGATACAAAATACTATAACTAGAGTGAAATATATATATATATATATATAATATATATACGAACTTTTGTACCTATGGATAGCGATATCAATCAGAATCCTTTTTTTGGGGGAGGGTATATGTTTTAAATCAATCATAGGAAATATTGGTTGAAATACTATTTCCCAAATTTTCAACTACACTCATGTCCATAAATTAAGGATAATGCAAAATCAGGCAGAGGAAAGTTAGAAGCAAAACAAATTTGACTTATTTGTAAAGCTTATTTATTAAACAAAAGGTAAAGAGCAAAAAAGATGCTATATGTTTTGATATTATTAAAAAATTAGCGATTTTTTTTTCTCCCTGGAGCAAATTACCAAAAAAAAAAAAAAAACCTTATTTACAAAAAACCAATATTACATGGTTGGTATTGATTGTTAATACATTGTATGTCTCCCAGACGATGCAATACAGTCCGTACAACGCCTAGGCATGCTGAGTATCAAATTATCGATCTGATCTTGGGGGATATTATACACCACTCAAAAAGCAATGCTCTCCGAAGTTCCGGTAGACATGTAGGAGGAGGTTGACGGGCTGCAACTCGTCGGCCAAGCATGTCCCACACGTGCTTTACTGGATTCAAGTCCGGTGAGAATGCTGGCCAGTCCATACGGGTGATATCCTCCGATTGAAGGCATTCGCTTACGATTTTTGCACGGTGAGGACTGGCGTTGTCATCCATAAACAAAATTGTGCGCCCATGGCGGCCCGAAACAAATGTACATGTTGTTCCAGAATGACGTCCCGATAGATTTGGCTTGTCATGGTTCCAATTTGAACATGCAAGGTCAGTTCTGGAACCCAGAATAATTCCACCACCCAAAACGAGCACTCCTGCACCACCGTAACGGTGTCGTTCAAATGATGTTTTCTTGGTGGTAACGAATACCTGGAGCTCTCATATGAAAGTCCGGCGAGAATCAGACTGCAAGCTAAACCTGGACTCGTCGGAAAACATCACACAAGCCCACTGTTGCGGTGTCCACAATGCATGCTCTCTACTCCAGGCTAACCGCAGGCGACAGTGAGTTGCAGTAAGTGGAACGCATCTGACAGGTCTACGAGCATATAAGCCAATCTGCCCTAAGCGTCTGTACACGGTCTGCCTTGAAATTGTCGTACCAGTGGCTGAAGAGAGCTGACGAGACAGGTCTGAGGCTGTGCTCCGCCTGTTTCTTTTGGCAGTAACTGCCAAATACCGGTCCTCATTCGGCGTCGTAACTCTGGGGCGACCTGTGCTGTAACGTCTACTCACATTAACATCATCTTGGAATTGACTACTTGCTGTAACCCACTACTTGCTGCTCTGTAGAAAGCAGATCACAAATCTTAATTAATCTCACAAATTTCCCAATCCCAAATCTTAATAATAACTCTTGCAGATACCAACTTTTATATTTCAGGTAGAAAATAAGTATAAATTTTAATTTTTTTATTCGTCAATTTTACATGCATGTTTTCACAAACATCTAGTAATTGTTTTAAAATAAATTGTTTTGTTAATAAATTTTTTTAATTGCTGCCCGTCAGATCGTGCATTTGGCCCGCGTGCAATTTGAGTTTGAGACCACAGTAGACCATCATTCAGTTACAAATATTTACTTATTTTATACATAAATATAAATTGCAAATGTTTTTTTGCATTCTAATTAGACATTTATCCCGAAAATCAATAAATAAACCTACTTACAAGCTGGTTTTTATTTCTTTTGTTCTGCTAGCAATTTAATGACGACAACTTTCACAACAGAATCAAAACAGTTGTTCTTTTAAAGATTTCGCCCAAAAATACTGTATTTCTGCAGAAATTTTAATGTAGTTTCTTTTTGCTGGCAAATTCCACACGCGTATATTTTAAGATTGAGTGAAAAACAAAAAATATCACGATTTGGTTATAAAAAACGTTGAAACTTGGAATACAACAAAAAGAACGCATACGAAAATGGAGTCGTTGCTTGACTGATTCTTTGATTGTTACCAGCATGTTTGCCTGAAGAATTGTTATGCTCATGGTTGCCAGATTTTTGCACATTCTGAAAATTTAGCGACTTTTACTAAGATAGTTCCTGTAATACGTTAAGTATACAAAAATAGCGCATGCTTACTGTAACTGGTCTAAAATTGATCTCCAAATTAAAGAAAAATACATTTCCATCCTTTGGGAAAAGGGAGAAACCAAAAATAAACGCATTATTCTCGAAGAATTTAGAACACCGTTTAGTGTTATCGCAAAGCTCTTACGACTGCAAAGTGATGGATGATATTATGGGCGGCGTATACAGGGGTGTCGATTAATACCCATGTACCAAAAATCAAATTGAGAGCATTACATTTTGTACATTATTAACTTAAAATTTTATGTACGAAAAAAAATTTTTTAATCAATAAATTAAAAATAAATTTGTAGTTGTTAAAAACACAATTTTATTTTCATATCAATGGTATTTATTTTCAGATGGAAGAAGCACGCAAGGGCTGCTGTTGTCAATGCCTTTTATAATTCACTGGAGAACAGCATTGGTAAATTCATTTTTCTTTTTCTTTTTAAATTTCGATCGTTCTAATTTTAAAAATTTCCAGAGCAGTAATTTTGAAATTTATCTGTTATCAGAAACTAGAGTAAAAGTGAATACGAAAACTAGTCTTCTCCATCAAAACTAAAATTATTGAGGGAGAGGGAGACGCTTTTAAATATTCCGAAAAAAAAATATAAAGATAGTTATTCTTTTTCAAACTCATCCCTAGGTTAGCTACTTTAAATTTCACCAAATTCATCTAAAAAATTATTTTTAAAAAATGCAGTTTTTCTCTTCAAATTTAGAAATTACTCTTGTAGTATAAACAGAAACGGCATCTTTACAATAATAATTATATTAATTATGTATTTTGATGTATTTTGAATGAAATACATTTGAAAGCTTCTGCTTTTACACGATTTTATATCGGCCAATTTGTTTGTTCACTTGAATCAAATCTTGTAATCAATTTTTTACCCCAATCTTCTGACTCGATTTTCTTGAAATTTTGCAGACATACTTACTTCTCTGCGATGACAATGAAAAATCTTACATCATTACTTTTCAAAATTTGATACAGCTTTTTTTTTTTCCTTAATGAAGTAAATTTTATGTATTCTTTCTATATATGCTTCGTTTTCAGCTTTATACGAATCATTGCAGAACTTTGATCTTAGCACCTTCAGACAGATCGTAAAACAGACTTTAAAATAAAGTTTTTCGATAATCTTCAGTTTAATTTGCGATTTTATCAAAATTGATCGATTTTCTTTATTCATCGTGGGGTTCATAAAGATAATGGATTTTTAAATCAGAAGATCTAACCCATTATTATTAGCAGGCTTACAGATTTAAGTGACTTAAAATTAAACAGAAATTTAAATTAATTGATACCACCAAAGAGATCCGAAGACACTCAAAGAAAACTTCGTTAATACTCTGATTAGGAAGAATAATTTTTCTAGTTTCTGAGTCAGTGGTTTTCTTTTTCTTATTTTATAAACTAAAATATGTAAAATAAAGGAATATGTCATGAAATTTTTTAAATCAAACGGCTTTACTTTGCTCTAAAGTAAAAAATGATGCTTTCAGCTATCGCAATATTCTTGGCTAGACGCAGCTAAAAATAAAATCGCGGGATATCTATAGAAGACTTTAAAAGAAAAGAAACCGTTTTAAAAAACGATATGGAAATGATAAGAGTAATACCATCTTACTTTTTAAAATTTCTCTTTCTAAAAAATAAATAAAATAAAATAAAATAAAATAAAATAAACTAAAATAAAAAAATATAAATAAAATCTGAAGTGTTTCAGATTTTTAATTACGTCCAAAGGGGCGTTTTGTTAACGTTTTGTGTGTTACGTTTATTTATTAAATATCATGTTCTTTGCACTTAAACCATAAAATTTAGTTCAATAGCAATGTCGCAAAATAATTTTAAAATGAGCCTATCTTTAGAATTTCCGATACACAGTTCGACGCGCTGGAGATAAAAATGTTCCATCCCCCCCCCGTAGAGTGTTGCTATTGCTCGCTTTTAAATCGTTTGAGTTTGTTAATCAAAAATTCGGTAAAGTTTTACAAAATATGAAATCGATAATAAAACAAATTTAAAATTTGGGATTTCAGATGCCCATATTCGCAGTAGGATTACGTCATTCAAAATTGGATGACTCTATGTACTGTTGTTTTATCATAATGCGAGAAATATATACGCATTTATGCAGATTTTTCATTATTTAATTTCTTCAAATATAATGCAGGACTCTAACATTTTGTGGCAACAGTTTGAAAAGTGAACCGGCATTTATAGGAGTCAGACGCAAAATGCCAAAACGAAAGTAACCGTCCTTTGGTGACTCAAATCCCTTTGGACTAAAAATTCTATGCTATGCTAATTGAAACACGATCTTGTATATAAAATATAAGTTCCTTTCTTTAAAGTACTAGATACGGTTAAAGAGCGCTTCAAATGAGCCATGAAAAACTCGTAAGGAATACAAGGATCGTTCATGAAGAAGTTGCGGTAACAAAACGGATGTTTTATCGCTAAGATGTTCAAAGGAAAACTCAACTAGTTATATTAGAAAGTTTCCGCTCCCATTCTCATCTTGATAACTCCAAATGAGACTTGAATATTAAAAAAATATAAAATCTGAAAACTTCCATATTTTATATTACGCTCAAAGGAACTTTTTTAATGTTTTGTGTATTACCTTTATTTATTATATATCATGTTTTTCGCACTTGAACCATAAAATTCGATTCACCAGCAATATCACAAAATACTTAAGAAGAGCATATCTTTAGAATTTTTGATACACAGTCTCGCAAGGGGAAATAAAAATATTTCTTTATTTCGTACAGTGTTGCCATTTCTCGCTTTGAAATCGTCGAGTTTGGGAATCAAAATTTTGATTTTTGTTTTAAGTTTTACAAAATATGGAATAGATAAAAAAACAAATTCCAAACTCCAAATATGGGCTTCCAGATGCCCATATTCGGGTGGAGACGTACGTTACTCAAAATTGGATGGCTCTAGGTACCGTTGTTTTATCACAGTGTGAGAGACATACATACATTTATGCAGATCCTTCATTACTTAATTTCTTTAAATATAATGCAGGGCTCTAACATTTGGTGGCAACAGTTTAAAAAGTGATTTGCCGTTTATAGTGAATCAACGCAAAATGCCAAAACGAAATTAATAGCCTTTCTTGGCTAACGCCCTTTGGGCTAAAAAAAAAACTAGAAACTCACAGTAATATAGTTTTAGGAAGTGAGTATTTTATAAGAAGATATAATTAATAAAAAACACCATAAATAATTGTAAACTTCCAGTTTCAGAAATTCTTATTCGAAGCACCATCAACATCAAAGACAAGCCATTGATAATTTTCAAGTGAAGGGCCCAGAACTACCCAAACTTCTCGTGAACATGAGTTACATCCCTCCTTTAAAAGCAACGTTGCAATTTGCCAAAGAGGGGGGGGATATCAAATAATTATCTAATAATGCATCAGACGAATAGCTTACAATTTACTCAAAAGTATGTCGCGATCGACCGGTAGCTGATGATGTATAGGCTGGAGAGCTCGACGTAAGTTAACAATCTTCTGTTTGTGGCAGATCTTTGAAATAAATATATTTCAAATTTCACTATTTTTGTGTGCAATATATTTAAGGAATTTGTGTTCATTATAAACAATGTGTATGTCTTTGTGAGACAAATAAAAGGTTTGAAAATAATTTAAATGGCCATATTTCATATTCACTTTATTCAGTTCCTCTCGCATATGTTACCATTTCAGAACATTGAAATGACGTTGTATTAAAATAGACGTTATATTTATTGAGTACATTCATAAACAACAACATTCCACTTTTTTTTTTCCAGAATTTCCTGCAGGAATTTTACAACACTCTTTCTTCAACAAGGATCGACCACAGTAAGATATTTCTATGCTAGCTAAATGTAAATTAAGTTGAAATGTTTACTTCTCTTACAATAACTTCTTTTAAAACCTTATAAGACTTTAATATTGACTTTTATTTTTATTTCAGCTACCTAAACTTTGGAGCCATTGGTTATGTTATTGGTCACGAAATCACGCACGGATTTGACGATAGAGGTGACAAAATTATTTACATTAAAATAAAATATAAGCAATATATTATGTTAAGTGCATTGTTTTCAGAATGTGAAAGAGCAAGCAAAAGCTGCAGTCATCAAATATTAAAAACATTTCTTAAAAAAAAATTATGAAAGAAGAAAAAATGATGATTATATTTATGATACATAAACGTAAAAAAGGACCTAAAACATAAACTGATGCTTAATGGGATGTTTAAATTATTAAAGGGTATAGAAGGGCTTTTTGCCTAAGAAGAATGCCTCAGTGGAGGAATTCCAAAGGAAATTGGCTGTTACGTATGTTATGTTGGGGGAAAATCCCATGCAGCCAGCCTTTTCACCAGGATTTTTGAACCTAAGTCGAACTGTCAGAGTGTTCCCGCCAGCGGCCGAGCGGTAAACTCATTGAACACTGCTAGTTCGGTCCGAGGGTCGATTTCCTCGAACCGTCTTGATTGTATGGGCGTTTTCGTAGTTTTTCCCATCTGTAACGTGTATACGAGCCAGTTTACCTTGGAAAGTCCTCCTTGAAGGCACCCATCCCTTCCATGTAGTGTCTAAGGGCGGAGCACGTAAATTATAACAATAAATATATAGAAAGATATCAAAGTCTAGGAGTCCAATTTACATTGCCACTGGTGAGGTAGAAATTAATATCAGATAAATTTAAATAATTTGAATGCCTGTAAATGCTGATTATCTTAAATTTGTGAGTCATTAATTTATGGTTATTATATTGTAGTAAGTATAAAAATTTCAAAATTGTTACAACAGATAATCTACAACAAGATTAAGTAGGAAATAACGCACAAAAGCACCTATTCGAAAATGGAAAATCAGTGTAAATTACATTAATACAAAAATATTAAGTATTTCAAGATATTATAGTTATGAATTATAATTCTGGGCATTGCAAGAGGGAAAGAAATGTATAATATTTCCTATAGGCGAGCTATGAATTTGTTACAAAGGGAAAAAATGATTTATTCTGTTTTCACAAGAAAGGGTTTCATCAAAAGTTTCGTCAAGGAAACGAAGTTTATACTTATAATTACCTTCTTAGTCATTAAAACCAATGGGTACTGTTTAAAAATTATTCATACTTATTTCACAAATACATTTGCGTTCTAAAATGGAAAGACCTCGTTTGACGAAATACCTGTGAAAATAGAGTAGATTTAGAAACGCTGCAGATAGTAAACAAGTTTCTAATTTTAAACAAACTATTTATCAAAGCATCGCATTCCAAACAAATGCAATCGTTATTTCCATTCAAAACGATAAAAGTGGCTTAACTTGCTTACCAGCTTTTCCCTTCAAAATGTTCAAAATCTAAGTAAGATAAACAGCACTTTCAACAAACTCCAGTTGTTTTTTGCAATTTGAAGGATTAGTTAGAAACCCACATGAGATCTTTTCCAAGAAGCTTCACCTTAAAAAAATAATTTATATAATAAAGAAAAAAAAAAAAAAATTCTGAAAGTTTTCAGATTTTATATTACTTTCGATAGGGTGTTTTTTAACGTTTTATGCGTTACCTTTGTTTATTAAATATCATGTTCCTCGCACTTAAACCAAATAAAATTCAATTCAACAACTATATCACAAAATATTTAAAAACAGCAAAATAGCATACATTTAGAATTTCTGATACCCGGTCTCGCGCGCTGGTTATTAAGTCGTTAAAGTTTCACAAAATGTGAGATAACAAAACAATTAATTCGTTAAATTTAATCAAACCAAAGTTTCACAAAATTTTAAATAGATAACAAAACAAATTTGAAATTTAAAATTCGAGCTTCCAAGTGCCCATGTTTGGTTTTTTGAAGACAATATTATTCAAAATTGGCTGGCTCTAGTTATCGTTGTTTTTTTCACAGTGCTAGAAACATTCATGCATTCATGGAGATTCTTCATTATTTAGTTTTTTTAAATATAATACATGGCAATAGCATTTGGTGGCAACAGTTTGAAAAGTGAACCAACGCAGAAAGTGAACGACGCAAAATGCCGTTTTGACACTAATAGCCCTTTGGGTCTAACGCTTCTTTTGGCTTTTTTAAAAAAAAAAAAAAAAAAAAAAAAAAAAGCATTTAATTTTGATTTTGTATGCAGGTCTCGATTAAGACCCTTTCGTCTCCAGACGCAACATAATTTCGAAAATACATTCAAGCCCTACTCTTCTTGCTGTTACAATGGAAAACATAATTATAGAATTGTTTTGAGGAGACTAGGCTATCACCCTTTAGGTTCATATAATTCTATGAGAAGATGTAACCTATATAAAATTTTGTACTTATTACGTGTTCTGTCCTTAGGCACTACGCGGAAAGGGAAATATGCCCCATGGAGGTCTTTTTAAGGGAAACTAACTCGTATCCTCCTTATATAGAAGGTGGTGTGGTGTATTTAATTATGGCAAAGCACACTAGGGCTATCTGCCTAAAGGAAGGGATGCCTTCGTGGAGGACTTTCTAAGGGAAACTGGCTCGTATACACGTTACACATGGGGAAAACCACTTAAACGCCCATGCAGCCAGCCCGTTCGCGGGATTCGAACCTCGGACCGAACTACCAGTGTTCAGCGACTTTACCGCTCGGCCGCTGGTGGGCCGTTATATAGAAGGAAAAAACTACGAAAACGCCTATGCAGCCAGCCCATTCGCCGTACGCAAACCCTGGACTGAACTACTCGTATTCAGCGGCATTTAGTGCTCGACCGTGGGTGGGCCACCTATATAAAGTATTTACTTCCAGTATTTACTTCCAGGTTTTCTTGCATTTATTGCGAAAGCACTACGAAGATAATCGTGCATGGCTTTAAAACCCATACTAAAGTAAAAGAATAATAAATAAATATGAAAGGGTTCAAATTTTAACAATCGTGAGAAAAACGCTTTTTTAAAGATTAATATGGATTATCAGTAGAGATTATCGATAGAGATAGCTTAAGTGGAATCGTGAAACATTTTATAATATATTAGATGAATATGCATTTACACCAACATGAGAAAATTATATATGTCCTATTTATTTAAAAGGAGAAAAGTGTACAATGTTATTCTATAAAAATGTGTAATGTTTTTTATTAGATATATCATGAATTATATGCATTTTTACTTAAATCAATCAAATGAAAATTTAAAAAAATAATATTAAGAACACCACCTATTGCTTTTAGATAGTTTACTTTGTTAATTAATAACAGACAGTTTAAATATGATAGATTTGTTTCTGTGAATACCAATAGACTCGAGTGAAAAGTGAAACAATGCAAAATCTTTCGAGACTAAGATCTCGAAAGATTTTGAGTTGTTTTAGCCCTTTTGGACACTAAAAAATTTTAGATTTTATGCAACTGTTCAAAATATAAATTCCTGGATTTATTTTTTTTAGCTATGTACGAAAATCTATTCGCTCTTTCATATTTAGAAAGCAAATGCGTGCATTATAAAATTCGAATTATGATTTACGATAAGAATTTCACTTTTATCAAACAAAATATGAATGTGCTTTTTCCTTTCCTTTCCTACGTCATTTCTAATACTGATGATAACTTCACAGGTCGGCAGTTTGATAAAGATGGCAATAATGTGAACTGGTGGGATCAAAAAACAGATGAACTCTTCAAGAAAAAAGCCCAGTGTATTATAGATCAGTATAGTAATTATACAGCTGAAAATGGAATGCAGGTAAGATACATTTAAAGCTCTCTGTGTGCATGAATTTACGCTAGGATGCAAAAATTAAGCAACAAATTTGTTTTTCAACGTACAGCCATTAAATTAAGACACAATAACACGCCGAATAAATACTAATTCAGAAATCAAACAACAAAAATCAGCGTTATATTTACAAAGTTTTCACAGGACTAGTTTCGATGGTTTTACCGAACCATCATCTTCAGCTGCAAAACCGCAAATGAACAAGATAGGAAATAATGATTAGATAAGATAAGAAAGCCTGGACAAGAATAAGCAAGTGGCGCCATCTGTTGGCGAAACCAGAACTAAAACATAATTTCTCTAAAGGCCGAAGGCAAATTTGGATTGGAATTAGGATCGTTAACTAGAACAGAAAGATTTTTATGAATGTGAAATGCCTCTAGAAAATCCAGTTCTCCAATGGAAGATGTTTTTTGAATAATTTTGGCAGCAGAAAAATTGAAAGTGTGATTTTCGGACCAACAATGTTGAGCAACAGAAGACTTCTGTGTTTCCTTTTTTCTAACATATGCCTCATGTTCCTTGACGCGAAATTTTAAGGCTCTCTTAGTTTGGCCAATGTAAATTAAACCACACTGGCAAGGAATCCTATAAATACCCCAGGAATTCATATCCGGAATGGGGTCCTTGAGTATGGAACTTGGAATTTTATTGATGGGAGAATAAACAACCCGAAAGTTAAATTTCTGCAAAATATGTGCAACTTTATAGCTAATTGATGGAAAGAAGGGAATGACAACAGAATTTTTATAATCTCCTAAAACAAGAGTGTGGCTTTTAGTGTGTTGAGATGAGAATTTTTTAACTGCTTGATTAATAATGTTGGGTGAAAAGCCCCTGTCAATAGCTATTGCTTTTAAATAATTTAGTTCTTCATCAAGGGCTAGTTTGGAGGAGCAAACTTGAAGAGCACGGAAAACATAGGAATAAAATGAAGCTAACTTTTGTTTAGTCGGATGACATGATTTAAAGTGTGGTGGAAGGCAAACCGATGAAGGTTTACGGTAAACTGTAGTACTGAAGTTGGATGTGTTACGTGTGACCAGAATGTCGAGAAACGGAAGAGAATTGCAAGTCTCAAGTTCAAAAGTGAACTGAATAGCAGGATCAATAGAATTCATTGTTGAAAGAACTTTATTTAAATCATCTTTATTACCTTCAAACAGAGTAAAAGTATCGTCTACGTAGCGGAACCATGCCGGGAAGTTTAAAGTTTCAAACAATTTTGATTCATAATAATGCATGTAGATATCAGCCAGGATGGGACTGAGGGGGCTTCCCATGGCTAATCCCTCAGTTTGCTTGTAATATTTATTTTGGAAAACAAAATGTGTTTGTTGGAAAGGGCTTTTTGCGATTAGTGCATTGAACAGCAAACTCAGTTTAAAGCTGATGCATGTGCAAATATCAGCAGCATGACGACAGAGGTAGGTATGTCAGGGCATGCAAAAGGAAAGGAGTGAGAACGCGCAATGCGAGGGAATTTAAAAAAAAGAAAGGGAGACGCATTTCCAGGCAATTCTTCTGCAAGTAATAGTGAGATTGCACGGGTACTATGGCTACAAGAAAACATCAGAACGCCTTTATACGTGGTGGAATGATTGGCAAGCTTGAGGAAGGGCGTTGTTAGACGTCTGTCGCCCAGGAGTTTGGAACTAATAAAAGTCTTGTTTCAAGAACTTGGAAAACCTCCCAAATGATAGGTATAGTTGCAAAGGAAGGTTGGTGCTGGTCGGCCAAGGAAAACACCGGTGACTGATGATTGACATATTGCCCTGCAGGCGACAGGAGATCGAAACCAGACAGTGAGCAGTACTGCTGAGCAGTTGCTCACGGCAACCGTATGAGATATGTCCCAGTTTACTATGGCCAGACAACTTCATCATTCAAGACGGTGGCCTATTCACTCGCCTTCCTGAATGCTGCATACCACTGACAGCAGCAGACGCCAAAAATTCTGTTTGTAGCTGTTTACAGTGGTGAACACAAAGACTGGACAACTCATGGAGCCACGTTATCTTTACCGATGAGAGGCATTTAAGTCTGATAAACGAATCTCAGCCTCAGTTGATATGGAGAGAGACCGGGACACTTTCATCACACTAACATCGAGGAAACAGACCGTTGCGGTGGTCCATGCGTGCTTCTGTGGGGAAACTATTATGAAAAAACAGACGGGACCCCAAATTTTCAACATAAATTCACTTACCGGAGATCGTTAATTGTGATAAAGTTATCCTCCTCCACACGCGACTTTTCAGGGATGCATTTGTGTCTAAAATGAAACATAATAACAATTTCTTTTCATTAACTCGAAACTTATAATACGCAACTAGTAGAATTTATAAGCTACAAAATAAATACATTTTTGTTAACCATAAGTTTGTTAAGTAAACTTAAAATGAAGATAACAGCAAAGATGTTTGCTCTCAGTTTTGACAAAACATTTTAATATAGTAAAAACATAGCTCATCTCTCCCAAATTTTTTCACCAGGAGAGGTTTTTTTGCCATAAAAATTTTATTTATTTTTCTGTAAAATTTTATTTTTTATGAATGAGATTCTAGAAAATTCTAAATTTGTTATGTTTTGAAAGTTCAAAATTAAACGGAAATTAGTAAATTTAAAAAATTACAAATTAATGGAGAGGGAAAAAAATATTTTGTGGTTAGCTATTAGTAATAATTTTGTGGTTAGCTAACAAGCTTTTTAATAAGGCAATAAATGAAGTGCAATTAAGGGAAGCAAAATGAATACATCTTATGAATTAGAGGTAGTATTTAAAAATTTCATAGGGAAAAAAATTTCGTAAAATCTTTATCTGACTTTCCTTATTATGTTGCATTTTTAAGTAAAATTTTCCCAACTTGAAACTGCTTCTCCTTAGCTTGTAATCTGGAACGTAAGTAAAAAATATCTTTGGAAAGTAAGAAACTTTTTATGTGCATGCATCCATGTTTATATTCACGTATGCATATGGAGAAAGCGAACGAGCATAATTTCAGAAGGTGGGGTTATTCTCTGATCCTTCCCAGGCTTCAATTCTGTTTAGAATATGGATATAGATCTCCTATATATATATATATATATATGTATATATACTAAAACAATTGTCTTTGCGCAGGTAAACGGCATCAACACTCAAGGAGAAAATATAGCTGACAACGGAGGATTGAAAGAAGCTTATCTGGTAAGAATTTAAAAAAATTATGAAATAATGATTTGGTTTTAGAATATCATATTAATCTAAGCACAGGATGTTTAAAAAAATAAACGCTGGAACAAACTTTAAGAGGTGATAGAATGCATCAGAACTATCATTTTTTCATAGAATGCATCGTAGAAATTGAAATTCAAGAGTTTGAAAACCAAGCTACAGGGGCTTCCTTTCCACCAAGCGGCAGTTCTTCAAGCATAAATGTGCCACTTCTGAGGCAATAGTACACGAATGGCAATGCTTTCCAAATCTGCAGGGTATAATACCATATTTTCATAAAAGAGGTCTCGCCGTAATTGCTGAAGGTTGTTCCAGTAGCCATCCGGTATCGCATGAGTTGAAGGACGAACAACACCAGCCCATTTTCCGCAAGGTGTAAGAAAGTATGAGAAAGTGCCCTTTCAGGAGACTGAGCTGGAAGGAGGTGTCATATGTCTCTCGCCATCATCCGATTTGGTGTGTCTCGATTGCTTTATGCGGGTATATCTCAAAAGCTACAGCTGTGATACTTTTCCTTGACTTTTCTGAGGAACTCGTGGCTGGAAGTTTGACCGGGTACTGCATCTGTGTATGATTTGTTTAGTGTGCTTCACCTAATAAAACTACCTAATAAATCCATCGTTCTTGTGTGTTGGTAGTTGTTGTCTCGAGTAGTTACTATAATTATTCGTGATTAAAGCTATATTTTACCTCCTATTTCATCCTTCTGTTCAGTTTCACCATCAAACGCTTTAACCTTCATGCAGTTCATTCTACGCATTCTGTGATAAAAATTGTTGTTTCAGCGTGTTCAACTGTGTCCTCAAGTTTGTTCCGTCTTATTTTTTTTAAAATTTCTGTGTGATTTCATGAAAGTGATACTGCATTTGGGAGGATTTAAAAAGAAAATGAAGGCAAAGAAAGATCACAAGATGCATATAAGATGATCTGGCATGTATCAGACCTTAATATGTTGAAGAAGTGTTACAAGAAAAATAATTAAATTCTATTAATGTGTAGCACATCCAAAAAGAAATACCCTTTTGGTAATAAATACTTATAACCTTTACTTAGAACTTCCGCAAAGGAGTACTTCTCTATTTGTAACTCATTTAATTCCTTAACTTCTATGCGCCACTACTCTATTTATACTGTAAATTTGCTGTGAACTATGAATCCAAATCCAAACTTCCTCCCATATTTCCTGCATAAATCTCTTAGTTCGCGATACAAGTGGAGAAATAAATCCGACTGGATAAACACCTTAGCTGCTGTACTCAACACTGATCTCTTATTATATCTGCTCAACAATGATGTAAGGACTTATCTTAAAACATTCTCTGTCATATTCCAAACCAAGCGTAACACTTTTAAGTTACTATTCCTTTCGACCCTTCTTTCTTCACACAACCCATTTTGAAGCCATAAATTACACAACTCTTTAGAATTAGTGTTTAGCTTTCTCAAATTAGTCGCATCTGAAGTTACGTCGCCCAAAACAGATACCGCTTTTAATGAAAGACTGAAAGCCAACTCTACAGTTTCTAAAGTAATACGAGGTAATTTATTATTGTAATTAATTTTGATTTCAGAAAATTTGTGGAATTGTTTCGGTCTTAACAGCATTTTGAACGTATCTGGTAACTTTCAACTGACATCTAAAGACAGCTTTGCTGTATTCTAAGAAATATTCTACTTCCATTTCTAATTCTTGCATAATGCTTCGTCATTAACGTGCATTAATAACGTCATCATATTTTAATAAAATAGCTTCGGTCTCGATTAACACCGCAAGCCATTCTTGCAACAGTTCTTTATTTGGATTTTCATTTTGTGATTCGTCTTCTGTTTTCTTAATTTTGGGACAGTGGTTCGAACTGAACCTCTAATTTTCCTATTCCGTTCAACTGTCTCTTCAAGACTCATCTTCACTTCCAAAGATAAATATCATGTAGATACAAATTCTTTCACTCACTTGTTTCAAGTTGGCAAAACTAAATCAATCCATGGTGTTTTAGCCGATGCTTTGAGAACAACTAAATTCCTAAACTTTTCTTCTTGGCGATAACAACCAACGTGTAAGAATCCAAAACAACATGTAAGATGTATTTTAATTTTATAAGAGTTATTTTTAATTTTTGAAACTCTTTCCTTTTAATTCTTATTTATTACTTACAACTCCCTACCCGAATGAGTTTTTAGAATCGCGTTGAATGCAAATGAGTTAGAACAAGTATTTAAAAAAGTTCAACTTACTTCGAGAGAGAGTACTTAGGAGTGGCTACTTCGTTTCTGAATCTACCACACTCGGCCACATTGTACGTGCCTGTTCAGAATCGCTGGCTAGGTTAATTTAAGTGCCAACTTAGGTATTTGTGTCTGCCTTCAGCTAAGCCTATTTAATTTAGTATTAGATTAGTTTTTTATTTTCTTATCCTGGGTTAAAAGCCCAAGTGGAGGCTTTCCTGTAATCCCAAGAAGGGGCAATCTATTATTATTTCTTTGAGTGAATAAAAGGGTATTTTAACCCTTCTTAAAGTCTCTGAAGCAACTAATTGAACTCAGCACTAATTCGCTACTTAGTTCACTAGGTTCTTAGATATTATGTCTAGACAAACTAACAAGGAACATTATAAACATATGAGAATAATTTTTTCAAGCACTTTCTTCCATTGGAGATTCTTGAAGTCATGTTGAATTCAAATAAACACTATACTTAATTTTCTTCTAATACTTTATTAGTATCTTATTAAAAATAATTGCATAAACACATTAATACCTCGTTTAACACTCTCTTACCACGCCTCTCCACTCCTTAAAGAACTGAAACCTTTTATTAATTATACACGAGCTGCGCAGCACCCTACAGAACTTCTTCCACAAGATCAGCAACAAATATCAAAACTGGCAAATTGCAGGCTGGCATGGTTAATTGACGCTCTACTTGCCTAACCTGTTTATCACATGTTAGGTCAGCTGATCCGAAAAACGGAAAAACTACACTAAGACACTTTTAATATCGATAACGGCGATAATTTAGCAGTTACGTAACACTTTAATTAAATACATTTCATATTTTATAAGGATATCGCTAATATGCTTTCTATCATTAAATACTTAACACTTTTATTAATGAGCATTTTAGTATTTTCAACACATTTTTTACGCTGAATAATGTCGTTAACGGTCATTTATAAATTCATTTTTCAGTTATGATTTGAGCAAAACAATTTTTTTAATCAAAGTTTTGCTCTTTATCTTTTTTACAGGCCTATCACTCTTGGGTAAAAGACCATGGAAAAGAACCAAAGCTGCCAGGATTGAAATATACACCGAGTCAATTGTTTTGGATAAGTGCAGCTAATGTAAGTTTATCTGTTTAACGGCTTATAGTTAAAGATTACTTAAACAGTGGGTAATCCTTAAATTAGTTAGCCGAAAATATTCCAAAACATTCATAAAATTCAATTATCTTATTAAGAAAATACAAAATTATCAATTGGATTATCATAAATCATCTTTTTTTATGGGGGGGAGCTTACATATTATCCCATCAACCGTGAAAGTTGTCGGATATTCCACCAAAACTGCGCCAATAGTTCTATCTGAATTTTGAAAAAACAGCTGATTTTCCGTTCAAATTGTTTCGAGAGCAGTTGAAATGGATATTTTCGTCAAAATATGATATCGAAATTTTTCGCGATTGCAATACTTCTTTTACTTCGTACAAGGAAGTAAAAATATTTCCATTCAATTTATTATATGGCGTTACAAACATCTATTTTAATTACAGTAATACTGCAAATTTCATTAAAATGATCAATAAAGTATATCATAAATTAAGTATTTAATTTATATCAGTTATGTGCATAACAAAAAAAATTAAACAAAACAGTAATTTTTATTTATTGACTACTTTTGCGTTAGTTGAAATTATCAGCTACGTTTTTTGCTTTTAAATTACTCAGTTTCTTAAGCCGATATAGACTGACTAAATTTGAAAGAATAATGTAAACGAATGGCAACACTATGAGAACTGGTTATGCGTCAAGCTATGGAAAAGATAAAGATATTAAAGTTCCAACTCTGGCAATATTTTCGAAGAAAACTTGATGATAATGGTAACAAAAGGTAATGTTCCCAAAATTTTGGAAATATTTTGCTGCTAAGGTATTTGACGTCAAAAAATTTCATCGTATCATGTCATCACAATATTGAAGCTTAGATATAAATCTAAACGTAAAAACTGTTAATATATAACTTTGATGCTGGAGTTTAGTGTGCAGAGGAGTGTTTTGACCACTGAACTCAAAATACAATCATTTTCCAATCTTCATTTACCATTCACATGTAGCCCAGTAAATGCTTTTGTATTCTCAGGTTCAAACAGAGAGTCTTTCTCCTGTGTTTTATTTGGAAGCTTCTGCATGGATCAGATCAAAACGATACATATATTCCTTTTCATTTAGAGTTGGTCTTTTATATTATAGAAGTGCAAAGGCCTTCATCCATATGACAGATAAACGCGCAAAACAATTTACTTCTTAAATGTCATGTTTTCAACCTTGTTAATAATTAAAAATAAATAAATAAAATCTGAGAGCTTTCAGATTTTACATTACGCCCAAAGGAACGTTTTTTTTTAAAGTTTTGTGTGTCATCTTTATTTATTAAATATCATGTTCTTCGCACTTAAACCATTAAATTCAGTTTAATAGCAATATCGCGAAGTAATTTTAAAAGGAGCATATCTTTGAATTTCCGAAACACAGTTCCGCGCGCTGGATATAAAAATGTATTTTTTAATAAATATAATATATTTTTTAATATTAATATAGTAAAAATATTTTTTCCCATACGGTGTTGCCATTGCTCCTTTTGAAATCGTTGAATTTGTTAATCAATAATTCGTTAAAGTTTTGCAGAATATGAAATAGATAATAAAGCAAATTCCAGATTCCAAATTTGGGCTTTCATATGCTTATATCCGGGTGAAAACGTACGTTATTCAAAATTTGATGGCTTTAAGTACCGTTGTTTTATCACAATGCTAGAATCATACATAGATTTATGCAGATTCTTCATTTAATTTCTTTAAATGTTATGCAGGTCTCTAATATTTGATGGCAACAATTTGAAAAGTGAACCGACATTTATCGTGAATCAACACAAAATGCCAAAACAGATTTAATAGTCTTTCTGGGGAAATTGCCTCTTTGGATTAATAATTAATATTTATATATTAGCAAGCAGTTCTCATGAAAAATTTTATAGGTTGGAAAAAATCAAAAATCTGCAATTGAATTGGTTGAATTATTTGATTAGGGCAAACTACGCAACGGCTAGTTAGCTGTGAGAGGAATGCCTTCATGGGTGGATTTTTAAAGGAAACTAGCTCTCCTTCAGGTCGCATATTGAGGTAGATAAAAAAAAAAAAAAAAAAAAAAAAAGAAGAAGAAACAAAGAAAGGGGAAAAAAACTTCATAAAAACAATAATATGTTTAATCAAATTGTAAAAGTAACCACCGCTGCAACTACCAAGGTTTCGTGGCTTTTTTAACAATTCAGCTACTTTTCGACTCAAATAGGAGATTAAATCCCAATGATTTCGTTCCAAATTATGTCTAAAAATGCTATTATGTGTACTGGTTTGTGATAATTTAAAAAAAAAAATTAAAAACATGCTTTACTGTAATTTTATTAAAAACTGGTAACTTACCAAACTGTTTTGACAATAATTCAGGATTTCAACTTTTGATGATATATATATTTCTCAACGTATCTTATTCGTCATTTCGAAAATAGAGCCAAGAACTTTTTTCCTTTGAAATTAATTTCTGTTCTTTTTGATGATGAAAACAGAGAATGTTATAGAATGTAATATGATGGTATATTTTTCTGACCGGGGAGGGGGATTCTTTAACTGATATACGCTTTTTGATATCAACTCAATGATTACCGCATCTTAAACATGCGAAAGCGTTTGTTTGAAGATATCTTTTTACTATTTCGATATGCTTCTTCTTTTGTTCCTTGAACATTTTGGAAGAAAAAAATCCTTTATTTGTCCGAAAGTACAGATGTCAACAGAAAAATTGTTTAAATGGGTTCGAGAGCGGGCAAAATAGATATTTTCGACGAAATATGATACCGCAAATTTTCGCGATTACAATACTTCCTTTACTTCGTACAATAAAGTAAAAAAAAAAAAAAAAAAAAAAAAAAAAAAAAGCAACAGTGAATGCAATGAATTAGATTTTTGAAACATTCGATGAAAGCAAAGCACACTAAAAATATTATCAAGATTTTTTCATTTAATTTATCTTGAGTTACTTACAGCGAGGTATGCTGCAAATAAAAACTTTTAAACAAATAAGCGTTTTCCAAAAAAAAAAAAAAAAAAAAAAAAAAAAAAAACCGGCGATTAAAGTTTACTGAAATAAAACATAGCATACTATAATAATAAGTATAACTTGAAAAGAAAGCGTTTCAGAATAAGCAAAGGGTCTGAAATTAAAATAAATATTTTATCTTCTACGTACACGTACATATATGTAATAATAAAATTCCATAGTCAAGAATACACTTAAAATTCTAACTGTATGTTCTTTTCATTTTTTAATGGCGACGGTCTCTTATTTGAAAGTACGTGGAATTAAATCCACAGCCCCGTAGTTAAGTTGTTTTTCCCGCCTTTTCTACACGTACAGTTATAGAATGTTCTGGAAATATTTAAAGCGAACTGGATTGACTGACGAGGCTGACGTCATTTCTTGGAAGCTCCGCCTTTCCAGAGGCTATAAAAGGACTCGCAAAGGAATATCGGGGCTTTCCTTTAATGTAACAATGCAGTTATAAAGCACAAACCGGCAGTAAATACAATTTGCAAAGTTGTTAACAAGCTCAAGAGAATGGGCCAAGATTTGTGCTCTCCTCATTAACCAAAACTCTCAAGGCGTGATACACTAACTAAGTCAGTATGCAGTTCCACATTCTCAGACACATAAGTCTACTCCTAAAACTTACATAAGTCCCTATAACAGACACCTTTCAAATAATGTACAATCAAATGTATTTAACATTTCCTCTTCTGTATATGCATATACTTAATTTTTATTTTTATTTATTTATTTATTTTATTTTATTATTATTTTTTTTCCCTATGATTTTCTATGATTTTAATCCTATTATTTTGTAACTGTATTTTTGTATCTGTATATTTAATTTGTATTTTTATTTGAATTTTATTGTCAATGTGCAAAATTACCATAGCAAATTGCAACAACAAATGTCAAAACGGTAAAACGAATGCAATCTGCCCTTGTATGGCCATGTAAATGCTCTTGTTAACATCCTAAAAATCTCCCGAGGCGGCCTCTTGAGGCCCCAGGGAGTTGTTCCTGGTTAGTGGAGGGCGCGGGACACATGCCTGTTTACCTCTGTTAGACATCAGGCGTCCCCGTCCTCCGTTACCAACCAACCAACCAATGTAACAATGCAGTAAACTTCATACAAAAAGTTATTAGTAAATCTTTTTTATTTACTCCGGATATCTGATTTTGTAACTGCTATTTCTCCTGAATAATAATAAATGGATCCTGTTTTTTAAGCTTATCGTCTGGTAATTTAAGCTACGACTACATTTATGATTCTTCACCAATCTATTCATTCCGGACAAAAGCTTGTACATCATATATATATAGAGAGAGAGAGAGGAAATGTTTAGTTAACCTTCAGCTTTAACTATTTTCTGGTGATTTACATGCTTCCTTCATATTTTTCATTATTTTTGCGCCAATTTAGTCGCATATAGGACCTTATGATAATATTTAGTCAATTTTATAGCTTCAAACCCGTTTTTTAATTTGCTTTTAAATTTTCTTTGAGAAAAACACGGATGAAAATTCTTCAGAACTCCATTTATCTGTTGTTGATGATGAGGATGAGTCATAGCAATAATGATGATGATAATAATAATAATAATATAAATTCGAAAATTATTCAGTTGATATAATACATTGAAAAGGAGAGGCGAGAAGAAAAGAAAAGAAACTCATTCCCTGTTACATTTAGTTTTATAACTTACTATTAACTTCAAGAAAGAGATTCTTCAAGCCTAGATTAAATTCATCTATCATCTTTGCACAGGTAAGATTGCCTAAATCAAGTCTAGTTCAACAATAATTGGCATTTACTTTGATTTATTCTAAGCAATACCTAAGTTGTGTTACGTTTTCCGCGTTGCTACAAATTGTAAGTTGTGTCTGGCCCAATGCGGGAAAAAACTGTTACAGACAGTAAGAAAATGTTAAACCGTATCTCCAAGCATTTTTCTTGTATCCATCATATCATTTACAATAATAAAAATCAGTAATTATATTAAACTGCGAGTCACCTTATGAAGTTTGTTTTAGATTGACTGAATGTTAAAATTTACTAAATTTTATACAAGCATGAACAATGTGATGAATGAATGAAAAAGACATGCTGTAGGTAAATGCAACCGTGGGCAAAAATGATTGATATATTGAACGAATATTATTCTAAATAGATTCTGATTGCTAGACGAAATTTTTTTTAAATTCCATGTGCAAGAGCTTTTCGAGAAATTTGAAAAATTGTAAAATCCAGAGAGTAAATTGCACCGGAGCCCGGCTCTGGTGCTTCTTAGATTTTAGGAAAAAGCATCATTCTAGCCGGGGCGCACCGAAGCTGTAAATAGGAAGGCTCAGACACTTCTTTAATTTAGCTGAGCAACAATTTCAGCAGAAATCTGATCTCGAAAACTTTATTTTTAATAATAAAATTATATTAAAAATCGATTCTAACTTCTGAATGCATGCTTCTTTTTCCTTGGGAAACAAATCTTTGGAATGGAGGTCGTGACTTTTAAGGAAAGAGAAACCCTCACCCATATATCAAAAGTTTATTCTCCAGAAAATACAATGAATTTATGACAGCAGGTAAATTTTTCGTTCCAATGCCAGTGTTTTCCCGCTGAAAAGAGTACTTGCAGACTTTTTGGAACGATGTAACCACAGACCGGGGGGGATTGACACTTGCTACTTTTTTTCAGCTAACCCTTGGATTCGGTTAAAATTTGTTTCCCTGTCATATTCTGCTTGGCAGCTAGTGGTCAGAAAATGTTGGACTCTTTATCTTTTTGTTTTCATACCTACAGGTCGTCCTTTAAAATTTTCTCCCTATTCTCTTACCGTTTATAGCATTCTCTATATTTTCATTAGGGACGCTTTAACCAGTTTCACGTTTTTTATGGGTGTATTGGAAAAAAGAATGCTCTTTTATTTCTATCATTCCTTGAAGTAGTACATTTTATTCAGAACTTAAATTAAACTGAAGACCAATTGAGCTACTTCTTATTTTTTGTGTGAAATTATAATTCCAACCGAAATTCCAAATAAGTCAAGGTCCAATACTTTATTTTAATATTTAATTATTTACCATTTATTCAATAACTTGTTATATTTTTATCTATCTCATTAAATTTTAACATTAATTGTCCAATTATTCTAATCAATTGTTCAATTTAATAATTAATTATTTAACTGTTTAATTATTAATTAGTCAACTAGGCATTTTACTTATTTTATTAGCCCAAAGGGGCTTTGCCCCTGAGGGACTATCGTTTTCGTTTTGCGATTTTGCTTCGAATCACTCTGAATGTGCGTTTCACTTTTCAAACTGTTGCCACCCAACATTATCGCCCTGTATTATATTTGAAGAAATTAAATAATGAAGAATCTGCATAAATGTACGTATGTTCCTTGCATTGTGATAAAACATATATTCCTTGCATTGTGATAAAACATATTTGAAGAAATTAAATAATGAAGAATCTGCATAAATGTACGTATGTTCCTTGCATTGTGATAAAACAACAGTGCCTAGAGCCATCCAATTTTGAATGACGTAATCTTACTGCGAATATGGTAATCTGGAAGCCCAAATTTGAAATTTGGAATTTGTTTTATTATCGATTTAATATGTTGTAAAACTTTAGCGAATTTTTCATTAATAAACTCAAGGATTTCAAATCCATCAACGGCAACGTTTTATAGAAAAAAACCTTTTTATCTCCAGCGCGTGAGACTGTGTATTGGAAATTCTAGAGACATGCTCTATTTAAAATTATTTTGAGATATTGCTCTTGAACTGAATTTTATCATTTAAGTGCAAAGAACATGATATTTAATAAATAAAGGTAACACATAAAACGTTTTAAAAAAAACGAACCTTTGGAAGTAATTTAAAATCTGAAACTTTTTCAGATTTTTTTATTTTATTTATTTATTTTATTATTATTATTTTTTTCTCTGACAGTTTTTCATAGGGATCCGGCACTTCCAATTTTAGATATTTTCTGAAATATTAAGTAAATCATACAACGTTGAAAATCATATAACGTTGGTTGCTTCCGTTATTTAATATTAAGTACTTTACAAACTATGCAATCAAAATACTAAAATGGCTGAAATTAATGGTAGAATGAAACAATTTCCTTCCCCTTTATCATTAACCTAGAAAAGAGAATGAGTCTTTCAGATAGTGTTGTTAATAGCTTTCACAACGAAGCCCGAAGACAACTGATTCCCAAGGGTACTGAGGAAAGGATTCACAGGTGTTAGCTGATCGGATATAGCGGCAGTGATGTCTACAGGAAACCTCTTGAAACTACTACAATCAGTTACTCGCTACGTATTTGTATCCCTTATAATGAGAGTAAACAAAACGCTACCCCGATTCCGGCTGAAAATTGTTTGCATGATAAGCTGTGAGATCTGCAAAAGATTAAAATTGTCGGTCCAGAAGTTTTTACATAGGAAAAAGCTTTGCAGAATTATACGAAAGAGACTACATACTTTTCGTCTGATTTTAATGGATATTATTTGAAAAGAAATTGCATTTTTAGGGGATGGAAGTGTGTTGTGATGTAGCTCCTCCCTCTCTGCGTATGATATTATCCTGTTCTGCGTATGATATTATCTTTGTTGTTGCGAAGTTTAAGTTTCTCTTAGATTGGCAATCAGAAAGATACTATACCTAGAAGCAGCTGCTACAAATGCACCTTCCTGCACACTTCTGGCTACATCCACGAATAAAAAATTTCCAAATATCATGACTATTCCTCTGGTAAAATATTATCTCAAGTTTACACGTCAGTTTTAATTAGAAGTAAAAAAGGGAACTGTTAGTTCAGATGTTTTTCCAACAGCTAGCGATAAACAGTCTTCTTTTAAAGCAGTTACATTATTTTGATTTAAAACAGTCCAATCGGAGAAGGTATTTAAAGTAAAAACTTCAGGAGCTAAGAAATTATTGCATTCAGTATTATATGAGCTTTGAAAAGGGGGCAAAATTTTGAAAAAGTATTCCACTTTCTACTTTTCTATCACGCAAAATTCCTAACTTGTAATATCTTCGGTAACCACTAGATGGCGACACCAGTTAAAATTAATTTTTTTTGTGGTGTTGCCATCTACAGTACGATTTGAGTACTAGTAGTAACATTAATCATCTATTTTAGGTCTGGTGTGGGAAATACAGACCAGAAATTCTGAAGTTAAGAATTATCTCTGGATCGCATAGCCCTCCCCAGTTTAGGTAAGTACAGTTTAATATTGTGAATTTTTCTGAAATGATATGCTTGTGTTAAAGCAAATATTTTGGTGCACTTATTTTTCAGTATTACATATTTCTGTGTACACTATTTCTCTCTGACCAAAACTAGTATTTTTTTCACCTTTAAATACACAAAATAAATATTTTGATATAATAATCTTATCACTCATATATTCTGAATATGTAAGTTCGGTTACTTAGAATTAAGTTTTAATGAGAAAATCTTTGAAATATTTCATATTCAGTCCCCCTAAGCATTTTCCTTCTTCCATGTTTCACAAACGTCGCAGCCATAACATCATATCTTATTCTTCAGACTATGAGGCCCAACTACAACAAAAATATATTTCTAAAAGAAACTTCCATATCTTAATCCTCTCATAATTTATTAATGAAAATGCATGCTTGATGTTTCTTGTAAAAATAACCAAAAAGAAATGGCATAGTCTCTTAGATAGCCTGGGAGGCAGCTGTGGTTTAATATTTCATTTTATAACATTATTCTGAATATTTAATATTTTGTTTTTATTAGCTAATAAATTTGAAAATAGAATTTTTATGAAAAGCATTAAAGAACTAAAATTATATTCTGCATGTATTAATTTAAAATAACTTTGTTTCAGAGTGATAGGACCAATGTCTAACCTACCAGAGTTTGCCAAAGAATTTCAGTGCTCATCAGATTCTCCAATGAGTCGGAAAAACAAGTGCCAAGTTTGGTAGCAAAGCCAAATGAACAAATCTCTATTTCAGAAAGCTTTTACTGGTATAATTTATTATTGGTGCAAGTGTGGCACAGGTATTGCATGTAAAATTTCGAAGCACAGTTGTACAGTCATTCTTTTTCTTTTAATAAAATATTTAATTCATTTTTTACATCTTTTTTGTATTTTTTAATGTAAACAAGATTCTGTTCTCACCTTACGCAAAACTCATATACAAAGTAACATCTCGTTTACGACAAAGAAGTAAATAAGAATAGAAGTCGTGAACTATTGAGATTTTGGCGTTTTCACACTAACCATCTTTACTTCTACACAGTCTTGCCTTCAATTTTATCATATTTCTAATGTTCAAGAGACAACGACTGCAATTATAGTTAGAACTGTTTTACAAATGCATACGTTTTAAGGAAATTTATCTTACAAAGCATTTAGTTAAGTTATTTGTAAGAAAAATGTGGGCAAACTGGATTAAAGCACTCAAGAACTAGCTGTCTAAGGGAAGGGATGACTTCATATAGGACTTAAATTTGCCGTATTCATGCTACACTTCAGGTAAGCATGCACGCAGCCAGCCCATTCGCCATGAATTTGAACCCAGCTCAAACTACCACTATTCCGCATCTTTATCATTCGACCTCTAGTGGGCTACGATATGGAGGTAAATAGCTACAATTGTTTACAACACCTGTCATGATACAACAACAATTTTTGGGATTTCTACAATAAACATCTTTATATTCATACCTACTAAGTTCTTATGTTCATAAGGGAAATAAAAAGAGTACATACAATTACAGTTTAAACTGCCTTATAAATGATGATACAACTAAATACAGCTTTGGTAGGATAGTAAAGCATGAAAGACGTTAAATGAACCTATTCTAAGATATATGCGACCTATCAAATTATATAATTCACTAAAATGCATTAATGACTAATTGTATTAATTTAAATAACTATTTATACTTATTTCTTTATTGAATATTTTGTTTCTATTATGTGGTAGATAATAAGAAATTTGTTCATAAGAGATAATGCTTATTACAGCACTGATTGCAATCCCATTTCAAAAAATCTAAAAAATATTATGCAGTAAATAACCCAGTATAATTTCAAATAATTCTGAATTTCACTGGCAAAGAGTATAATTTTATTTAATTTATGTTTCACTACATCAGTTCACGCAGTTGTCTATCTATTTGGTTTCTTAACAATTTTTTAAATAATTGCTAAGTTATGACCCCTTTTTGGGGAGAATTACTTTCTGCAAACTGCTGTGCCTATATTTTTCTTTGCTAATAACTGCAAATTCAGCAAGACGTTCTGATGTCGGCTATGGCTTTTAATTTAATTAATATTTAATTTTTCTTTAAACATTAAATTTAAACTGGTAGTTACAAAGTCTACATCTTCCAAGTCTCGAAGTTCCTGATTTGGGCAAGTAAAAAATTGAGAAATCTAGCTATATCTGAACATCAATTACCTATTATTAATGGAAATACCCACAAATTGTTTATAAACTAATGACTTGAGAGAGGAGGACTTTAATCATTTTTGACATTAGAAAATTTGATAACCCATCTCACTCTACACAAACTTTTTACCTTATCTATGAAGCCTATAGTTTCTTAAGGACATCTTAGTCATGTTTATTAAAACTATTTTTACTTTCAGAATTTTTTTTAACTTCATTTCTATTAAACTGTCATTTTATCAGATTTACATTTAAATTTGAGACATAATCAGTTTATCTTGGAAGATAATGTATTTTAGAATGTTCCAATTTTTTGATACAGACTTTTCCAATTTTTTTTTTATTATATTTTTGTATCAAGCATGCAGGTTTTAAAACATTTTTAATTTTTTTATTATATTATTATTTATTAAAAAATTCACAGCTATTCTTGTGGTTAATCTAATAGACGGACATGACTGGTACAGTTAGAAGGATAAAAGCATGCTTGATGTTTGTCAAAAGTTTGATATCTTGAATATGAAAATAAACAGACGAAAAGTAAAATTTCATAATTTTTATTTTCATTCTAAAATACTTTTTTTTTTTTTTTTTTTGTGTGTGTTGTTTAAGTTGTAAGACAATGGCAGGAGCTTTTAAACTCTGAAAACATTGTGACTTCTCTTATCTGTCAATAACTAGTGGATGATTTTTTTTTTTTTTTTTTTTTGCAACAATCAGAAGTAACATTGTTAGATTTATTTTAATCAACACATTTTGACTAAATCTGCCCTTAATCTGCTAATACCAGAACAAGTAAATGAGAGTAGATAGAGTGATAGAATGAATGATAGATAGAATGACAGTAGGAGATAAATAACAGTAGGAATCTACTGTTATTTATCTCCTACTGTCACACTGCCCTTAGCCTTAAAGCAAAATTCAACATAAGCTTGGTAACTCTCTAACCTGGTGAGCTATTTCTTTTTTTTTTTTTTTGTTTTTTTTTGTTTTTGGGCTGTTGCATACAAGGTACTTAATTTGTGAAATTTACTGAATGAGATACCAAGACAGAACTTAATGTGTGACTACTGCCATAAAAACTTGCACACTGAGAAAGAACTCTCAGAGTCAAATGAAATTTTATATACATGAGCGCAACGTTGATATAAGTCATTACAAAATCAAAATTAAAGGATAATTTATTACATGAAAAACTAAAAATGAATGAAGGTTCTAGTTCCCTGTCAGTCCAACTCTCATGTGAATGCACAATGTTATATGGGAGGGGCATACCTTTAATTTGACTTGGGCTGTAGTCTCAGAACATGGTTGATTGGTTAACATATCTAAAGATATTGTACGCTAGGAAGGTGGAAATATGACTAGGCCTTTCTCTGACACTCTTACAGTACACGGCTGATCACTACTGTACTATTGAAAAATATCTCCTGGAAGCCGTGTCATGAGTAGCAACACATGTGATTGAAGGCCGTAAATGTACTGCTGGGTTGTTGTGACGCCATGGATTAACATTAGAGGTGACCAAGTTTCTAAGCAATGGCCTTCAATCACCATGATACCAGCTGTGGGATAAGTGTACACTGTAAAGCAAAGGCAGGTTCACAATGAGGCCTCCACACATGTATACTGCGAAAAAAAAAGGGGAGACAGTTCTATATCTCTCATTCTACTGGGCCAATTGACAAAATTCAAATTGTGTTCTTCATATCTCAAAGCACGACTTAGGATATATATTAGATTTATATATAGCTCTATTCTAACATAGTTATTTTGACACGAAATCGGACTTTTTCTGAAATAACATACCAATTTTTTCCATATTTCGATTCTACGACTCAAATATGAAATTTTGTAAAATTTGGTGCAAAATTTATAGAGAAATTCACAAATTTATGTTGGCGCTTTTTTGCAGATTGCACCAAGAATAGTTCACTTGGCGAACTTCTTAATATATGGCAACCTATTTTCCTTTCCCGTGGAAGGGGAAAAAATCACAAAGTTCTTTCTTTCAAATAATGTTCTTTATATTTTTTTATTATTTTAAATATTTTTTTTTTCTTTTTCATTTTATTGTTTAAGTTGCATGGTTTCTTTTGAATAACTGTTTTAAAATTTTCTATTTACCCTTTCGAACTGTGTAGTTTAAATATACGGTGCATCGTTTATTTTTTTGAAATAGTTTTCTTCATAATTTTTTTCCCCTCGCAGTTATTATTTCAGGTAATTTTTAAATTTTTAGACTTTTATTTTAATTGTTTGTGCTGCATTGTCTCTTCAAATTTTCTATTTATTCATTCGAACTGAGCATTTTAAATATATTTATTAATATAAATTTTTCAGGATCTGATTTTATTTCTTTGAATTGAGTTTTTTCAGAAGAATACTTTGTGTCTCAGACTACGATGCATCTGAAAACTGAATATATTAAAAGAGAAAATACAGTAAAACACAGTTAACACACCTTTCAATGTTCCGTTCAGAAAAGATATATAAATGAGAAAGATGTATAACCAACATTTTAACTTAGGATGACTTGCATATATTATTGCATAATTGTCTAAACCTATGAGCACAATATAGCTTTAATATTGTGCTCATAGGTTTAGACAATTTTATCATCCTACATTTAGTTTCTTAAAATGTTAATCGCATTTTAGTAAAATATTTTAATATTTTTTTAATTTAAAACTTTTTAATTGTATGACATTTGATTCTTACGATTTCAAAAATAAAAATATTTTATGCAAAAATTCATTTTTTTTCTTCTTAATGGCTTGCTCTTTTTCTTCGGGCATTCTGCAAGTATATTAAAAAACATCCAACTTTTCAAAACATCTTGGTATTTCTGACATTCATTTTAAATAAAGTTATTGCCTTCCATTTCATAAAGGCCCACAAAAGCACGAGCGCGAAAGTCGCTAAATACTGGCAGTTCGCTCCGGGACTCGAATCCCGGCGAACGGGCTGGTTGCATGGGCATTTTCGTGGTTTTTCTCATTGTAACGTGTATGCCAGCTGGTTTCCCTTAGAAAGTTCTTCACAAAGGCATCCCTCCTTTTAGACAGATAGCCCTGCTTTGCCGTAACTTAATAATCTAATTCAATCCATTAGTATTTGGTCAGAGCCTTTATCAGTCTTTAGACGCTAAGCATTTTGAAGGCATGAGATGAAAGGAAAGACTAGTTTTCATCAAGAGAGAAAACGTCTTTTAATTGACATCCACATACATCACTGGATACATTCCTCAATATTCAAATAATTAAACTAAGAAATAATGGGATTCTCTATTTATGATGATATGATGTTCTATAACGTAATTTAAATTAATACAAACATATAGTCGAAAACCAGTCTCTCTTCACTTTAATCTGCAGTGATATCGTTTTTGTCTTTTCCATTAGCACAAGCTCAATTGATGATATTTGGCGTTATTATCGCTCCTTAAACCACATTTGGCGTTATTATCGCTAAAAAAAGATGCCAAATTTCAAAACGCGAAAATATGCAAAATCTTAGAACATTTTAAATAAAAAACTAATTTTTTGCAGGTATGCTTAGCTGGTGTACATGTACTCTTTGAACACCCAAATTGCTTGAAGTATTCTGAAAGTATATTCAAAAGCATCCAACTTTTCGAAACACCTTGGTATTTCTGACAGCCAAATTCCCCTTCAAATTTTTGTTTACTTTTCTCCCTAATTTTCTTCTTTCCTTCTACATTTATTTTCAGTGCTCACCACAAGAAAATTAAGATTTTTCGTTTGTTACACTGCCATAAATTCTTGTCAATTTTTTTTTAAATGTCAATTACATCAACTGCATTTCAGTTGAAGACAGCTTTTCATTTTAACCATAAATAAAGTTTAAAGCAAAATCCAAAGGATAAATATTTTTCATTAAAAGATTTTTTGTTAAATGACAAAGAAATAAAACAGTCCAGCAATGTTTATTCTGTACCAGAGTAACCCGATTATTATATCAGCTACAAACAATCTAAATCACATTAAAGATTATGTGTTTTATACAATCTATAACATGAGAGAAAATTAGCTACTTAAAACATTCTTTCAAAGAGGATTAATGTAAAAATTCATACTTATATATATAATTTTCAAAGCTGGAACATAACCCAAACTATCAATGTCCTGTTTGCTTAAAATATTTGTGAAAATAAACATAAAATGAACTTTCTCAGTTTTAGACAATTCAATTTAAATGCAGTCAAAGTAGCAGACAATAACACAGCGAAGGTAAAATTTTACTCTTACAAATATTTAAAAAAAAAAAAAAAGGAAAAAATTTTTAAAAAGTTAAAAATTTGAATATCTACAATTTTAAAAAAAATAGCCTTTCATATAGTATTAATAAATATTTATTATGCAGCATTGAGGGAAAAAATTTGATATAATAAATTCTCCCTAAAAATTTATTTGAAATTTAAGGTTAAAAATAGCTGTGGCAATTCACTGTAACAAAAATCCTTAAACCACATTTGGCGTTATTATCGCTCCAAAAAAAGATGCCAAATTTCAAAACGCGAAAATATGCAAAATCTTAGAACATTTTAAATAAAAAACTAATTTTTTTGCAGGTATGCTTAGAACTACTTCTACTTTAAGATGATGGTAAAAATTTTATAGGTTATAATTCAAATTTTTTTTCGAAAAATTAAAAAAAATTAGTTAAAAAATAGAAATTTTTAAAATAAAACACCAAAAATAGGTGAATTTTATTTGGAATGAACCCTAAATTTTGAAATGTGAAAGAAAAAAATCAAAAAAGTTTATTAAAAAAAAGAGATATTAATAAATATATGCCAAATTCAATTAACATTGAGGAGCTAATTTTTTAAGAACTACTTGTACGATTTTTACAAAACTCGGCAGCCTGGCATAATTTGAGTCGTAGAATCGAAATATGTAAAAAATTGGTATGTTGTTTCAGAAAAATTCCGATTTTGTGTCAAAATACCTATGTTAGAATAGTGCTATATATAAATCTAATATATATCCTAAGTCGCGCTTTCGAGACACGCAATTTGAATTTTGTCAATCAGCCCAGTAGTTGCGCATTGTACATAGTTGTCACATCACTGCCCATACTGAATCTTGTAGAACAGGGCTTCTTAAACTTTTTTCATTTGCGACCTATTTTTACAACCGAGATTTTTTTCACGACCCCAGGATCCCCAAAATATTTATAAAAATTTTGTGGGACCCCATAAGCAATACGCAAATCCAACACACGTGAGTATGTATTGTATTGTCTTATCTTTATCTATTTTCAGATACATTGTGTAAAAATATTGATAAGTGTAAAATTATTATAAGTTAAAGAAATATCCAAACTGCTAAAATTTTTGGCGACTCCCTGTTGCAGGTCACGCGACCCTCATGGGCGTAAAAATCACTAAGATAACTTAGTTCCATTTGATTATGAAGCATTCTCATCAAGCACGACACGACTTTAAATGGAGGCAATGGTAGGTGAATGTCAATTGCAGCGCTGTGATAACAAATTTTCTTCATTCAGGCACCTTAAAATGATACAACCAAACACAGAAGTCCATATTTAAAGTCCAGATAGCGGAAAATGATGCAGTTGGTGCTGTGTGTAAATGTCAGATGATTTTTATACTGTTGGCTACTGGCCTACCTGCTATGCATGCAACCACGCTCTCATCCACTGGTCCCAATACTTCCTCACAATAAAGCCAGAATGGCTTAGGAACTGAGCTACTTGTTCAACAGAATCCTCTGGCTTCCATCATCCTGATGATTGATGGTTAAATATGATTAGTGAAGAAATTTAGTTTAAGGCCAAATATATTCGAATAAATTAGATCAAACCCAATGCAATGGAAAAGGGAAAAAACAGACAATGAAAATCTGAATATAATTTATTTCATGACACCGTATACAGAAATGAAATTCTCAGACTTCACAGTTACCTTGTCAATGACATAATAGCAGCAACACCTAAAAAATAAAAAAAACGCAAAAATTATAAGAAGTTTTATTTTGTACAAATTCTAACATTTCAGTCAATCAGACACTTTATATATCAATACAAATTTATTAATACCCTGTAGCGATATAAAAGCAATACCATAAAGCAAACGTAACAGATGTCCTATGTGAATTAAATAAAAACTGCTTCTACCTTTTAATTACTATATGAAAATATCTCAGAGGACTATTATCTTATCATTAAACTGCAAATATTGCTGACAATATTTGTTTCTTAAGCCCCGTTCACAAGAGCAGATTCGACCGGTAGCGAAAACCGGTTTTTCCAACGCGTCCCGTTCACATGGAACAAGCATTAACTGCCTTGCCGAATTGGAAGTAGAACTTGGTTGAATGTTCCTTACCTCTTGGGAGCAGGGCAAATGGGGGAATTTCCCGTACTATACTGCGCGGTTCACTTAATTTTAGTTACTGCTCGCTGGACTGTCAGCGAAACAATCGTGCTGATAGATATCTGGGGATGTGATAGCATCCTCCCAAAAATTAGATAGAACTGTACAAGATATGCAAATTATAGACAAATACAGACAAGGTTATCTGATGCTAGGTATTGCAGAAATATCGTTCAAATTAAAACTAAAGTTAAGACAAGTGCATATCGGCTTCAACGCGACAAGGGACTCAGTACCTTTTGAATGATTTTTTTAAAAAAAATTTAAGCATTTTCATCTACTCTTTATGAATATTATTAAATGGTTTTGTGAGACAAAATAATTTTAAGCTGAAAAAAGTTTTTGCTAGTATTTTTTAATTAAAATGTTTGAAGAAAAATTTTACAATTAAAATGTCTTTCTTCTCCTACAATTTTCAATGTCTCCACCCAGTTTTTTTATTGTATTTATTAGACTGTTCTTAATTACTTCAAGGAATGATTTTGTAATTAACGAATTAGTTTCTGAGAAAAAAAATATACTTTTATCTAAAATCTTTGAAACAAATATGATCTCAGTCACATTTTCATTTCAAATAATTTTTTCCTTTCAGTATTTTGCAAAACCCATCCTTGTTTCTATAAAGTATATAATTTTAAATAAGCAGTAAAAATAATAAAAAATTTAGTCCATACCTGTATATGTTTTAGGACTTTAAGTAAAAGGATTTATTGAAAAAAATGCAAATGTTTTCTCAGTTTGCATTTGCAGTTTAAAGAATACAAACTGTCTAAATAGACATTTAATGATTTCAAATCTTTTAAAATTTTATTACTGAAATTTCAGTACACATATATATATATAATATCAAATCAACCTACTGCTATTTATTATATTGGTAAATATAAACATAAATGACAAACCTTTTTTTAAAACCTTATGTGGCCAGAAAAACTGCAAAAACTCATAAAACGCAAGCAGAATTTTTCTTTACCTATTTTTGTTTTGTAAAATACGTTCAAAACAATTTAATACATTAATTAATTATAATATTGTTGCATGCATATGGGTTTGTAATAGATTGATAATAGATCGTAAATGATTGTCATTGCACTCAAATCCGATGATAGCTTAATTAAATTTATTTTATCAACAGAAACACTTCAAAGTTCTGGAATTTTCCACAGAAATACTCGTACAAGTGTTTAGAATATCACTAAGTATAATCAGTAGTTATGCTTCAATCTAATAAGAATGTTAAACACAGCGGAATGCAAAACGTATCTTAAGAGAAAGTTAACTCAGAAATATCTCCAATCTAATGCTGAACTAACAATTGGCAACAATAACAACTTACATAGCATAAATAATGTCATAAAAATAGTGTGGTATAATGAGATTATTACTTTGAAACCGATGTTTTGAATTGATGCACAAGAAGAACCAATATTTCCCATTCTCCTTCATTGCACATCTTTCAAAAAAGTAAAAAAAAATCATCCAATTAATTTCCTGTATCATTTTTTAAAATGAGAAACGTTTGTTTTATAAGGTGTAAAAATGTCGGAAGTTTGTAACCGATATATTTTTAGATATGAAATTTTAAAATTAATGGGCGTCAAGAAGTCTAAAAATATGAACGATTTAAAAAAATTCTCCCAAAATATTTTTTAAAAAAATTACGCTAAAAATTTCATTTAATTTTTTTTTCCCTCCACAGTGTGTTCTGAGATTCTCAGTTTATTTGTTAATATTTGCAAAAAATCGTTTCAACTTTAAATTTGAAAAAAATCTAATCCTCTAAAAATCAAGAGTGACACCACATCCACAAGCAGTGTATGTACAAAGTTTGAGTTCTATATCTTATGGGGAAGCAGTTTAAAAATCTATGACCATCTTTTAAAAATAGCGACAAGCACCAAGAGTGAACTAAATAACAGCTTATAAAATAATAATAATTAAAAAGCATATATTTTTCAGGAACCATTACGAAAGTTCAAGTACCAGTTGCGAAAGTCCAGATTACAAAATTAACAATAGTAAGCAACGTTAAAAATGTGTAAACAGTATTAGAAATCTGCCAATTCGGAGATGTGATTGTTCACAGAGGCTTAGGTGTAAAGGGGAAGGAAGACGGTGGTCTTCTGAACGGGTCCTAATGACGAAACTCTTTCACGTTTCCTTTTCCTCCCCTTGCTAACGGCAGCTGTGCGAAGGAGCGTTGCATGTGAACGGGGCTATAGTGGGTCAAGAAGGAAATAAATTTCAAACACTGTGCTTCTTAGTGAAGCTTTCGGTTCATTTTCTTTAAAGCAAGCTAAATATGTAAACATGTAGTAACCACAATCATATTTATAATTTTCTTAACACTTATGACACTTTATTCAAAAAAGTCAAAAGAGCAAATTATTTGCCAAAGAATTTCTTTCCCATATTTTCATTTAAAAGTTGCAATTAAGGGAACTGGACTATTTGATGCTAAAGCAAAGTTTAAAGTTTAAAGAAATTAAACATTTAGCAGTAGTAGCAATAAAAGCTCCCTGAGATATGTTGTGCAGACATTGAAGACAATAAAAGATTTTGAACTTAACCAATTTATTAACAATATAATAAAGAATAAAAAACACAGAAAAATAAATGTCAACAATATCAGAGTCTTGGGAAAAATATAATATAACCATCATTCATCAAATAATATTTTTACCTGGTCTCCAAAACACTGGCGTTCAATACAAACAAAATGTCCTAAACAGTAATTATGCGGCATAAAAATGCAGCTGGCTACACATTCAATAAGTTCATGATCAATGGTCAAGAAAAAACACCTGAAAATTTAAATCAAGTTCTTGAAAACACTTAAAACCGGCCTAACTCCGTTTGCACAAGGAATCACCGCTCACGTATTTTAATTGCCGCCTTTATTGAAGAACATGGATGTTGCCCACGGCAGTCACTCACATGGTAGCCTCTGGAACCAAGGAATTTATTCCGGAACAATAATCTTATGGATATGAACCAAGGAACTCATTCCAAAACAATCATCCCGCAGACATGCACCAAAGAACTTTATTCAGGAACAGCCATCCCGCATACCAAACCGGAACCAAGGCACTTTAATCACCGGACTGCATGCATCCTTCTGAAGGGGCTGGAAACCGCTCACTCAAGTGCCAGGAAAGCAGGAACTAGAAGGGTTGAGCCAGAGCGACGCGAGATACTTATGGCAGAAGTAGGAATGATGTCATCTCACGGCAACCAATCAGCTATGAGCATGAATCGGCTTTTCAGATGACGTAACATCACGTTTCGTTTTTGCATCTCAATTAGGTTGAAACAGTCCGTTTTCAATGCAAACAGAGGCAGCAAGAAAAAGAAGTAGAAGTAACTACTATATTACATTAAAATACTAAACTAAATAAACATTTCAAGGAGGAGGGATGATGCAGTAAAAGGTTTAAAATAAGCTATATTTTCAACACTATTAACCTGAAGCGCATGCGCTGGGTCCAATGAACCCGCTTTTTTCAAAGCCAACCTCTTTCACGCAAGTTGTTGAGGTCCAGCGTAGTTGGCTCTGAGGTCAACTTCTTTATATTTCCAAAGTTTTTTTGCTAGGGCTTTGATTCGGAGTCTTGATTTTGATCGTATTGAGTCTTTCAGTTCCAACTCACCTTCTTACTATACTAAGACATAGTTGATTTGGGATAGTATAAAAAGCGGCAAACATGTCGCATAATTTATCTTACAGGGAAGAAATGTTAAAAAAGTTATTAGACATATCAACTGGTGGAGAGTGTATTGAAGAAAAGGAGGATGGAAGTGATCATGAATTTTAAGTTCACACGATACTGATTCTGAAACTGAAAACGAGAATGACATAAATTGCTTTATTTGAAAAAAAAAAAAAGTTATTGGAAATGAAAAGAAAATAATGCAATGTTTGCCCAGTGAAAAAGCACAGAAAAATGAAAACACGCTGCCCCAAATGTGAAAAATATTTGTATTTAGAACACATGACAACATTTTGTTCAAAGTGATGCTAATATTCATTGTTGCACTTTTTCTCTGTGTGATAAAGAAAATAAAGAATCAATACAGAGTAAAGGTATACTATTTTTTCCCCTGTGCTGATATATAATAGGATTTTCTGTATCTTTAAGAAATTATATTTCATAAAAACATTTGGAAAAATTAAAAATTTTAAAGTACACATTTTCTAAGTTTGACCATAAAATTTATTATTGGCATAAATGTAACACTTTCCCTGATGATTTATAATTGTTCTTCAAAAAGCATCAATTGGGTCTTTTGGATCCAGTGCATGTGCACTCAAATGATCGCCCATGCTGCCAGGTCAATAAATACATTCCTCCTTTTCCAACAATGGATTTCAGAGAAAAACACTAACAGACTAAGAGAAATTCAAGCTAAGAAAGAGTAGGTTAATTGCGCACACATAAACAAAAAAGTAGGATGAATGGAAGACTTAGATTAAGAGTGTATATGTACGAAATAGCAATTTTTAAGAATGTAACAATATTAAATTCATGTTTAGTAAAGTTAATAAAAATTTTAGTTTAAACACTCTGAATAATATTTTCAAAACTGAATGATAAAAGTTCAATAAACAGAAGGGACAGTAAGTAAGAAAGCAATAAAATTGACAGCATAGTGAAATAAGTAGCTGGATTTGCGACTCATCAAATCTCAAACTTTCATTCAAAATCAAGATACAACCCAATTAATCATAGTTAATGCAAAAAAATCATTTCAGGATACATATACAATGATCATTACTAAACATCCCAACATAAGTTTTAACCTGTGAGCATTTGCAGTGCGTCCAAAATACCTGAGCTCAATCATAAAAATAAATCAAATACAGAACTATTAATCTTGTATTTCATTATGACTACAGAAATATAAAATCCATTGACACACGTTCTCCTGGCTTCCCACCATTCACTTAGATCTCACCGGCTTTTCTTTCACATATTATTAAAAATATGCCATCTATGCACATTAGCTATGTTTTTGACTGTGCCAATCTCAAGTAAATTCATGTAGATCATTGACACTATTTCAAGAAATTTTGCTTTACTGTTACATTCTTGATTACTTGGGCAAGGCAACACGCAATGTGCCAAGTGACCAGATGACACTTTGCAAGATCACTGCAAAATTTCTATTTAAAAAAAACATTCTGACCAATTAACTGATTATTTTATGCAAGTTTGAATTCAATAATATAGTTCAACTCACTTGTAAGCACTATTTTTTAATCATTACAACTTAGCTTCTTTTTTTCTAATGATATTCATTCTTCTGTCATTTGTTCTGCCCTTTTTACTTTGAATCCTGGTTTAATTTACATATCTAAGTGAACTTATTTCTCCAGATTAAACTGCTAAAAAATATAGGTAAATTCTTTACAGCATTTTTTTTACTAATTATAACAGTTCAATCCTCTCTCCCGTGTTTTTTTAACTACCTTCAGACTAAAGTTCAGTTTAATCATTATTTTGAATTAACTGCACACATCATTCCCATGTTTAACCCCAGTTAATTGGGAGTCTAAATGTATTCTGAAAGAAACCAGAAGAACATATTTGTTAAGCTTATGAATGAGCAAATGCCATAAAAATAAAGATCAAACTTATAAAAATCCACAAATCACAGAAACTGGGATAAAATTGTATCACAGTCTATTTTATTAGTTTGTTATTTATGCAGTTAACACCATATGCGGGCATAATGTGTTTTAAAAATTGAGTACACATTTTGAAATTCAGAAGTTTTAAAATGTTAAGTCAGAATGAAAAATACAATGTTAAAAAATCTGATAAAGAACTTACTATCAAAATCAATTTTTTCTGTAATATTCTTCGTTTTGATATTTTCTTCTTGATTATTAATCAAAATCAGGTTATTTCCAACTTCTTTCCAGCCATATTTATTCATCCACAACTGCAGTTCATTATCTAAACAAAGAACAGACATCAAAAGCAGTGCATTTTAAAAAAATTCTTTAAATATATATAGTATACACCGACTTTTAACTTTCCAAATGCCAATTTTAAAATTTACTATAACTTACAAAAGACAGAAATCCATAACCTAAAATTCTTCTTACAAAATCTCCAAACAAAATAAGCCTGTTTCCAATCTAATGTAAACATTTTTAATAATTTTTTTAACTGGAAATTGCATGCATTGTCATATTTAGATTATAATTAAATATTTCCAAAAATGAATTTAGAGAGCTTTACAAAATTTACTGTACCTTATGATTATCTGCAACCCCCCAAAAAGTATTCATGAAATAATGCACTATGTCTCCAAAATCGTTGTGCCAACACTCAATGTCACCAAAATATACTTACGTGAAAACCCAGGTATGCATTTCAGTATGTGTATATTTCCATCTTCCACATTTGATTGTAGTGTTTCTGTTAAATGTCTGTTCCTACAATAATGTCAATTCCTTTTTTTCTTGTAACAAATTGTAATGGGATTAGTTAGTTAATGAAATGATAGTGTCACATTTCTTTAGAAGTATGGCATTTTGTCCAACAATACAGAATGCAAAAATCTGCATTTCTTAAATGATTGAATTTATGGAAGTACAATGCAAGAAAACTACAAGCGAAGCGTTAGAAGGAGGTTGGAAATCAGTTTGAAGATAGCTGTATCTCATTTGCAATTCACTTCATTTAATATTGAACAAAAGATTATACATTAAAAAAAAAATTTTTTTTAAAGTTTCTTGAAAAAAGTAAGTGGTACTGTTGTTGTCTTGTCCATGTATTTCACAGAAAAATGGCTGCCAGAGGCCTCAAAAATGTTGGACTTCTACTTCCAACACAATTTTGAGGGAAAGCATTACAGGGGGTGATTTGAGGATTTCCCACGCCTCTCCTCTACCACTAAATCACATGAGAGGACTCTCAGCTCACCATATATTTAAAGTGCCCCCATACCACAAAGACACTATACGTTTACAACATCCAAGCCTTCTTCAGGATTTGAACCCATGCCCTTTGGTATCACTGTAGGCTCCCCTAACCACTATACCATCTGGGTGGCAAGTAAGTGTTTTATCATGGATATCTCCAGCTTTTCTAATTTCACTGATTGATTTAGCTGCTGTTTTAGTCATCAAAACAAAGAGGAGAAAATAAGGAAGCTACAGCATAGTCACCATTTTATTTTTAATCAAAAATTAACAGCACAAGGCAATAAAATCATCAGTCACTATCATGATGCATAAATGAGAAAGGAGGGAAGGGAGGGTTCCAACAAAATCTACAGAGATATCTTGAAAGGTGAAGGTTTCTAATAATTTTATTATTCTTACATGTGAAAAATTAATGAAAACAAGTGGTTCATTTCTAATTAATTCTCTCCTCTTGAAACAGACCATAAATTTTGTTGTTAAACGTTTCCCAAAGCACTTCTACACATTTTTAGCTATTTTGCTCAAAAATGAAATACAGGAAGGGACCATGCACATTTGATGCTTTATAATTTCAGACAACTTAATTTGATTAAAAAACAAATGCACCTAACAGATTTTCTTGGTAGGAAATTATGACAAATAAACTCCAAAAACTTGCTATCACTTTGAAAAGTGTATTAAGTGAGACAAAATTCAATAGCAGAAACTGAATTGATATGCTGCCATAACCAGTTATTGTTAAAATCATAGTTCTCAAATATTGAAGTCATTCTGCATGCTTACTAAGAAACCTAAAGAATACACAGAAATTAAAAATGAATATGAAAATACCAAAATGTGTAAAAACCATCTTAACAGCAAATGTTTCTTTCAGTTACAAGGTCAATAATAATTTTATTTCCAATTAAATATACATTTAAATATAACAGGGTTCATAGCCACATTTTAGTTAAAAAAATAAGCACCTATAAGCACTTTTCAAGCACATTTTAAGGAAAAAATAAGCACCTGTCTAATTACATTATACACAACTGCATAACCTTAAAAGAAAAATTAGACTTGTAATTTAAAATATGAGCAATGCAATATTTATTACGAGAATGAGCATTACCTCAACAATGGAAAACAATTAACTATTTTTTTTTTAAATTTTAAATGACAGTTCAATTTACAGAATTAGTTTACAATGAGAGAAAAAAAAAAACTATGCAGAACTAAACTATATTACAAAATTTAATGATGATATTTCAGTTGAAAATATAGAAAATAAATAATAAGCCATATTAATTGTATTCGTTTGGCACCTAATAATAAATACAATTTATTTTTCCACTCATATTAATATTTAAATAATTTAATTTAAATCAAAATTCTGAACATTTTCTAAATTTTCATTCCATAACAGTTTTCCCTTAACATATATCCCAAACAAAGTAATTTAAGTAAAAAAGAGGCACGTTTCTGAAATCAGAAGACAGGAAATTGCTTCATGCAGTCATCTTTTAACAGTAAAAACTTAACTAACCCACATACTCGGAAATTCCCGAATATTGAAAATTCCGGATAGTAATAACTGGAAAAGAGGAGTGGGGGAGACTGTAGCCGTTCTTTAGATTTAAATTTAAGCTAAATAAATGATTTTGACATTTCGATATGTGCATCATATAAAAAATAGCCCAACGGAAACTGAGAAAATATTCTGCTTAGAAAGCACAGTAAAACTCTTTTAAGTGTTCATAAACAAATCTCAGACTGAACATCAAAATTAATTATCAATGCAAAATACCGCAAAACGTTATTGCGCAATACGTGAGGCGTAATTCTTCCATATGTGATATTACGCAAATCGGAATCAACACCTGCCGGTATTCGGAGAATAAAGAACTAAATAAACACAGGAACGTTGCGCCCCATGCGTAATCCCTGAAATATTGATTAATAGACTTACTAATCTGGGGTGTTTCTGATTCCAATTTTCAACAGACTGTATTAAATTTCCGAAATAGAATCAATCTTCGCTTGGGTTGGGTAGACCGCAAAACTTTTAGTCCTATTCAATCCAGATTGGACAGTGACAAAAAAAGTCCGCTGCTTCAATATTAGAGATTTTGCGGAGAAACTCCCAACCTCCATACTGTATAATGTATTGGCAAAGAAAATGAAATTATTTTCACTATTCGATTACTTTCCTTTTATTTAAGCCATTCCGAAAATTATTCCTTAGAAAGCTAATCTGTGTAAAAACACACCCATTTTTGGAAGTTTATCTATACTTCAGAAGTTACTGCAACTATATTATTATAAATATTCATACATATGCTCGTAATATAAGCATAACGATCACAATAAACACGAATATGAACTGACCACGCGGAACGAGAATGCAAATTATTAAAATCTTGATAGAAATTCAAACATGTGTAGTATTTTGGGTGGGAGGAAAAGAATACCAAATGTACCAGAATTTTCTATCGTTTTCGCAATTCTTTGGCCAATAGAACGACGTGCACCTGTCTGTACTCTCGTGCGGACCATAGGTTACGTTAATGCAGAGGAAGGGGGGGGAGAAGCAATTTCCGGAAGTATAATTCACCATCTGACGTTTGCATATAAGGAAGAAAAGTTGTTAAGTCTCGGCTTTGGAACGGGGGAAAAATGCGCGTTCATTAAAAACAAAGGATTAAAAAAAAAGCACTAAAAGCAAAAAATAAGCACTAAAAAAAAAAAATAAATAAAAAAAAAAAAAAAAAAAATAAGGGCTTTAAAGAAAAAGTAAGCACCTATAAGGGCCTTTATATTTTATTTTCAAATATAAGGACTTATAAGCACTTGTAAGGACCGCTATGAACCCTGTATAATCACCTCTAAATATTATTCACTTTAAAGAAACTATAAATTAAAAAGCCAATACATAAGATAACAATGTACAGGTAATCCTCCTATAACAGGCTACATAGGTTCATAACACATTACCTTTGAACTTCGTTAACAGGTTCTTAGAAAATGATGTATTGTGTGAAACCGTGCTGTATGAGACCGAGAGCCAGTACAAAAAGTGGGGGGGGGGGGGGTAGTCTCCAAAAACTTATTAAAAACAAATAATTTTTTAAATTCTATATAAACAATTTAATTTTTTTATTAAAATATAAATGCATGTACAACATACAAAAATATTTTAATTTAACACAACTTTCATTTAATAAATTTCTTTGTCGTTGTTGCTCAGTATAGTCAACTGGAAATGTTCTTCTAGTGGAATGATATCGATTTCACTTTCAGAACTTTTTCTTTCATTTAAAGTTTTTGGATCTTTTTCTTTCATTTAAAGTTTTTGGATCTTCTTCCCTCTTAAAAAAATCTGTAATTTTACTTTGCTTGTTGGTTGTTACCAGGTCATTGTAAATTTCTTGGTATGGAGCTAGACAATCTTGCATCTCTCTTTTAAAGTTTCGGCTTCTTTCAGTGGAAGGGTCCGCATCAAAAGGAAAAAAAAAAAAAAAAAAAAAGACTTGATATTTTTAGCTAAGTTTAGGCCATCTTTTAATTTTTTTAATGTTTGATTTACAGCTTCGAATGACATTTCTATCAAATCCGTTTCGTCAACTTCTTTCACTAATAAATCTTGAATGTCCTCAATAGCCATGTCCACAAAACCTTCACCTCCGACTGATTTGGTAAGTTCTAATATGCCACCAATTTCATTTTCTGACAATTCATTCACATTTTGTATTTCAACTGAAGAGGACCATATCTTCCAACATACGTTTGATGATATTTTCAGTTCTTTCAGCAACAAAGATATGATGTTGATACAGTGCTTGATGGAAAATTTCTTCCAAGCTACCATTACATTAATTGATTCTGAATTGGTTACATCTAAAATCAACTGTAATGCTTTTCGTATGAAATCCATTTAAAAGGTACAAATAATACCTTGTTCCAATGGTTCGAGCAACGAAGTAGTGTTAGGAATAGTATTCTGACGTTGAGATGATTCAAATCTTTTGGGTGACATGAAGCATTATCTAATGGTAATAGCATCTTGAAGCTCAAGTTTTTCTGCCTTATATAATGTTTAAGGTTTGGCACAAAACAATTTCACTTGATCTTTAAATAAAGTTCCCCCTACCCAAGCTCTTGGATTTGCTTTTGGTACTGTTCTGTTATCAGGATTGGGTGCAGAAATGTATGAATGTATGGATAGACAGATATGTTCATGTATGCCATACATAAGTGTCTATGTGTATACACACATATATACGATAGATCTGTTCATGTATGTGTCTGTGTGTGTACACACATATATACGCACCTACATATACTTCTGAATCCAGTCCTGATAGCAGAAGAGTACCTTGCTTTCCAATATACCAGTAAGGTATACTTATGCCTTTAAATGCATGAGGATTTACAGATCTAAAAAGTAGCAAGGGTTCTGTCATAAAGTCCCCAGATGCATTACTGCACAAAAGTAGTATTACATGATCTTTTCACATCTTAATTCCAGGAGAAGTTTTTTTCTTTTCTCAATATAAAGGTTTAACATGGCATTTTTTTCCACCAGTTTTGTCAGCATTGAAAAATTGATTTGCTGTGTATCCTTGCTTTTCTATAAAGTTTTGAATTTTTCTAAAAATTTTGAAGCAATTTTTGCTGATTCTCCATGCTCTTCAAGCTGGTTGTAAATTTTGAGTGTTTTTTGTTTAATGCTATTACCATCCAATGGAATTATTTTCTGACAGTTATCATTAATCCAAATGTTCAGTGTCTTTTCCAACTTTTCAATTACTGCCACATGAAGGCAAGCTGCATGTTTTTTGGATGTTGAAGATCTTGCAGCAGCTGCACTTCTTTTCTTATTTTTCTTAATACTACGAACTGTTGCTTCATTCAAATTAAGACTTTTTCCAATGCAAGATGCTCTTTTTCTATTTAAAAGACAATCTAGGACTTTATCTTTACTTCTAAAGAAATGAATTTCCTCTCATTGTTTTTTTATCTATATGAGACATGACTTAGGATTGAAACTTAATGACTTAAAGATGAAAAAGTTATTCTTAAACACACCATGGCTTGTCGCAAACTGCTGACCAACAGCGTAACGCACTTTTGCTTTCAGGCCCCGGAGATAAGGATTTCAAATGTTGGAAACTGAACATGTAGGTTATTTTGGAGCTCTTATTGTGACCTTATATTGTTCAATTTCTGCGATAGGGAAATTTCTTCATTCTTATCTCATGACTGTGCTCTCTTGAGACACTGTATTGTTATCATTCTGCTATGCTTTAAAGGTAATGGAGGGAAATGATTTTCCTCCATTAACAGTTAAGAAGTCAACAGTCACTCTCTGCTACTCGGCTAGTCTCCTTGTGAACATTTATTCTTATGGGAACCGGATCTTGGAAGACAACTGACAGGACTTACTAAACATGGATGCTTATATGTTAAATGACTCTGCCAGGACTTACTAAACATGGATGCTTATACGTTAAATGACTCTGCCAGGACTTCCTAAACATGGATGCTTATATGTTAAATGACTATCTGGGTGCTTTGCTCAATATGGAAAAACTTTCAGCGGAGTTCGCTAAAGTTCTTGGAATTTCATGGGCAATTTATGAATCATGTTATAGCGAAATCCTGTTACAGGATGCCATGTTGTAGGAGGGCTACCTGTATATACAGAAATTAAATTAATTACATACCTGGTAGACCACCTAAAAATGTCGATAAATGATCCTTTACTATATGCTGATACGTTATGTTCACAACATGGCAGATAACTAGAATATCAAATAAATAAAAATAAGCTCTACATTTAAGACTTGAAAAATTACACATAGACAAAAAAAATAAAATCTTATATGGCTATTTATCGAATCAGCTCACTGGGATTATGTGCCTCTCATTTTTTTTGCTACCATAAATTATGTCTACTAAGAATTTATATTCGAGATTTAAGGGAAAAAGAAAAAACAACAGAGTTAAAACTGTTTAAAATTTCTTAACATTTTCCAAATTCATTGGAACTTGGAAAACAAAACAAATTTAAACGATAATTTTTAGGTCAATTTTACTATCTTAAAAAATTAACCTAATTTATATTAATGCATTAAAATGCAACTAAGTATCAAAGAAAATTATATATGTAGTATACAAACATACACATAAACTTACATTTCCTTATAGAATCTTCAAAACCAGTGATATTAATTGGTCCTAAGCTATTAGACTGGATTACATCCTAGAAATATATTAGGAATGCTAATGATTTACAAATTATTTTGTAATTAACAAAAGTTTATTTTTCAAAATAATAAATTATCTTACCCAAAACTGTTTAAACTGGCATGTTTCAAGAAGATTGTGCAGAAACACGATTTTTTGAATATCATCTTTCTCTAACTAAATGGAATTAAGGAATTCACAACAAACAAAATATTAAATCAGAGATAAAGGTATAACAATATACAGGGGAAAAATTCATTTGATACTTTCAAAGTATAAATCAGCATAAAATAGGATAAAATTTGAAAGGGTTCAGATTTTAAAAGTCACCTTCACTAACCAGCAGCTCATTTAAAGTTTAATATAGTTTAATATAATTACCCATAGAGATTATCAATAGAGATAAATGGATATTTTCCTAATTTTCCCATGTATGCTAATATGAGCACGTTCCCTTAAAAAGTCTTCTACAAAGGCATGTCTCTCCTTAAGCAGATAGGTCCACCAGCGGTCAAGTGGTAGTCCTGAACACTGGTAGTTCAACCTGCGATCGAATCCTGACAAATGGACAGGCTGCATGGTTGGTTTTCATGGTTTTTTCCACGTGCAATGTTGATACAAGTCACTTTCCCTCAAAAAATCCTCTATGTCTATTCTCTTTTGGCGGTTTTCTCTTAGAACAAGATTGCAGCTGTGTGCATCAAAAGATAAACGCTAACCCTAAACAAAGGCGGGAAGAAGGTGCATTCAAATATCACAGCTACTTTTAGACACTTTGAAAGAAAGCAACTCTAAAAAGCAATCAGCCGTGCACTAATCTGATAAAGGAAAACACCAGGTAGAAAATGGATTTAGGCATTTGGGCAACTTGCAGGTGTGAAAGATTTGAATAAGTCTTTTGATATTAACACTAAAAACAAGATTACTGTTTTTATAATTTTGGACTGGAAATTTCTTTTTGCATTTATTTGCGCTTTTTACCACAAATTACATTTTTTATACTCTCAACTATCCAGAATTTTCCAAACTATTTGGATAGTCAAGGTTTGATTTTTGATATAGATGAAATACTAAACAATGAATGCTTTGAATAAAGATAGACTCTTCCTCACCATTTAGATAGACAGACGACCACTTTTATGGCTGTGAATTATACCATTAAAAAAATTAACCAATTCTCCAGAACACTTAACAAACTTGCAAAAAAAAAAGGATACATTCTGTTGCTCAATCAGGCATTTACATAGAACAAAATCGGTATGCGGCAAATTCGTAAGTGCTTTGTAAAGTATTAGTTGCACAATAGGAAGCCTATATCGAACAGGGTTAAACTGGTACCTTAAAAAGAAAAATCGAAATTAGAAACATATTATTCACACATCATAAAGAAAAACACGGATTTAAAAAATTATTTGTGTTTCCTTTCTTTCGAAATTTTTTTATCAAATTCAGAATTTTTCAAAAGTTGTTACAATTAAAAAGTCACTAAATACATTTTCAAAGATTTATAATACGTCAGTAGGATGATTTTGCTTTCTGTCTAGTAACACAGTCAACTGAAGCAATAAGATTGAATACATGTACAACAGAACACTGATAATCAAAATCAATTGGAACTTCCATTTCAAATTACAGATAGAAAATGAAAAATTTATTTCAGACTAATATCTGCAAGTGTGAAAAGTCATTAGGAATAATAATAATACTAGTTGCCTTTGAACCCTTTAAAATAAACAGAATTCTTTTGCAAAAAATGGAAGCTTAATTAATTTTATTCTTTAATTATCAATGAAAAACCTTCAATTTTTTATAAAGATATTCCTTTCCCCCTTCTAAAAAAATTTTTAAAATTTCAAGGAATACTTTTTTGGGGAAGGGGAGGGGACAGATAGCACCAAAACAAATTTTCTTTTTCTAGAAAAAGAAATTTTTCTAAACTGTTTTGATTTGTTAATTGACTTTAAAATTAGTGTTTGGATGACTGGTCAACTCAGACAATCAGCACTCTAATGTTTTAATATCAAAATAGTAAATACACTAATTTAATATACTCTGAATGATAAAACAATGCTTTCACTGAAGTATATAATTGTTTGAACATAAATGATGGTAAGGTTAAATATAAATAAATATAACATATACGATCCTATTTATTAAGATGTATAAAACTATAATATATTATTTATTGAATTCAGTATTAGTCTACATCGGCAAACCTCTGTGAAGAATGAGCTGGAAAGCCGAGTTCAAGGATTTCTTATTGAAATCTTCACCTTTCCTGAACCTTCTCAGAAGCCCCGTTTACATCTTTCACACAGCCACCGTTTGTATTAGGGAGAAACGGTGATATAAAGTAATTTTGGATTCAGAACCAGTACAGATGCACATTGTCCCATAAGCTAAGTCACAAAAGCGAATTTGTTTGGCAGATTTCCAATGTTGGAGTTTAACTCTTTAATTAATTAAAATACACCTAAATTAATTTAAAATGCAATTTATATCCGATTCCAAATGGTTAAAAGAAGAGAAGAAATTACATATGCTGCTGAACAGGTTTAAATAAAATATTTTATATCTTAAAATTTCAAACTTTGCTTTTTGAAAAATTAATAAAACGATAAATTAATATTATTAATTATAAATGTTTTATAAAAATAAATTAATTCATGTATAAATAAAAGCTTGTTAACAATCTTTGAAATTTTAAGACATAAAATATTTTATTTAAACCTGTTCAACAGAATATGTAATTTCTTCTCTTCTTTTAACCATTTGGTATCGGATATAAAGTCCCGAACCCATTTTGATGTTTAATAACTCATAAAATAATAAAGATAGACTAAAATTAATAACATAAATGATTAGATAGACTAAAAAAGTTTCATGACCTTTGTCAATGAACTTCCACGTGTGCCGCCTTCGTCACACGGAGAATATCAAGTCAATATTCAATTTCCCACCAGGTACCTAATTAGGGATAAGTTTACCAAATATCTTAAATATAATAAACGTTAGATACCAGTAACTTTTATTTAATTATTTTGCCAGGTGAATTACAAAGTACACAAAACCTCAGTGTTTGCATAGAAACAGAAATGGGATTCAGCTGTACCAGTTTTAAAACTATTTAAACTCCAATAACTGACAGTTTAAGTCAAATTGTAATATTTAAATTGCTACACAACACATCACAATCATTAAAAACTATAATTCCTTGTTTGCTGTTTGAGCAAGAGGATATTTACAATTTTTGTTTATTTAGTCAAATTCAGAAAAGCAATCACCTTGTTTAATACAACTAGCATAATATCCTACTTAGGTACTAAGAACTTGAGTGTCATGGGAAATTTTTCTAAGGGAAATTATGGGAAATTTCAGAGGACTTTTAAAGCACATGTGCCAAGTTAAAAAAAAAAAAAATCTATCCCTGCCTAGAAATATGTAGTCTCATATTAGTTCAATGCCAGAATTCTTCATTAAAACAGATTTCATACAAATTATATCATGTTTTGGCAAACGTATATTTTAAGGTACCACTTGGCGAAACTTGGCGGTACATGGATACCGAGTTTGCGCAAATCTTTGTTTGCATAAACTCGACATCCATGTACACATTGACCTATTTTTGCTTAAAAAAAAGGCTCTGCTTTTATATGTGCCCTAATATCACCAAATGTGGCAATGTGCATTCTGCGCTGGTTTTTGGCATGCCTGCGTGTTTTATGGAAACCCTGTTGACGTTGAAATATCTTTTGCTGGAGTAGTTTAATTGCTCGCTAGTTTGTGTCGTGCGTGTTTTGAAACAGCCTATGTCGCAACGAGAGACGTGGTGGCAAGATTTCAGTCCGTATTTTAGATTGTTTGCAAAGGAAATTTAATATTAAAAGGTACAACGTTGGAGTTGTTAACGAGTCTGCTCCGTGTCTGAGAAGATAGGGGGAAGTTAAAGTGGTGGAAATTGATGAATCGAAGTTTGGCAAAAGGAAATATCATTGTCGCCATCCTGTTGAGGGGCAGTGGGTATTTGGAGGTGTGAAAAGAGGGTCTGGGGGATTATTTTTAGTGGCTGTGCATGACAGAAGTACGGAAATGCTGATGCAGCGTATTAAAGAGCGGACTGAGCCTGGTACAACTATTTTTTCGAATGGATAGAAATTGTACAAGGATTTATGAAAAGAAGGTTTTGAACATTTATTTGTGAACCATAGTATGAATTTTCTGGATAGTGATTGCGGCATGTTAAAGGCGGTATGGAATTGGTATTTCAGCTGTTCGAAAAAGCATTCATTCATGGTAAGTGCATTTTATTTTATTCTTGTTCTTCTTTTGTAGAATGTTATGTTCATTATTTTTTTAGTATGAATTTCTGTCGTTGCTGTTGTTTTTTGAATTGTTCGAAATTTATTTTAGTTATTTTAGTTTAGTTTTGTTCATTAGTGCAATACGTAGATGTTTCTTAAAGTTGAAACAGAATGCTGTGTACATGGGATTCTTTGAAATTTATTGTTATTATGTTAATTTATTAAAGCAAGGTGTGCGTAGTTTGTAGATTCATAGATATTGCCTAGATTGTGCAATTCGTAGACTTTTTTTCAAGTTAAAATATATTGGTGTGTACATGGATTCTTGTCAAATACTTTTAGAAACTTTATGTTTTTGCTATATAAATTTTTTGTTTCAAATTTTTAGCTTAAATTGTGTGTTTAAAACGTGGTTTTTGCAAGTGCGAAATTTTTGGAGACATTTTAGGCTTAAAGTTCAAATGTAGACAAAAAATTTAGATAGTAATATGGCAGCATGGAGTTTCTTGCCAAAAATGTTTGGCGAGAAATTTGGTGACCTGAGGGCACATATAAGAGTAGTTCCAAAAGAACATCCGAGAATTTCACAAAAATGGCATTCCGCACTCCCTTGACTTTATCCATGTGCACATCGACCTATTTTCACTATAAAAAAAATCAGAGAATTGCACAAACTAGGCTTTGCACACTCCCTTGAGCTTGTCCATGTACACATCAATATATTTTTACTTAAAAAGTCAAAGGAGCACCCAGTTCTACAGTAGAGGTAAACAAAAAATACATAATTTCAATAAAATACATTTTAACCTTTTAACTGTCATGCCCGAGATTATCTCGGGCATAGCACTGATGTTCGAAAATGTCACGCCCGAGTATACCTTGGGATAATTTTTTTTGAGTGCATCGTATTGTTATACCCGAATATATATCGGGAGACGTTTATTTCAGCTTCATCTCTCTGTCAAACCCGACTGTATCTCGGGAAAAGTTAATGTGCGCTCAATTTAATAGATGACAGCACTTTACTGAAGATTTTAAAGGTTAGAGGTTATAAGTTCTTTGGTCCAAAGTTCACGGGATCTTTTTGTTGTAAAATGGCATCCAGTTCTTTGAAAAGTTAATAGATGATTTATATTCCTCAATCGAAGATGAAGGATGTGTGTTTGATGAGCAGTATTCATGATACTTCCATGGTCAGCCTCTAAAATAAAAAAATGGAGATATACTCAAGCCTAAGTTTGTTTCTGACTACAGTCTAACTACGGGTGGTGTAGATCGCTGTGATTAGGAAATATCCTTTCATCCAACAATCCAAAAGCGTCAGAAAAAATATTATAAAAAGATATTTTTACGTTTACTAGACAAGGTACTCTGGAACTCATATTTTCTCTATAAAAAATGTAGTTGGGAAACGTATTACATTTTTAGAATTTCGAATCCAAGTTGTAGAAAAGCTTTTACATAAATATGATGATGCAGCTTCTGGACAAAAGAATGTTGGCAGACCACCTACAATAGATAACCCTACCCATCTTACTGAACGACATTTTATATCCCATATTCCTCCTACTCCTGCGAAACGTGAGCCTACAAGTGCAAAGTGTGTTGTTCGAAAAAGGATAAAAATGGAAAAAAGATAAGGAAGGAAACACGATTCTGGTGTAGTGATTGTGGAGTTGGTTTTTGCTTGGAAAAGTGTTTCCAGTTGTACCACACAAGACTGAATTACTGAACTACTAATAGGTATTCACTTTTATTTATTTATTTTTTAGAAAATAATTAATTTTTTTTTTCATTTTTAGAAAATAATGCTCCACTAGAAGCAAACTTTACAACTGCCATGTTGAGTGGCAGCAGCCTCAAGCAAATATGCAGTGGCTACAAAACTTTAAAAATTTTACCCATGTACTTCAAATATCAATTTTTAACTACTTAAGTATATTTTATTTTGTACTAAACATTTGATTTTTGCAATATAAAAAATGTGACAATTTGTGTACCCAAATCATCAAAATTACTTGACAGTTAAAGGGTTAAACCTAACAATAAAATAACATAAAAAAGGAAAAACCACATGCATTTAAACACTACCCAAAGCAAATATCCATTTGCCTTATTTAAAAATTCCTTAGTCTCCAGTCTGTGGCACACAAAATTCCTTAACAGCATCCAAAAACTTTCTAAAATTATCTCAACTCGAATCCGTATATTGGCGTCGCCACATAAATTCACAAAAATAAGAGTAAAAAATACCCTATGTATTCTGGACTGTCTGGAAAATGGCTATAAGGTAAACCTTCATTTGCACACCAGTCAATTAGTGCACTTTTCCCCTTTTGTTCTTAATCGTACAGAAACTTCAAATTAATCTTACTTCATTTAAACATTCTATAATCTAAACAATGAAATAAGCAATGTACTTCCTAACCAACATACACCCCAAAAGCCCTCCAAAACATCCCACGATTCAAAATTTCCAGGAATAATGCAAATGATTATGTCGTAATTGAGTTTCCATAAGATTCAACTACTCAGATTACCATAAATGAAACAACAACTCAGCGATAAATGTCAGGGAACTCTAACTAGAGTTGACTTTAGGGTAGCCCTTGTATTATCGTGAAGTTGTTGTTTCATTTATGGTAACCTGAGTAGTTGAATGTTATGGAAACCCTATTATGACTTAATCGTTTGCATTATTCTGGGAAATTTTAAATCCTGGGATGTTTTGTAAGGGCTTTTGTGGTGTGTGTGTGTGTATTTAGGACAAAGGAATTGACTGAAGATGAAGGAATTTCTAAATAAGGTAAATGGATATTTGCTTTGTGTAGTGCTTAAGTGCATAACAAGTTTTTCCTTTTTTATGTTATTTTATTGTTTGGTTTAAAATATAGTTTATTGAGATTATGTATTTTTTGTTTGCCTCTACTGTAGAAATGGGTGCTCCTTTGACGTTTTAAGTGAAAATATTTCAATGTGTACATGGACAAACTCAAGGGAGTGCGCAATATCATTTCTATGCAATTCTGTTTTTTTTTTTTTTTTAAATTTATTTATTTATTTTTTATATATAAATATAAGTGAAAATAGGTCGATGTGTACATGGATAAAGTCAAGGGAGTGCTCAATGCCATTTTTGTGCAATTCTGAGAATTTTTTTTAAAGTGAAAATAAATACATGATTTATGTGTACATGGATACCAAGTTTGTGCAATTCTTCATCTTGTTATTTTGGCTTTGTGTAGTGGAGATTTTTGACATAATAACTGCTGCTGCATAAGCCAAAATAAGTCAAAGAATTGTACGAACTCGGTATCCATGTGCAGACAAAAATCACCTAGGGTACCCTTAAGTATACTTTTACAAAATTAATTTTTAATAGAATACTGAATAAATTATATTAAAGAATAAACAGAATTTTGATATGTGTAATAAATAGAGTTTTTCATTGTGTTTAGATACACTTTTAACTAAATTGATTACATAATTGTATAAAATACAGTGATGTATATATTAAATATATTCTGTAGAATTATGTTATTTTAAATAAATTGTGGGCCAACTTGTATTAAATATAGTAAATCCCTAACACATATATATTAAATAACTTGTATTGTATAGATAGTAATTAAATTACTAGTTTATCATTTACTACAGTCAATTTTATTTTTGTGCATGTTTAACATTTGGCAAAAAAATCACATGAAGAGGAAGGGATGTTTCTAGCTGTCATAATGGTTATTTTGAGTCCCTTATTCTATCTGTACATGCAGATACTGGGTAAAAAAGATCATCCAATGGTCAAAATGGATATTTCTGCTGAAATATGACAGCTGAAATTTTTTCGCAGTAACAATATTTCTTTTACTTCGTACAAGGAAGTAAATTTAGGATACACCCCCCAAAACCAGCCAAGTCAGTGCCCACCCAGGTTGTAATTCACAGAACTTATGTTATAAAGTTTATGCTTTGTTAACTGAACTCCTGTTAATGACAGTATGGATTACCAGAACAAGAAACTGACTAATGAAGCTGAACGAGTGGATAAAATTATCTTTGAATACAGTTCAAATTATAACTTATCACTTAGACTGCTAACGAAGAATGAAATTCAGTTTCGTATGTTCAGATACAAAAGAGAAACAGCGATCAAGGTTGTTTTCTGTGGTTACATTGCTGATTCAGAACCTGAGGAACTAAAGATGGAATTTTACACTAAAGACTGTCCTGTGGAGAAAGTAAAATAATTCTCAATGAAGACTTGATAAAATGATGTTACCTGTGCTTCACACTTCTGCGATAAGGAAACACAGGTAGAAAAATCTACTTGCAAAAGACGATTCTGAATCTGAATGTTAGCATTAGATGCTATATAATTGATGAGAATGTAATATGTTTTATCTGAGTTTTAGCAACAGTCAAAATTTCTGCAACAATTCACCTAGGTACCTAAAGTGTGGTCAATGTCACCTGTTGTAATAACACAATAACTATCTTCCTAATATTTTTGAGGCATAGATGATATTTCTAGCACATTTAAAAAGTATAAGAGAATATGAATTTTCTCATATTAGATGAAAAGAGAATACATTTTAGCTTCAACAAGCGAAGCTAGCATAAAAATACACCTTTCTCCCTCCTGGTATCTAGATATACACGTTGCAGTCATTCGAGCAAATACTTTAGGAATTTCACATACTCTTAACACTTATGTCTAAAATGTACTTACAGTTTTAACACTGCTAAATTAGCTTCTAAGTCATAAGCATTCTCTATAGCTTGGATTTCAATATACTTTTCCAAAGTTGCGAGATTTTCCGGGTTGTACCTATGAAAGGAATGATGTCACAGTTCACAACTGGGTATTGCATGGAAATTTAATCACACAAATACCAGTTAAATATTTACCATAAAATATCATATATTCATAAAACGATATAATACGGTAAGTAAAAATATTTCAATACATATAGCCTAAATTACCTGTCTATGCCTTTGAGCATCGAAGCCACAGTTGCTTTCATTGCTTCCGCCATGTTTTCAACATAGAGAGTTGTTTTTCTGACAGTAAGCCTTTTGGCTTGATGGAGTCTTAGAATTTTTTTATTCTTAAATTATATTTAGTCTAATACTAGTCATTTCATCTAAAACTTTCTTAAATGAAAAGTATCTCACGAAGTCAATATCAGTGAAGAGAAAATTAATTATTTTTATATCATTCATGCTTTGGGTTTTACAATTTTGTCCTTTCTGAAATCTTTCATTGCGTAATTTTTTTTATTCCCCCTCAGAACTTGCTAATGCTAATCTAAAGGGTTATTAAGGAGACAAAATCATTTCTGACTCGCTTTGTGAAACTGATAAGTTTTGATCAATGTGCAATGCTTTTAAAGTTTTCATCAACTTAAAACCTTAATATTAATTTCATTAGCATATTTTTTTATTTCAGCCAGTATCAAACTTTTTATTATTAAAGTTGTTTACCTTCAAAAATTTATACTTGTATTTTCCAATAACACTTTATTTCATATTTTAGTATAATCAGTGAGAGAGCTTTCTGCGTGAGATCAACTCTTCATCGACTTGACTACAGCGTTGAAGTTCTGAAAACAACCGATTAGTTGATCTCAAAGTACAGTCTATGACTCAATACTGTAAACAAAGAATAAATTAGGCCTTCGAAAATTTCTTAGCTTTTTTAATGTATCAATTTTAGGATGCGCCCTCTCTCGAGGGCTGTGAATGCTTACCGTCATAAAAATAGAAGTGATGTGAAGCGAAATCTTGTTTGTTTTGGGCGCAGAAATCATACGCCGTAAACTAACCTTCATGTGCCTTGTGCGGTGTAATAGTCAGTTTTTAAGAAGCGCTAAGTTTTGTGTTATATAGGGAATCACGCAATCGTATTTTTTTTCTGTCTACACTGTAGACTTTCACTTTATTAGTTGGTAAATTGTTCACTAGGACTATTTCCTTATATTTTTTGTTGCATATAATTATAAATATATAATTACAGCATTTTGTCGTTATGTGAATGGTAAATTAACCTTTATGCATGAAATTTTTGTGTGGTTACGCATGAACATATTTTGGTGTTCTGTCAGAGGAAAATTAAGTTTTCATAAAATTTTTGTAGTAAATAAGTTATAGAAACTGTAAGCAGTCGTCTAGCTTGCTATGAAAAATTAACTATTGCCATAATTTTTTCAGTTATTGAAAACGGTTATATTTTTAAAAGTATGTTTCTTTGTAGAAAATGACTAAGCGGCCCTGGGAACTATCTAGCGCTATGCTACAAGCCATACAAGTGGATGATGTTGAAGCGGCTGAACGAATTTTGAATACAGGGTTTGATGTGGACACTATTGTAATGCATTCCAAATCTGCTGTGACTCTATGCATTGAAAGGAATGCTATAAAAATAGGTAAATTATTTGTGCAAAATTTTCTAGAAAAAGTTAATAACTAAAATATTTAATGTGATGTAAGGTGAAAAGTAAAATTAAATTTTTAAAGTATTTTCATTAAAACTTTTTTTTATGTTCCTTTATCACAGACTTTGCACAAACAGTTAAGTTTTAGAAATACAATAAAATATTATTTATAACCTGTGTGGATTAGTTGTCTTTAGGTTTATAAACTGCAGCTCTTGCTATTGTGTATTAATTTCAAATGAATTACGGACAATATATATCTCCTGATAAAGTACTTTGTTTTATTCATCAAAGATAATTTTAAAGAACAATGCAAGTAAAAGCATTCTATGAATTCCATGAAAATTCTTTATTAATGTAACTATTTTCTGAATAGATATTAAATTTATGAAAATTTTCTATTAATCAAATATTATAATAATTGTTACTTTTGGAAACATGTAGCAAGTGAAATGATTAAAAATAAAAATTTTATCATAATTATTTTAATAATATTCCTTTTCTTTAGCTACTTGAAACTGTGAATGCATTTAAAAAAATCGACATGTTTTCTCATTTTGACAGTTGTAATTTTGAATAAGATCCGTATCAATTATTATAATATTTTTAAACATGTTTATGTTTAAAAAGAAGAAGAAAAAGTTATATCTATTAAAAAAAAGCTTGGATCCTAGCAGAGCCCACACTCTTGGCGCGTTCACTTTTATGGCGCATATCGATGTCTACATGGACAAAGTCAAGAGTGTGTGCAGTGCCAAGTTTGTGCGATTCTCTGAGGTTTTTTTAAGTGAAAATAGGTTGATGTGTACATGGATACCGAGTTTGTGCAATTCTTCGACTTGGTATTTTCAAGTTGGTGATTTTGATAAACGCGCAAAGGAGTGGGTGATGTACACTTTCCCAGTTTGTCGTCAAGGGTGGGCTCTACTAGGATTTTACCAAAAAGGTTAAAGAGAAATGAAGCATCTTATTTTAAATTTGCTTTCTACGAGTAGAGAATGTTTGTTATATTTAAATAATAGAAAAACATATTTATTCATCTATAAGATCAAACTGGCAAAATAAAGAGCAAAAAGGAAGATGAAATTCAGAATTGTAAACATTTGAATCATGTGAAAAATTACAAATGGAGAAAAACTTAAAATAGTTTGCGTTTGAACCATATATAAAATCTTTTCTGGAACTACTCTTATATGCCCCCTCAGGTCGCCAAATTTCTCGCCAAACATTTTTGGTGAGAAACTCCATGCTGCCATATTACTATCTAATTGTTTTGTCTACATTTTGAACTTTAAGCCTAAAATGTCTCCAAAAATTTCGCCCATGCAAAAACCATGTTTTGAGCACACAATGTAAGCTAAAATTCCGAAACAAAAACAAAAAATTTAGATAGCAAAAACTTAGTTTCTAACCAGAAATATTTGACAAGAATCCTTGTACAAAGCGATATGTTTTAACTTAAAATAACATTTACAAATTGCACAATCTAGGAAATGAATGAATCTACGAACTACACACACTTCCTTTAATAAATTAACATAATAACAATAAATTTAAAAGAATACCATGTACACAGCATCCTGTTTAAACTTTAAAAAAATCTACGAATTGCATAATCTAGGCAACGAATCTATGAACTATGCACACCTCACTTTAATAAATTAACAACAATAAATTTCAAAGAATACCATGTAGACAGCATTCTTTGCACAATTTAGGCACTACATACTAATCAACAAAATAACTAAAATAAATTTCAAACAGTTCATAAAAACAATAATAACGACAGAAATTCGTACTAAAAAAATGAACATAACATTCTACAAAAGAAGAATAAAATAAAATGCACTTACCATGAATGAATGCTTTTTCGAACAGCAGAAATACCAATTTCATACTGCCTTTTACAAACCGCCACATAATCACTATCCTATTTATATGACAGCCAGGCGCAGTATCCAGAAAATTCATACTATGATTCACAAATAAATGTTCAAAATCTTTCTTTCCTAAATCCTTGTAAGATTTCCATCCATCTGAAAAATATTTGTACCAGGCTCAATCCATTTTTAATACTTTGCATCAGCATTTCCCTACTTCTATTATACACAGCCACTAAAAATAATCTCCCAAACCCTCTTTCCACACCTCCAAATACCCACTGCCCCTCAACAGGATGGCCACGATATTTCCTTTTGATGAACTTCGATTCATCAACTTCCACCTCTTTATCTTCCCCCCTATCTTCTCAGACACAGAGCAGACTCGTTAACAACTCCAACATCATACCTTTTAATATTAAATTTCCTTTGCACACAATCTAAAATACGGACTGAAATCTTGCCAGCACGTCTCTCATTGCAACATAGGCCATTTCAAAATACTCGCAACACGAACCAATGAACAATTAAAGTACTCCGGCAAAAGATTTTTCAACGTCAACAGGGTTGCCATAAAATGCACAGGCGTAGCAAAAACCAGCACAGAACATATATCGCCACATTTGGTTATATTGGGGTGCATATAAGAGTAGAGCCTCTTTTCTGAATAATGGGGAAGAAATTATTTGAAAACATTTTTGACCACTTGATTCATAGTGTTAATAATAAACTTTGGTTTGCAACATAGGAAAACATTTATTTTTCATATTTAAGCCAAGACCTAAGAAAATAAAGAATGAAAAGGAAGATAAAATTCAAAATGGCACACATTTCAACCATGTGCTTTATAACATAATAGAATCTGCTGAAAAATTTTCTGATTGTGATTTATATTTAAATCAATTCAATTTTTTTTATTAAGAAAAAAAGAAATATATTTCCAAATTTTTTAAATAGTTTAATTTTGCCATTAATATGTAATGAATAATTTAGGTGTTGTTAGATTAATGGTTAGTTACTATCTTATATAAATTCAAGGTTGATTCCATAATTTGCAATATTAAAATCGTCGTTTATTAAATTCAGCTGCCGGCCCACCAGCGGCCGAGCGGTAACGTCGCTGAACACTGGTAGTTCGGTCCGAGGTTCGAATCCCGCGAACGGGCTGGCTGCATGGGTTTTTTCGTGGTTTTCCCCATGTGTAATGTGTAATATGTATACAAGCCAGTTTCCCTTAGAAAGTCCTCCACGAAGGCATCCCTCCTATAAGGCAGATAGCCCTCGAGTGCTTTGCCGTAACCTAATAAACCAAACCAAATTCAGCTGCCTAATAAGGTCAAGTATATTTGGAATGAAAGTGATTTTAATAACTGATGGATACTGTGTGTGTATATATATATTGTTCAGATTTAAATTATGATATATTATTACAAGTATGTCTTTTTAATAGATATATGCTACATTATGTATTAAGATTTTTTTAATACATAATGCATCAATGTAATTTCTCATGTGTTATATTAAGAAGTTAAAATATATGTAATTTAATACATGTATTTTAACTTTATATAACTATATAGTAAAATATAATTTTACATCTGTTTTCAGCAAAACTCTTAATTCAGAAAGGTTGTAGTTTAAGTTCCAAAGTTGTACCTGGATATAGTCCACTTCACTTGGCTGTCCAGAATTCTGATTATGCTTTGACAAAGTTGCTTTTAGAAAACAGAGCTGACGTTACTAGCATCGATGGACTAGGTCAAATACCTCTACATATTGCCTGCAAAAGAAATTCTTTAGGTAATATAAAATGTATAGAAATACTTAAATTCTCCCTTATGCTGAAATGAAAGTTTATGTGGTTGAAGAAACTATTTTTGTAAGATATGGTATTTGAGGGAACATAAAGGGCATTGATTTGTAAGATAAGTTACTTGAGGTTAAGATCAATAACTCTTGTGAAATTTATGAAAACTTATGTTGGCACTGTCAAATTGCTAATGTACATTAATCTTATACTTAATTTTAGCCTCAAGTAATTTGGATCAGCATTATCCAGTATGAAGCTTACAGATCAAATTTTGGTTCACCAATATTTTGTTCTGGTCTGCTGAATACTATTCGGAATTTAAAAACAAAAATAAAGTTTGATGGAATGTAAAATCTTCAAAAGTAAAACTTCTGCTGCATGTGTAGTTGCATACTACTTAAATTTCCAACCAACAATGAAGAAATTTTCTATGCTAAAGTCACAAATGTTTCTGCTGTAGCAAATGCACTTTTCCTCCCTTAATATTTAGTTTGAATAGATTTCCAACTTTATTTCTCTTGTTTTAAAAGATGATAGTATTAATGTTGTAACTGATAAATTGCAATCAGAATTTTGTAATTTAGCATTAGAAAACCAGTCAGTTAAGATTTTATACAGATAAAAGTCATAAAATGATCGAGGATTGTAATCCATTGAAATTGGATTGGAAAACATAAAGGGTGTTGTTGAAATTTTTTAATGTAATGAATTGTTTAAAATAGCTTTGACCATCTTGACAGCATCCCTTAGCAATACAAAGTGCAAGAGAATTTTCAATGTTGTTAATAAAATAAGAATTAAGTTTAGATTATGATATGAGTGATGACATATTAAAAATATTTATATTATTGTTATCGGCACCAGATTCGGAAATGTATTTGTGTATGCATGTTTGTATGTATGCATGTGCGTATACATGTGTATGTATATACACACATATATGTACGTACAATATAAACTTGCATGCATAAATACATACATTATTAAATTACTTATTAAATACATACTTATCCATTATTAAATTTTATTTTATCTGTGTTCTCATAATTTATTGCAGACATTTGTTTATATGAAGATTCAACCAATATTTAATCAGTTAATATTTGTATTTATTTTATTTTATTTGTTTTTATTATCAAGTTATTTTGTCACTCAATGCTCAAAATTTTGCTATTATGAAATTAATATACATCGTTCCAAGGTATCATGAAGATTGATAAATTCTATTGGAGGGAAAGAAAAAATTTTAAATCTGTAAATATATGGCGTACACATGCTGAACCTTTTAAATTTACTGCATTTTAATCAAAACTGATAATTAAAAGATTATGTATACATTTTTAATACCGGTATATAATGTATACAGGAGCCCCTACTGAGGGTACCTTGCCAATTGATGGCTGCACCAGGCTTCTCCTTCTCTACTCTGTGAAATGACAGCATTTCTTTACATTATAATAGTTTATGATGTAATAATTTGTTTATGATTAACTTAAAAGTTGTTTAAAATTCAGTATTATGTTCATAAAGGAATGGGGAGTTTACTGACTCTGCACTAGGACTGAATACAAGTATATTTGTTTCTTTTTTTACTCTGCTCAAGTTTCATTCACCTCTATTTAGTTAAAATTTTAACTTCAGCACTTCATCCTTTCTCAAGAGAAAGATTCATCAATTTCAAAATTGCCGTCTGGGGTCAAAATTGTACACAATTGTAGGAGTTAAATGTGGCATGCTAGCCCCCAAAAGACACCCATTGCTTCGTGTTTTCCAAAATCCTATTACCCAACGAAAATGAAAGAAGGTGATTAACAACTGATTTGTCATTCCAGAGTCACGCCTTCTTCCCTTTGTGTGGTGCGATAAGATCACACAAAGAGAAAGCTCACTTAAAAATATGGAAAATGGAAGTGCACTTAAGATCCATCTCTTAGTGTAATCACAAAAACTGCTGATTTGAAAGCATGCTTTTATTCTTATCGTCTTTGTTAAATTCAGATGAAAGACTAGGGAACGCAAGAGAAATTTAGGGTTAGGCTACAAATAGGTTGCTTTTGAAATAAATTTCACAGTTGGTAAAGTAAGGGAAAAGATTTCTAAGGCCCGTTTGAGATGCAAACTAGAATTTATCCAAAAGTTGAAAAGGAGCCCCTAAAAAGCCAAAGGAGTTGAAAATCGAAGTAAGAGTTTTGATATGTATAAAATAATAGAGTTGTTTAATGGCATTACTTCCTGAACAAAAAGATATATTAAAACCTATATTTACAAAAAAATAAAAAAGGGGCCCTTACGGTCCTCGATAATCTAAAGTGTGTGTGGGGGAAGGGGGGGATTCTTGGTATCATAGTATGAACCATGGTTTTTGTACATACTATCTAAAGCATAAAATATGACTTCAAAAATGCAACGTACTTTCTCATCTGAGTCGTACTGTTTCTTTCTTTTTTTTAATTTTATTCATTTATTTATTTATTTTTTTTTTTAATTTTATTTTCAGCTGTTATATCTCCTTGAATTATTATACTAGTTCGATTACAGCATGATACGGTTTACGCATGCAGTGTATATGTTATTATCTGTTTCATATTTTGTAAAACAGTAAAGAATTTTTTATTCCCCTTTGCGCCGGGTAGTGCAAACGCGCGCTTATCGTGGAGGCCGGCAGTGTCTTACGCGAGCGTCTGTCCAGGGCCGGGGGCTTTTTTGCTATTAAGCCTAAATCCATGAAATTTCCGAAGTATCAATGCATTGTTTAATAATGCTCTATAGAGTATTTAAATGGCTTATGCTTTATAGATATTTTTATATGTACTTTAATTACCTTATTTCTTGTTTAAATGCATATTTTACACATTTTATTTTCATTACTCACCATTTTGTGACTTTTAACAGTATACATCTGAAAACTACATATATTACTTAAAATTCTCTTTTCGTATGAAAAATTTGAAAACAGGGATCTACACACAGTCCTACGTTACATTCCTTGAACTCGTAATAACTCATTTGCCGTTTTGGAGGATTTTTCCGGGAATGTGGACAAACGAAGCATCGTCGTCTCATTTTCTTATCAGTCTCTTCTGAACAAAGTTTTGGAAAATGTCTTTCAGTTAATCTGAGCGGATTTAATGATTCTGCTGATCTTGGTGTGATATTAACATTGGTGCTTTTAGAGGAATACTGATAAATAATTTGATTAACTAAATTAAGCCGATGATTCAGGAAAGGAAGATTTAAATGGTAATTCCGATAAATTTTAATAATGGTAAATTAAAATAGAGTAAAGCTTTAAATGGTAATTCCGATAAATTTTCTATTGTAAATAGAGTAAAGCTTTAAATAGTAATTCTGATAAATTTTAATAATAGTAAATTAAAATAGAGTAAAGCTTTAAATGGTAATTCCGATAAATTTTCTATTGTGGATGACCATGGAGAAGTACTTGCTTTCGACGTACTCGGCATAAAGATGTCCGAAATGTCCTCATCATCATTATATTCACCAGATTCTGTTTCAGAATCAATATCTGAAATATTTTGCATCATTTCTGCTATTTCATGCTCTGTTAAACATTTTCGATGCTTCGACATTGCAACAGTAAAAACAGAAAGTGTCACGTCTAACAAAATCTAATTATTTTCTAAAAACTGAACTGCAAACCGAAATACCCAACACTTTAGCGAAAATAAAACTTCTCTACTTACAATAAACAACTACCGCGTGCGAATTTAAAGAGACGTCATAAATCACGCCATTCGGAAACATTTATTTCCCCTTTTGTTTATATAATCAAAAACACGTGTATGTGAGTCATGCTTCTCTCATTTTGAGTAGAAGGTCTAATGTACATGTATCTGAAACCATATGGACATACAGTGCCATCTTGTGGCAGAAATTATAGTTTTTAAAACATTCCAGGACACTGGCACAAATACACGACAGTCGGGGCTGAGCGGGAAAACGCTCTGGCACACCTGCGTGTTGGCCAGGAAGTGAGTGTGTTAGATGTGACAGTCGGCGCGAAGGGGTTAACAAACTCAACGATTTCAGAGGAAAAATTTTATCTCCAGTGCGCGAGGCTTTGTATTACAAATACTAAAGATATGCTCATTTTAAATTATTTTGCGAGATTGCTGTTGAACTGAATTTTCTGGTTTAATTGCAAAGAACTTGATATTTAGTAAATAAAGGTAATCCAAAAAATGTTAAAAATTATGTCTCTTTGGGCGTAATATAAAATCTGAAAGGCCTTCAGATTTTTTTTTTAAACCTTGTTGAATATTAGACAATGTGTCTCAAAATTTCACTTTGCTTTAACCCATGTAAGAAAAGCATTAGCAAATCCTTTTAATGGAGAACATGTCTGTGCTTGCTCTCCAAAACGGAATTAATTCTATTTGTTTTAAATATATTCAACATATATTTCCTAAAGCAACATGTTTGTTTTATAATTTTTAATTTTATTTATTTTTATATTTGTAAATTTTCTGTTTACTTTTTCAAAGATAAAGTTTCAGTTAAAGAGCTTCTTGAGCAGAAATTAAATTTGCATTCTAGGTATAATTTTTCTTTTAAATTTTAAATGCAGGATTGTTATGCTTCAATTAGACATATAAATTACAAATAAATATATGTAATTTCTGATTTGTATACTATTGAGATTCATTGTACTTAAAACACAATAACACGCCGAACAAATATTAATTCAGAAGTCACAAAAAATCAGCGTTATATTTTCAAACTTTCAATTTTTCTGCTGCCAAAATTATTCAAAAAACATCTTCCATTGGAAAACTGGATTTTCTAAAGGCATTTCACATTCAAAAAAATCTTTCTGTTCTAGTTAACGATCCTAAGGTACTTACGTATTATCGCAACCAGGTTGGCGCGATTTGTAAGTTTGAGTAAAAAAGTATGAATAGAAAGAAAATGTACATTTATTAATTACAGATAATTTTTAATACAGTTTTTTATATTATTCTGTTTTAAAATATAAAATAGCAATTAAAACCCTTCCGGTTTCGAATTTGAATAAGTTGCAGAATTATTTTTTCAGCGGAAATCTTTTGGCTATTGCTTTTAGCACTGATTGAAAACCGTCTTCGCCATTAACAGCTTGAGCTTGGCGCCATATAAATTCGATAAGGTATGAGTCAAGATGATGACGGGCTGTTCCTCTCTGTTTTTTGTTGTGCCATTTGGCTGAGCCCCACATGCGCTTTACATGTTGTGTGTGAACGCCCGTGTTGGGATCCACAAAGTGTTTGTGATCAACAGTTCCATGCAGAAATCCAGCATTTTCGAACTCACTTGTATTGTATCCTTTCCAGCAATCCGAATAAATGATGCTTCCTTCCTTGATATTTTCGCAAATTTTTTCCATGAGGGTAACGGCGCTTCTGTTAGGTACAGTAACCAAAATACTCTCTTTCTTTTCTCAGCAAATTCTGCCGAAAACCCATTGCTGTGGTAGTACATGCCCAGTGTTATTTTTTCTTTTTACAAATAAACTTTCGTCTAAACACGTAGGGTTGCCATAAGTAGGGTCGCCAAATTTGGCGATTTATGCAAATTTTGGCCTGGTTGCATTAATATGTAAGTACCGATCCTAATTCCAATCCATCTTTGTCTTCGGCCTTTAAAGAAATTATGCTTTAGTTCTGGTTTTGCCAACAGATGGCACCACTAGCTTATTTTCTGTCCAGGCTTTCTTATCTTATCTGATCTGATCATTATATCCCGTCTCATCTCGTTCATTTGCGCTTTTGCAGCTCACGATGGTGGTTCGGTAAAACCATCAAAACTAGTTCTGTGAAAATTTGAAAATATAACGCTGATTTTTGTTGTTTCACTTCTGAATTCATTGTACTGTTTTTGGTTTTATTGTATGTTTTAAAAATGATATATGCATTATGTTTCAGATATTGTAAAGTTGTTACTCGAGAAATCAACTAAATCCAGTTTAAGTAAGCGTGATGTAGATGGAGCCACTCCTTTATTAGTAGCTTGTAGGCACAGTTGTCCAGAAATAGTCAAACTCCTCTTGTCTAAAGGCAGTATTGTATGTACAAGTGACAGACTGGGAAATGGTGAAATTCTTAGTGCCACATCTAACACAGCAGAATATGCTACATGTATTATACCTATGCTTTTAGATGCTGGTGCATTGGTAAGTAATGAATTTTATCTAAATGTTTTAAGTAACAAATGTGCACAGTTATTTCTCATAGAAAGGCAGAGAGGAAGTCTGGTTTAATGCCATGCAAGGAGTTTAAACAAAGGCATATTACTTCTCTCTCTCCTGTACTATCATAAATATCATCTAAAGGAACTCAAAAGTATGACTGAAAAAGATCATTATACAAATCTAGCTTAATGTTGTGCTACTTAATATGTGCAGAAATTTTCTTACAAATTTCCATGGGGGGGGGGTAATTATTAATCAAAATATTAGTTGCACATCTACACTGATCCAGCAGACTGAAATAACTTACAGATTATAAGCACCATAGTCCTTGTTACTTCCATGGGCTTACTTCTTGGAATCGGACATGCCTGTGAGTTTTTTTTACTCACCACACCTCTTATTCAAGCCATTATATTTAATATTTTAAAAAAGTGAAATTATTATATGATGTTAATGCAGATTTTTTTTAAAACCTTTCTTAATATCATTAAAAAAGATGATTAATGTTTTTAAGAGGCTAAATTTGCAGTCTTTACATTTCCCAAAAATTGGCTATGCCATTAAACTCAAGCTATACCTACTATTATTTCTAAATAGTGTTGCATTGCATAGTGAGCACTATGTTTTTAACTTTTAAGGAAATTTGATGATGTATATTTTTATAAATTATCAAAATAAAAATAATTAGCATAATTGTTCTTTTTATTTACGAAATACTGCTGTGTGTGTAATTTGTGATGTATTTTTAATATAAACTGTTATTAAAACTTTTTTTTATAAAATATAGTGATATCCTCAGTATACATCATTAATTCGTTTCGTTTCCATTCGAGTAAAAAAAATGTTGTTGTTACAGTGCTGTCTGATACTAAAAAACAAATGTAGTGGGTGAAATACAGTCTGTATATAAATGAAGTACTGCAATACTGAATAATATTTCTTTTGTTATCCAGATCAAAAGCAGTTTTCCAACATGCTGTGATAAGATTTTCAGCTATAGTTAAATTTTTAGCTTTCCATTTTTGTTTTATTGATGATGACAAAAAACAATTTGTGTTTTCTGTAAAACTTAAATATTACAAAAAGTAAATTTTTAATTTCATAATATGCTTGCATAGCATACAGATCATAGTTCAAAAGAAGGAAAAAATTAATTTGTAGCTTCTGTAAAACAAGATAGGGTTCACCTATGTTGTGCATTGGAAGAGCAGATTAAGAATATAGAATACAAAGTCTGAAATCTGATAATCCAATATCTGAAATGATTTAAAATTCAAACCTCTGAATCACCGGATTTTTTTTAATGCTTTATGCTTGTGCATTTGATGTTTTTTCATAATAAAACATGTGGAGAGTTGCAATGCTATCATATCAAAGAGGAGTACATCGAGATGAAATACTACATTTAGTAAGGAATTATAAGCCAAATAAAATAAAAACATCTGCCCTGAAGATAAGGATAGTGCTGACAGTTCAACTTCCAATTCATTGCGTGCCGCGGCATCCCCGCCCCCGGCCGCAGAGCAACATGAAATTGATAAACAGATTTCGAAATGGTTAGAGATATGCCTTTATCCATTTTTTGCAGCAATTCCACTTTTTGTTTAATGGACTTCAAAACATACTTTTGCTTTGTAGATCCTTTACATATTAGTAAATATATATCAGAAATTCTATTTGTCATAATCGAAAGTTCAAGCTTACTTTTATAAAATTGCTCTAACAGTCTGCAAAAATAATAAGCCGAACCCAATTCGGAGATTAAGGAACAACGTAATCTGCAACATTAACTGAATTAGATAATTTTAGCTTAGCTTATACCGTCCGTTATACATTAAACGCGCATGCGTAAACGTATTATGCACACACGCACATTCGTAGCCGTAAAGGTCTTCAACGCAACACATGCGCAGAAAGTTTGTAGCTTTGAGGTCCGGATTATGGGTGTCCAAATAAATGACTTTTGACTGTATATTCAAGTTGCCTTGCTGGTATATTCAAGTGTTGTAGGAAAGCACCCATTCAATACATGAAACAGTCTGAAAACTATAGTTAGTTTTGTATCTAAGTGAAAATATTTTGTAATCATTAAGTGATTTTTATTTAATAATAAGCATTTCATTTCTACAATAAAAAGTTTTTTTTGGGGGGGGGAGTATGAATGTAACAAAATAATTTAGCAGTTAAAATTTATAATAGTTGAAGAGCTGTTTCAAACTAATTTAATTGGGAAAATGTAAAGAATATGTAACCAAATACTAGCAGTTTAAACATCGCCTGTTTTTTGGAAAACTTGTTTATAAATTATTTTTTTAAACTCGGTATACATTAAAAAATAATATCATGTGTTTATAAACATTATCTGAAAAATCTATTTCAAACTTTTATTTGGTGAAAGAGATCTCATTTGCATGTTAAATTTTATACTTCTGTATATGAAGATACTGTTACGAAATGTCCAGGCGTGGTAAGATGGCTTCCCAGCAAAGCAGTTTTGGAGTTGCCATAAAATGGCAAGGGAAGGCAAGGTTGCTACATTCAGCAAGTGATCGCCCATTTGGTGACAAAATTGGCGATATGCCATGGACGGATGGAGAACCTTCTGGAACTAATTCTCACCGGTTTAGCCCAGAATGTTCTCGAACGCAAGCCAAAAACTATATAAACCCTGCTGGTGCGCGGAGAGTCAGAGTGCAAGATAGTCAGTCTGTGCAGAGTCGATCGAGTTGACAGTCGGTCAGCGAGTACCGAGTGGGTCGTCGAGTGCATCAAAGAGTCTCTTCGTGTATCGCGTTTAGTTCATCTCTCGAGAGTGTGTTAAGCTCCGGAACAACTGAACCAAAAAGTCATGAGCTGTGTTCTATGTGTCGTCGAGTGCATCACAAGTTGTAGCGTGGAGAGTTTCGTGAGTAATGTGGAGTTCCGAGAACGACCGAGCAGAGTCGGGAGCTGTCTCCACTGTTATTGCCTGACAGTGTGAAGGCTGTGTCGCTGATTGTTCCAGCGTGTTTATAATAGATCTTCGACGACTGTAAAAAGTGACTTTGGAGCTGTCCTGGTTAATAAAGTGTGTTTCGATACTTCATCAAGTGTCGTCATTCCAAATCCACATGAATCCCTTACAAATGTAGAGGAAGAAAATAACGTATCAACTGGTGTCAGAAAAAAACGTAACAATATCTCAAATTCAGAACTTTTTGAAAATGAAATTTTTTCTAAAATGTTTCAAGTTCATTATAATATAGCAATTTTTACAGTTCTAATAATAAGAAAAGTATTTTCATTTACATGAAATATTAACATAATTCTCTTTTACAGATAAACCAAAGTAATGTTCATAGGGAAACAGCTTTACTCAGGGCTGTTACACAAGTTAGCAATATAACAGAGTCATGTCAAAAACATTCATATACAGATCTGTGTATGCTCTTGATTAATAGTGGAAGTGATGTTAATGCCATCAATTGCCTTGGTCAGACGCCTCTTCATTTGGCAGTGTCTTCAAATAATGAACTTCTAGTTCGAAAACTCCTGGTTTCCGGAAGTAATATCGACTGCCGAGATGATTTAAATTTTGTTCCCTTATTCTATGCATGTCGAAATGGAAATCAAAGGCTAGTTCAATTACTCGTTAGCTGTGGTGCAAATTTGCAAGCTCATGATTGGGAAAACTGTATGACTATGTTTGGAAATGAAGAAACTATTTCACTTTTAAGTTATCTTATGCACAAATCTAAACAGTGTCACACATTAGAAAACTTATGCAATATACTTATCAGAAAAAGTCTTAAAAATGTTGAGAAAGATGTCTGTCAACTGCCTCTACCTCCATCACTGATTCAGCACATACAGCTTAAAGATTGATGGCAGTGTGTATTTTAATCTGTATGATATATCTACGAAAATATTGTAAAATGGACTGTTTACATCACTTTTAATTATTCACAATCATTAACATGTTAAGTTTTAAAATTAATAAAGGATAAAAAAATTCAGTAATCTTTTATTTCTTCCTTGAAGAAGATATGCTTTCATTTGAAGTTTTTGCAAGCATCTCATTTTTTTAATGTTTGATCTTTCTAAGTTTTCACTTTTATACTTAAATCATTCCACTTTAACTATATAAAGCTGCTGCATGTTTATAGCACTTCACACTCGTGCATGGTAGAGCACTAACACATGGTTTTGCTAATAGCACACTTGCAAAAACTAAAATTAGATTAGAAGATAATGTGCAGTTATAAAATGGAATTCTGGATATTTACAGAGAGTGTTTACACATTTTTAGAATGATTTTGATGAAGAATTAAAAAAAAAAAAAAAACTGTTTTAGTATAAAAATTTCTGGCGACAGCTTATTCGAAATGATAAATACAGAGGCTGTTCGCACACTTTTTAGACCTTGTATTTACAAAAATAGTTCAGCTAAATTTTTTTTCATTTTAAATGTTCTGTTTGAACTCTTATTCTTCACTTAAAAAAAAGCAGAGCCTTTTGCAGTCTTCATAACAGGTGTTTTATCTCATTCCTCTAGAATAGCTTTCCAAACTTCAAAGAGTATTGTAGGTTGACATTTAGACAATTCGCTTTAAGTCCAAAAGCGCAAAAATCTGTAGGTAATACATCAAAATATTTAGTAGGGATATAAATGTAGGGACTTGATACCATTTCTTGTTCTATCTTTTCCAGGAAATTAACAGTAGATTTTGACATATGGCTGCTTGCTTTGTCTTGATACAGTTCTAGTGATTGATGGCACTGTGACTAAAGAGAAGGTATTTCATATTTGAAACTTGAGTATAAGATATGCTCCTGTAATATGTGGATTTGATCTTAACATTTTTGTCAGTCTTTATTTTTAATTTGTCGTTATACAAAAAACCAACAACAATCATAAATACCTGTGAAAAACATTCTTTGAACAACCTTCTAAGATTTTTTTCTTCATTTTTGATAATAATAATGGATCTCTTTTTATAACAGTCATTTAAGTATGCCCAAGATTCATCTATTATGAGAATATTTTTCCCATTTTGTCAGGATAAATGTTTCTCATAAAGAATTTTGCCATATGTCATAAAGAAAGGTGACCCACATTATGTTTTTTCTCCCTTTTTAAAAGTCAAATCAGTTGTAATCACTTAGTTTACAGTCAACAGTGAGCGTTTTAATGATTTTGCTACTGTCATTTGACTTGGTGGAGTTTCTTTTAACATTAAAGGTCTTACCTTTGCAAAAACTAAAACATTCCGTTTTTCCTTGGATGTTATTTGGAATAATATTTTTACTTAAAGCCAAACTTTGACGTTCTCCTTTTTTGTTGACAGTATTACCTACCATAGCTTTAGATATCGAAAAACAATGGCTTTCACAATGTTTCGCAATAATTAGGAATAATTTTCTTCAGAGAGAGTACAGACATAGCCTTCTATCCATTGGCTCTTTAAAACTGCCATTTTGCATGAAAAAAATTGTCAATTAGCTGATGATATTTAATACTTTCAAAAATATAGCTGCACTTAAAAAACAAATTTCCAAGCAAATGAATTTTTTTATAGTAAAGCAAAATCATCTAATAATTTTACAAACAGCCTCTGTATCATCTGCTACTTTTAATTTATTCTTCTTTCAAAACGTTGTTTGTGAACAAGTTGTGCATTGAAGGATATGTTTTTGCACTTCCTGAAGAAAATGTTTCATAATTAAAAATGCTGTGAAATGCATGGTATTTAAATTTTTAATGCATAATAAGCAATGTTATTACTCAGAAAGTGAAAAACCTTTAATCATTACGTCTGCATGAAAAGAAGACTCCAAAAGAATACCTGTAAAAAGTACATATTGTTTCTAAAGTTAAACCATTGGTAACAACAACAACAACAAACAAAAAAAAATCCACTGATGCAGAAAGGAATTTAAAAAGTCTTCAAATATATCTGCAGCAACAATAAATGAAATAATAAACTAAGCTGTACAACTTAAAAAAGTTTTAAAAAAATATTCACCAGCTTTTGCTGAGGCATATGGTGCAATGCAGAACAATTTGTAAAACCTTGTATGAAAACTATTTAGCAGGGACTAAATGGAAATATATTGTGGCCCTCAAAGAAGAATGTGTTTACATAAGTGAATACAATGAAAAAAGGTCTGTTTATTATTGAAAACAATGAGGAAAAAATATAAACTTGTTTCCATCAATGCAAAGAAAGTTTCAGTAAGGGGTTTATGATTGTCGGAGGATTCTCTTACAGTGGAAAATTAGAAATAATAAGAGTGGGAAAAAATGTTAAACTCATTATACTATCAAGAGAAAAATTTTATGTCTGATATCTACAGAAGAAATTCAGTTTCTTTATTTCATTGATTTTCAAAATGTGAAACTTCATCAAGACAAAGCAATAAGTCATACTTTAAAAAGTACCACTGCATTCCTTAACTGAGGGCCCACCAGCAGCCGAGCGGTAAAGTCGCTGAACACTGGTAGTTCGGTCCGAGGTTCGAATGCCGCGAACGGGCTGGCTGCATGGGTGTTTTCGTGGTTTTCCCCATGTGTAACGTGTATACGAGCCAGTTTCCCTTAGAAAGTCCTCCACGAAGGCATCCCTCCTCTTAGGCAGATAGCCCTCTCGAGGCTTTGCCATAATCACACACACACACACACACATTCCTTAACTGAGAAAATGAAGACTAATATAAGTACTATGCATACACCTTTTCAAAGTAATCCTGTGAAGTCCTCTGACGTTTCACCTATGAACTAGTGTGTCTTTGGTCTATTGAAAAGAGCTTTGTCTAATGGCAAACCCACCACTATTGATGGAATCTGGAAAGTAGTGAAAAACCCTTCTGTCAAAGAAATCAAAAAGCAAACTTAGTTTAAAAAAAAAAAAAAAAAAAATTCTCAGATCAAATATTTAAAAAATTATTTTTTACATTTTAAACATTAATGAAATGCTCCAAAATCATACTAAAAATGTGTAAACACTGTCTGTATTAAAAGGGACTAGAAATGGCACTAGCTAAGTTTTTCCCCTTTCTTTCAAATTAACATTATTTGGTATGTTTCTGTTTTTGCTGGATAGACTTGTTTAATATTCTCTAAAAGTTGTTTTATTTTTTTAAGGAGTAAGGAAAATAAATTATTCCTGTAATATGAAGGAAGTTATTTGTACTGATCAATGTTTTTTATATTCATATTTAATCAAGATTAGAAAATGGTTAGTTGGTTGACATAAATAATGTAAAAGCATGTGAGGACTATCTGCCAAAGAAGAGATGCAATTTATGGAGGACTGTTAATGTGAGAAACTATTTCACATTTATTTGGGGAAAAATAGCAGCCAGTCTTTTCAGTCACTAAGAAATAAACTTCAGAAAAATTAACAGTATTTCAGCACTTTTGGAGCAGCAAATGAAAACATGTTTGAAGAAAATGAGGATTTTTGTATATGATGATGCAGAAGTAATCATCATATGTTTAAATGATATGGCTGCAAAATGAGATAAAAAGTTATCATGATTAGTCATTCAGGAAGACTAGAAAATGATTACTTTGTTGACCTAATGATGTAAAAATATGTATCAAATAAGAGATGCAGTTATGAAGGACCTTTTCAAGAGAAACTGTTTTCTATTAATGTTATATAGCCTTTACAGTCACAATGCATAGAGACAAAACTATCAGTATCCTTACCATATGTATAAAGAAAGGAGTAATGTGTAATGTCAGTGTGTTTTGAATGGATGCATTTAGAAATATGCACACAATAGAAATTTTCATATCCCACTGGAATAGCCAGCCTGCTTGCTCTCTTGACCTGGTACTTGAGGGATACATATGATATTTCAGTCACCAATGATTTAAAGAATTCCGCAATGTTCCAACTAAAATGTATGCCAATAAATGCAAATACATTACACTGGTCATCAAAATTAAAAGATGATGAGAAAAAATATGCTCGCAACGAATGCCCAATGCTGTAATTTGTTATGTTAATTAAATACAATTGAACACACAATTGCACTTTCATGCATATGTTTGTGCCAGAAGTATGCAAATTCAGCGATTGACAATGTAGTGTGCAATGGGCGCATGTTGGAATTCTGGTCTGTAGTTTTGTTTAAAGTGATTTGGTTTTATTAGATTACGGCGAAGCACTCGAGGGCTATCTGCCTTAAGGGAGGGATGCCTTCGTGGAGGACTTTCTAAGGAAAACTGGCTCATATACACCTTACACATGGGGAAAGCCATGAAAAGGCCCATGCAGCCAGCCCGTTCGCGGGATTCAAACCTCAGACCGAACTAGCAGTGTTCAGCAACGTTACCGCTTGGCTGCTGGTGGGCCTGTTTAAAGTGAATGTGGTCTCTGAAAGTGATCAGTATTGTGTAGTTTTGGCTCAAAGGCATCATTTAAATGAAGGCCAAAAGTGGCAAATAATTGGTAGATTTGAGGGAGGTTGTCCACGATTTGAATATACCTCAAAGTGTCATATCAAGAGTTTTTAAGCACTGGATCAGTTGACAGACAGCCTGGTCAAGGGCAACAACCACATCAGAAGACCATTTTCTGTCATTGTCGGATTGAATAAACCACAAAGTGACTGCAAGAGATTTGGTTTTAGATTTTCAGGCTGTCACAGAAACTCGAATTAGCTGTTCTACTGCTGCATGAAGGCTTAATGAAGTTGAGCCATATATGAGAAAATTAATGGTTTGGGTCGTACTTACTCGACATTCTGGAAGAGCCCGTTTAAACTGGTCCTGTTGCCATGTTCAATGCAGCCAGGACAACCAGCCCAAATGTTGTTTGTTGGCAAGACTAAATATAATCTGAACAGTGATTCTAGACCTGTTTTGATCTCAAGAGAACATGCAATTTGCATTCCCTTGTCCATGAAATATCCAGTTTCTGCAACTGCAGTTCAATGGTTTGGGAAAGAATCATAACAAACAGCCACACCGAGCTGCATACCTTTCAAGGAGGGTGTGTAATCA